CTTGGGAGGTGTGAGTGAAACCATTTTCCAATCAACGCGGACGAGATCGAATTATGTTTCTGGTCCATCTGATTTCTGAAGCTGCGAGCCAAATTCTAGTTCTCGATTTCCTCGTATCTCACTTCTACGGCACATCAGAAAACGGACTGAAATTCACGAAAATCTAGAGTTGATCTTTTTAAGCGAGAAATTCTCTGTTGCAGACCCAGACTCAGACCCAGACAGACACGGCACATCAGAAAACGGACTGAAATTCACGAAAATCTAGAGATGATCTTTTTGAGAGAGAAATTCTCTGTTGCAGACCCAGACTGCCGTGTTATGAAAAAACGTCATATAAACCTTCAGGCGTTGTCAAATTTCCTTCAATAAAATGCGAATTTCCAGGAAACTTGAAGATATTTTTCTTCCATTTTTTTACAGAATTTCATTCGCAATTTAATCTACATTATCTGAAAATTTAAAGGAAAAATATTAATAACGCTCCTTAAAAATTAACATTTTATCGGAGGAAATTTGGCAACTCTCGAATGTTCATACGGCATTTTTCCTTCGGACGGCAGCAGAGAAGTTTAATGGTATTTTTTAATATCGTTTACCTGACAAAAAAAACTTCGGGAATCTAATTTGAACCCAGCGCGCTTAGTGATTCTTTTGCGAACTGGAAACGAGCTGATATTCAATACCCACGAGTGTCAATGAGGTAAACTTAAATGACATTATAAGGGTCTTAAAATCTCTCGAAACGCGTGGGCAAATGACTCGCATGTTTTCGTCAGACTAAAAATTTTTCCAAGGAAAAACAGAATTAAATTAGATTAAAAGTACCATTGACATGCCGATAGTCCATCAAATATGAAAGTATCAAATGTTTATCGATCTGTGATTCTAGAAAAACGCGACGCACGTGTAATTTGAACAAGCCTGCGCGAGTCAAAATCGTCTCACTGCGGCATGCAGGTGACATTTGCTGACATTTAATAACATTGAATAATAAACATTACCATAAAATTAGAAGTCTCTCTCTTGCCGCTAGCTACGCGGCCAAACCCCAGACAGGGTAATAGATAGCATAATGAAACTGAATCACAACTCAAAAATTTGAAGGCAACGGCCTGCGGCGCGGCGGGCGGGCAGAGAGCGCAAAACGCGCATCAGCGCCTACAAACCTAATCGGGATACTTCACGCATTGCGCAATGCGTGAAGTATCCCTGTTAGGTTTGTAGGCGCCAGTGCGTCGCCGCTCCGCTTTGAGTTAGGCTCTAATATTTGGATCGCGTTAAACAGAAAAGAAACAAGCCACATCAGCTGCTGCCAAATTTAAATAAACAGTTTCATCTTTTATATGAAAACGGTTGTGCTGATTTTAGTGCGAATTTCAGTGAATTTTCTCCCTAGTATAAAGCAAATTCCTTAACATTTTCAAAGGAATCCGCACTAAAGTTCTCTCGTAAAATATTAAATTGGCCGGATAAATTTGGCAATAGCTGATGTTGCTTGGTTCCTTTCTGTTTAACGCGGTCCATTTAATCTTGCGGAGTCGGCGTTTTTCAACTCATGATTTTGAAATGTTTGCAATACCTGCCGATAGCCAGAAAATCACAAAAATCGGCTTCATAGATCCTCTCAACACATCAGGTGGGAAATACAAATTTAAAGTCAGAGGGATTTTTATAATGATAATGGCGACGTACGGCCATCTTTTTCTAATGCACCTTTTAACTTCAACCCTCTTTGCTGAATCCAAGAAACGCCAAAATCCCACTCAAGCTGCATTATTCAACATACACGCCCTCTGTAAACGTTTCATCAAATTACTTAAGGTGCCGTTGAAACCGATCTGAGTTCATGTAACGACGCTTTACAGTAGTCATTTCGAAAAAAAACGTATGAAATAATTTCAAATAATTAAAATCTCAAACATTGACAAGTTACATTTGTATGAGCTAATATTACTCGAATAGTTAATCATGTATTGTCTTAAATGGTGTTTTTTTGCCAAGTCCTGACGGTGGCCAAGGCCGAAAATCAATCGTCGAATAAATACTTAATTTTCATGTTAATGTGAGTTAACGCGACTTCATTTTAACCATAGCACTGGCTACCTAACGAAATAAAGCAAAAATAAAATATTTAGTGGAAAATATTATTTTTTAATTATAGTTCAGCTGTTCCCAAAAGTAAAAAAAAATTCAAATCAGGAATTAATTTTGGAGGAGGGTCATAAAAAACCACTGAAAATCTCCCCAGTCTAACGCTGAAGTACTTTCTCTTCTTTATTTTATGATTAAAGGATGGAGCTCTCCAGGAGCTTGCAAATAAAAAAGTAAGGGAGATGGAGGAAATATTCCCTGAAAGCCATAAAACGTGCTTGAGACCAAATCACTTCCGACGCTTGGTGCGCATGTCACGGGTAACAAAGGGGTTGATGGTTAGGGGTGAGGTGAGGGGATGATTTTAGTTTGATCCACCCTCGTGCATTTGCGCACATAACTTTCAAGATTGCGGAATTAACTACGCAGTTACGAACGTTTTTAACATACGAGTAGCAGTCTGCGATTGTAGAATGCGACTCAGATTTTCTGACTTTCAAGAGATTCTAGACCGGGAGCACAGTAGTTTAAAAGCATAGGTAACAGAGGGGCTGTTGGTTGGGCTGCCCCCCCCCCACTCATAAGTGCAGTTATTAAATAAATTGAGGTATCAATGACTTTAAGTAAAACTAGTCCTAATGCATATTCTGTGAAAAATTCGCTCCCTAATTCCAATATTTAAGCACCAAAAAGTGAGTTTTAACTTTCTTCCCGCCGGATTAATTTAATTTCGAAACTTCAAACACGTATTTCTCGAAGTAGCAAAAACTGCACTTATGCGCCTAGTCCTTCAAGCCCCTCAATTTAAGTCCTGATTTTTCTTCTCTTTTTTTCATACTAGACGTATGATTTACCTAGGTGATTCCTCGGTGGTTTTCAACTTTGACGATGAGTTGGGAGAAGAAAACCCATAAAATTTCATCACGTCAAAATTTTTCAGGGAATTAAAATTTTCTCAAAAGATGAATTGGTCTCAGAGGTATTCGACTTTTAAATTTTTCGTTTTCCATGCGAAAGAACGTAACTACATTTCAAAGTTGCGAAATTTCCTCTCATCAATTGAATTTCTAGTAGGAAGGTGTTGGAAATTCCTGACCGAAAATTTAACTGATTTTGTTTCTAATTCCGGGGAAAATTCAGCAGAATTTTGGAAAGAAACTGCACGGACATATTCTGGGACAGAATTTAATTATTTAAGTCGACTTCACTTCTTTGGAGTGGGGTCACGCTTTTTTGCCTGAGAAATACGTAATTTAGATATCCTTTTCAATCAGAATAAACAAACAAAGCTCCTTCAGTTTTTGCGAAGAATAAGAAATAATTCTATAACACAGACACCTTTGGTTCCCTCCTGTCAAGACTCCATCCGCCTGATTCCTTCAAACATGATCGACGTCCTATAAAGCACAGATTCCTATACATTACAATATTTTAGGATCGAATTATTGTTATTGCATCGGAGTGTTGTGTATGTTGCCTATCTTTTGATTGAAGGGGCACCTCTCATTGAAATTTATTCCAGTAAAATTGAAATAAGTTGCAATTTTATAAGCATGGAATCTGCCTACCTTCCTCGCACAGAACTCACTGTAGTGATCGTTTGAAATTTGCATTTACTGACAAAATGATGGGAAAATGTTGAATAAATTTCATGGCAAGAAAATTGAAATTTTTTGCAATAGATTGCAATTACATTTCAAATTTTGCACTGTGCTACATGGGCGTTCTCTCTTTCGATCAGAAATGATTCAAAAAACCTCCTGCAGTTAATTACCTAAAATTGAAACTATTCAAAAAAACATTTTTCTATGAACTGATTACAGTTATACGCACGCGAGTTTTGGACAGCTTTGGTGATTTTGCCTTGTGCGATAATTCAGTGCCAACTGAGGTTCTCATTACAGATGGAAAAAGATCATTCAAGCACGAGCTTCCCCCACAATTGACACTGCATTTATCGCTCAGGGCAAAATCACCATTATCTGTTTAAAAATTTTTCCTCGTGAAATTTTTGAAAAAACGACTCAATAAGAATGAAACTCATTGTTTACCGAAAAATCGGTTCCCCGCTGAATACAATCCATTCCTCCCGACCCTATCAAATTTCACAACCGACGTGTCGGGTTCGAGGGTGGAAAAATTTTATGAAAAATAAAAACTTGAAATTTCACGTGAAATATTCCATGAAATTTCAGAAATTTATGACAGATATTGAAAACTATCAGTTCCTTTTCATGTTTCGCAAAATGTAAAAATCGTGATTTCCTTCTGTTTGAATGTATTTGAGTTCGGTTTACATACTCCATAGCCCTTGAAAAATATGAAATATTTTACACCCTCAAGTATTTTTATGAAATATTTCAATGAAATGTCCAATATTTCATTTCTATCTTACGTTTCATGCCACACTGGAAAAAAAACACATTGGATCTAGAGTCCAGACTCTTGAAAACATTGACAAGAAAAAATACTCTTGATTCAATCAGATTTAAGCTTAAATCAAGAGGAAATCCGCTCAAATTAAGAGGCGTGGTTCTTGATTTCAGCAAAAATCCGATTGAATCAAGAGTATTTTTTCATGTCGATGTTTTTAAGAGTCTGGACTCTAGATCCAATGTGTTTTTTTTTTTTTTTTTTTTTTTTTTTTTTTTTTTTTTTTTTTTTTTTTTTCCAGTGTACGTTTCATGCCACCCTGATCGGGTTTGGGGTGCGTATTTTGAACGAGGAGGACACTGACGGGAAAAAGATCCTTGGAATTAAATTTTCCTCGTGAAAATTTATTTTTCAAAAAAATGACTACAACAATCCCCATGCACTAAATACAACCCATCCACCCGACCCTATCAAATTCCACCACCAACGTGTCGAGTTACGGGGTGCTCACTTTGAACGAGGAGGACACTTACGGGAAAAAGATCCTTGGGCGGAGTCAGCGAATTATCCAACGGGAAAACTTAACTTCACTTCACCATAATTTCACGTCGCTCATGAGGAGGCGCGTTGTCACTCGCGGCGCGTTGGCGCTTCCTTGGCGGGCGCAGGCGACATTGACTCGGGATCGGAATCGTCGAGTGTAAACAAACGGAGGTAAACAAACGCGAACGCCAACAGGAGCCGGGTCGCGGCGCGGCCTCGAGCATCGAGCGTCGGGTAGCAACTGCCGAGCCGCGAGTTGCGAGTCCTCGCGCGAGTACCCGCGCTTCTTCGACAGCCGCCACCGAGCGCCGCGCGCCCCACCGCCGCGCCGCCCGAGCGGCCGAATCGATGGGGTCGGGTCGCCCCCCGGGTTTAGGGGCTCCGGGTCTGACCTGTTGAACGCTCCTGTGGTTTTTAAAACGCGCGAGAGTTTTAATTTACACTGGGAAAAAAGATTGGTAGAGTTGGCCATTCCTTTCACGCTGTATTTCAAACAGCGTCAATTGGACCACGTTTAACAGAGAGGAACCAAGCCACATCAGCTATGCCAAATTTAACTGGACAATTTAATTTTTTACGAGAGACCGTTTGTGTGGATTCCTCTGAAAATTTTAAGGGGTTTGCCTCGTTCTAGGGAGAAAATCCACTAAAATTTGCACGAAAATCCGCACAACCGTTTTCATGTAACAAATTAAATTGCCCAATCAAATTTGGCAATAGCTGATGTGGCTTGGTTCCAAGTGCACCAAGAGCATTTCAAGTTTGCCTGCCATCGCGCCTTCAATTTTGGAGATACAACGCGGACATCCACCAAGTACGAATAGTTGTATCTCTGCGCCGTCATAAACGAGCGACCTTTTCCTTCCTCTATGTCAAAGTTGTGTTGGTTCCGGGTGTCTTATTTCTTTTATGTGTTAGTAACACAGCTGAGGACAGGAGAGATGTTATGTAATCGGGCCTCGTTGTTTCACTTTTCTCCCGAATCGGAGCAACGCCGCAATGGCAGCATGGAGCGGAACATTGCGAGGTCCCACCTCGTGCCATCGGGCATTTAAAGCAGATGCAACACTGACATCCATCAAGCTCGAACAGTTGCATCTCTGGGCTGTCATCAATATGCGCGTTAAGGTGATTCGATGATCGCCATCTTTTGTGTCAGAACGACATGCGATATATCACATCGATCGGTCCCATTTTTTTCAGCCACTCATAATTTTTCTCGAATTAAGATCGCAATTCTGTTGTCAGGAGACCAAAGAATTCACTCTCCGATTTTGACAAGCAAATTCAACATAATAAAGGCATGGTTTTTTCAGAGAAAAAATATCGCATTCGAGTGGATAGTTTCGATATCAGTATCGAATGCGATATTTTCCCTCTGATTGTTGTGTCTGATATCTGTCTTTATTACGTTGAATTTGTTCGTCAAAATCGGTAAGTGAATTCTTTAATCTCCTGATAACAAAATTGCGATCTCAAAACTCGAGGAAAATGACGGGTAGCTGAAAAAATAGAAATAATCGATGCGATATATCGCATGTCGTTCGGACACAAAATATAGCGTCTATAGAATCACCTTAAGGTGTATTTTACTTGTATTTTAAAAAAGGTTAAGTTTGCTAAAAATAGGCAATTTTAGAAAAAAAAAAAAAAAATTACCCAGTGGCCTCTCAAGTGTTCTAAAAAGTGCAAGTCTAAAAATTGGTATTATGGTGGGAGTTTTATCGTGTCAGGGGATTTTTTTTCACGATTACGCCAGAATTCTCTGGCCGGATCAGGGAAGTACATTATGGTGAATGCGAAAGGGGGTGAGAAAGCCCCAGTATATTATACGAAAAAGGTAAAAATTTCAAAAGAAAAGTTTAATCTTTATAAACATAGAAATAACATAGATAATACTTCAAAAATCGATGGGTTCAAATTCGGGTCAATTTGACCCGACCTGGGACTTGGTGTATGATAAAAGGCTCNTTAACGCTTCGACCAACATTTTTGGAGAAAGCACTGCCAGATGAAGTGATGGGGTGGTTTAACCCAGACACATAATTATGCGTTTCTTATAGTATGCAATGGTTTCATTCGCAGTTTTGTCGCTACCATATCGATGGTGAAATTACTAAACCTTATTCCTTGTTTCGCGACGTTGAAAATCTCCCGTCAGATTTTTCTCTTCGGCAGAAGGCCAGATTATTGATTATCCTCCATCATTCCTCCAACAATATTCTCTGAAAATATAGGAGAAGAATGTCTAATAGTATTTTCCACAAAAGTAAAAGATTGCGGAAATGTTCAAGCACCGGCAAGGCGCAACCGAGACCCGTGATGAGATGCGATTAGGTGACTTACCTCCGACATTTTAAATTTCCCGCTTTTACGAGGGAGCAGCTTGAAGCAGGTGTATCGATTTGCTGGTCCAAAATTGTTTTACTGTCGTTAATCCATCTAGAGTACAATTTTCATTTGTAAGATCGATGATGGGATTTAAGATAAAATTCATGGACCTAGATTGACATATTAAACTGCGATCAGAGTTGATAAAAAAAAACCAAATTGCTCGTGTCCATCTTGTGATTAAAAACATAACAATTAATGTAATGCGTAGTGCTTTCTGGAAAATTAAGAATGAGTAACCTGTAAGCATGGCGGCGCAAATTGCGATGTAAACAAACAGTCCTGAGATGTTTACAGACGAAGTGGCGAGCACGTGTGTTTCCAGTTCGGCAATTTTAAATTAGTTTATTTGTTTTAGTCTTGTGTAATAAAGTTTTCACTAAGATCCTCGAATCCGTCTTGCTGTGTTTTCATATCCTCGACAACGTAAACGCTTTCCGCGAAGGCTGTCAATTTCTAGCTAACCTCCTTGAAGACGAGTGAAGATGGTCGTTATCACGAACTTTTCTCCTCCAACGGAAGGTCTAAGGCACGTTGAGGAAAATACTGTGGCCGTTATGAACAACAAAGAACTAGGATCAGGAACATTATATGTATCAGAAAGGTTGGTGCCCAGACAATCATGCTGTACCTACTAGTCCGGAGCTACCTTTTTACGTTGCTCTGCGATTAGTCAGAATTTGATGATAATTCACTTTACCGTCTCGCAAAATACAGTATTATTATTCACACAGTATTAACACGTATCGTTGTCTCTGTGTTGCGCAATCAGGATTAATTTATAGCCTCTTATCCATTGGGAATTCACGTCATCCATAACGTAACCGTTACAGCCCTTTACAAGTGAAATGGAGAGTGGCAGTCCAATGGCACACAAGAGAGACTATTTTCCAATTCCTTAGAGGTGTCATCAGCTCAGTCGGCACTTGTTTATGTTTTGTTTGCAAGCTACCATTATGCAGTTGTCCAATGGCGATCAAGGATTGACAACGCTCGCGATCGGGGATTGATTACGATCGCGATTGGGCAGCAGTCAATCCTTAATCGCTATTGGAAATTTCATTGCGGTCGCTTGCAAGCAGAATGCAAAAAAGCGTCAACTTACCTAACAACACTTCTAGCTACCAAGAAAACAAAAAACTCACCATTTTTAAGAGGAAGTATGACTATCCTGAGACTTATCGGATAGAATAAACTTTTCCTTCAATTGTTAGCATGAGATTTTCAGTTGAAGTCTGTTTTCTTGTCAGTATGTTATCACAGGCACTGCAAACCCTTGTTATTCGACATAATCAATTCATAAAGGCTACTAACTTCCTCACTCCTGTCTTCTTGGTCTCTGCTATCTAGAACTTGAGCTGTCACTGAGTCGAAACTGGACAGTAGCTTAGTTAGCCCTGCTGCATCTCTTTTTATTAGTTTTTTATTGCTCAGTACTGAGATGATTTGAGTGATAGTTCCAAAATTTGAACCGTGAAGAAAAATTAAGAAATTATTTATTTTGACCAGTTTTCCAAAGGAAGATTAAGTAAAGTTTGACATGAAGTCGGGAACATTGCAAAAGTAAGTACGTATGCCCTTACTTTGGTCATCAAACTTAATTTCTATTAATTTCCTTTTTATTTTTTAATTTCAGCAACTTATCATGGAAAAACGTTGACACAGACTCCGGCTTTTCTTTGGAATACATACACATTGCTCTTCATGCAGTCAGTAGAGACCTCACAGCATATCCTAAAGAATGTCTCTACGTCATGGTTGACAAGAAATTAGAAGATGATGGTAAGCTTAATTTTTGTGAATCCACACATACTGTATTGACAAAAAAATCAGAGAATGATACTTCCTGAAAGACCGCAACCACCATTGTTTTTTCACCCACCATTCATATTGATTGTGGTCTTCTAGTTATTCTTCTGTCCACCGTAAGTATGAGAAAATTGAATGATTTTGTAGTTACTTTTGCAAGATGTTATCTATTGTCTTGGTTTGGAAAGAAATTGACGCAAAAATTATTATCTTTTTTGATCTCTAGGTCCGGAAAAACTATCAGGGGTCAACATCAGAAAATTTCTCTCAGTTCCTAAACGAACTCATCTCTTAAATTCTCAATGTTTCCTAGGTGAAAATGGTACCTTTACCTGGTAGTCTCCATGATAGCTTATCAAATTCATCCAGAGTATTTCTGACTCATTAAAAACTACTGGCCCCCTCAGCTGAGAATTTTTTGTTTTGTTTTTTCATTTCTCACTTTCTTTTTTTGCACTTTGTATTCACTCCAAGGAGAGTCGTTTCCTGATTGAGTGATCTTGTTTTGATCGTTAATGATTGGAGAATATAATGTCTCATGTATCTGTTTCAAAATTTGTCAATTGATTTATTCACTAGAGGTTCACGGTTATGAATTTATAAATTTCAGAAGAAGCGGCGGAAGATGAAGAGTCTGATGAAGAAGGGGATTCCAATTCTGGCATGACAGAGATGAGATTTATTCCTGAAAATAAAAGTTCCTTGGACAGTATATTCACTGCGATGAACTATTGCCAGTCCCTGCATCCTGATCCAGTTCAGAGCCTTTCAGAGGATGAAGGGGAGGAGGATGAAGATGAAGGTGACTTTTTTACTTTTATCAGTTGATTTCTACGAGGGGTGTGAAATTTCCATGGTAACATGATCATAATATCATGGTTGCTTGCGTTATTAAATAGGTATAGAATTGTGGTGAAATTTGCAGGCTTTTCAAAATTTTAGCAATTTGCGAATATAAAGAACAGGAAAAAGGTCTTAGTTCTAAAAATTTTGGGTAACTATCGGTTTTTAAAGTAGCATAGCAGTTTGGAAAATGGGAAGGCTAAGAACTTTCTGCACCCCTGATTTGGATTGTACTCAGCAGAAAAGAATTAAGTTACAACATGAATTACCTCTTTGATCGAAGTCTTAAACGACAACCAGAAGTCAAAACAGAAAAAAAGGTGTTCAAAAGTTTATTCTCTCAAAAAACATATTTTAATAAATATACTTCAAGTCTATGATTTTAATATTAAAGTTCTTCCTGAATTTTGGATGCTTTTGGTAGAAAATTAAAATGTTTGTTAAGAGGATTTTTTTTAAAAATGTTACAATGTTTCCTTCTGTTAAATTATGCGCAAAAAGTAATAATCTCCCCACCTAATTTATTTCAGTACATAAAATATCATTGAATATTTTACTAAAGCCTAAAGACTCATGCCATTTGAAAAATCGGTGTTTAATTCATCACTACCAAGTGGTATATGGATGCCATGCCAACGCAAGAATTTCTTCATGTAATTAGAATTACATAATTTATTAAATGTAAATTCCAAAATCTTTTTTAGTGGAATATGACAATGATGTCTTGACTGAACCAATAAAACTTTCAAGTTTTAAAATGGCGCAGATATTTTAAAAATTAATCATGACAGTTAAAAATTATTTTTTTTAATTACCTCCATGTATTAAAATTAAAGTTTGAGGAATTCATTAGAAAAAAAAAAAAAAATATTAAAAAGCCCTACTGTTGCAGCAACTTAAATCAAGTAATCCAAAAAACTCACCTATCAAAATGATACATCTTTTATAATCATCCTGAAAACTGCCATGAAGGTTTCAAGACAGTGTAAAATGTGTTTTAATAGGATTTAGTACCAAATAAATAAGTTTTGAGTCTGATAATAAGCTCGTAAAATAAATCTGTAGGTTGCTCTGCAAGGTAGACCACTAACACTGCAACTTAATCCCAGAGCTTGCACTCGTTTCTTTGGCATTTATTGGAGGGGAAAAATGCTTACCCTTGCAATAAAGAAGCCTAATTTGATTGAATTGCCGCAGTTAAAAATGACATGTTATGTTCTACCTCTTTCTCCAATCAATCAATTAGACCTATCTTAATTTTTCCTCAATTGTTTCAGATGAGATGGGAGATGAGGATGATCGCCACATAGGAGTTGCTGCCAATGGTACGTTATTCAGTACTAATTATTGTATGTATTTGACTTTGGTGATTAATGATTCATCAAAAGTGTCAGTGATAATTACCAAGTAGCATAATTCATCCTCAGTCCATCAAGACAGCAGAAAGTAGGACTGAGTTATGAGATTGTTTATCTTGTGCCCTGTTTGAAAAGGTAAAAAGCCCTTAACGGTCCTCAAAAAAGAGGAACCTTTGTCCGCTTAAACTTATCATTGATATATTGATATCAGATGATAGAGAAGTTTTGCATCGGCATCTCTGGACAAAATGGCAGTTTGAGTTTTACAGTTTTGAAAGCCAGGGTGTCTAGCGACTGAAAACTGGGAAACATACGGAAATGTTTTTGGATATCAGGGAAAACGTCAGGGAATCTGAAAAAATTTGGCATGTCAGGGAATTTGATCTTATGAGCGATTTTCAAGTCGGGGGGAACATCAGGGAAATTGAAAAACACAGACATTCCGGAAAATGCTTTGCGAACTTTACCCTTGCAGAGATTTCTACCAAAAATTCTACCAGAATTTCTGCGGATGTCTTTTAAATTTTAAAAATGAGGCAAAAATATCTTGCATAAGTGTAGGCGTTGTTTATTTTCCTCTATTTATTACATTATATTTTTAAAACATGAACAAAATTCTTACATAATCAAATTCTTATCTAATCAGCCCAAACATGTTAAAAAAAAAAATTAGGCATATTTTTCCTTTTTGTCAGGGAATTATTTTTTCTGTCTGTCAGGGAATTTTGAATTTTTCCCTGGTTTGTCAGGTAATTTTTTAATGAAAATTGCTTGACACCCTGAGAATGAAGTTTTTGTGTCGGAATGTAAACAAATTTATCCAAAATGCTCCAGAATCTAGGAAAGATGTTTTGTTAAAACGACCTGGTCGTACATACTTAAAAAAACCGAACATTGACCGGAAATTTTATTAAAAAAACCTCTTTCATTTTTTTGTTCAAAAGACTGAAAATTTTTTTGTATGATTCATAGGTTGTGCAAATGGACTCAATGGAAGCGATCACACACCAATGGAAACAGATGGTCAATTTGAAGATGCAGAATCTTAGTCACTCAGCAAAGCAGAAATCAGCTGTGGTAAACGTAAAGCGTATATTGTCAGTGGAACTCAAAAATCATGTATCTTGTTTGCGGTGTTAACAAGTCCCTGCTCCCGTTTTATTTTTTCCAGGAGGACAATCTGATATCATTCCTTAAAGTTCTTTAGAATTTCCTTCGGAAGAGTAGAAAGATCATGCTAGTTTTCAAGAGTTTAAGTTGGGTAGTTCTCTATCTAAAAAATAAAGTATGACAGGAAGTTTGCAACTTCGCAAATTGAGATACATGCTTTGGGAGTTTCATCAATGATGCGACAGTTTTCATTCAAAATACAAAAGTTGTGATAAAGTAGGTTTCAGAAACCAACAACTGACCAGTCTGAACCAGTCTGTTCTTTAATACGCTTTGAAACTTTTGCATGTGGTCTGATAGTGTTTTGAAAGTCATTTTTTAGTAATTGAGATCTTCCTTGTCAGGTCATTTTCTGAAACTGAACAAAAATTTTTGTTGGTTGTTTACATTTCTTGTCAAAACATTTTTGTTTTCATGGCCTCATTTTTTCTATTTATTATATCAATGTTAAATACTGAACTTTATCATTGAAGTAATGACATAACATTCTATGAGGAGTGTGGATTGTTCAGGAAATGAATTATTTTTTAGTTGTGTTGAATGTAATCTTTAAATATCACTAAATTGAGAACTTCAGGAGCATTTTCATTACTTGAGTGTATTGTCAAAAACACAATTTAAATTTTAAATTTCAAAGCAGCTTGTATCACTCTTATTTTAATCACGTTTAAAAGTATGCGATAAAACCCCTTCCATAATGAAAACAATTGTAATCTTTTCTCACGAATTTTACAAGCACTCACTCTTCACATTAATTGTTTCATTTTTTCTATGACAAAATAAAAAAAAAATTAAATGAAAATCCAGTATTTGGGATTTATTTTTTTTTCAACTTAGCCCTTTCTAACATAGCTACCCCTAATACGATATAGACATCTTATTTTGCATCAGTTTAACCTGACTTTTCTTTTAGATTACATACCTTGAAAATAATTAATGTACCTCTTTTTACCGAGTTCCATCAATTATTCATGGTTGCACCGCCTGAAAGGTATAGTGAAGTTAATGTTTTTGATGTTCAAACTTTTATCAAAAGTTGGGCGTGTGAGTTCATCAAACTCTGAACACTGTCAGTGGAATTTCAATGGTTATTTCCCAGTCGACGTAAGTACTTTTTTCACAAGTTAGTCACAAGTGTCGGGAGAGGAGAATTATCCTACTGACTCTGTGACGATAGACCCCTCGACAAGAGATGTATTAAAACATTCTGGTATGAGTTTCCTCTTCAAAATTTCTTTCAAAAAACAGTTTATGCGAAGAAAATGATTACAATAATTCACAACCAAGACGTTAACGTTTTTATCAAACACAGGTAGAGGGTTAAGAAAATAAGTTCTGAGAAACAAATTACACGAATTTTATTATAAATGTTTAAGAAAAAAAAAGAAGACATTATAAAGAGCAATTGTGCCATGGGTACATTAACCGTGCAAGGAAAAAGAAGAACACTTTTTATTATTTCAAGAGGGTAACTGTCAACTGTTGATTCACATTATTTATGAGATGAGATGGAGCGGCTGATTTTTTTTAAAATACTTGGCATATCAATACTGAGCTTTAAACTCAGTACGTTAGTTGGAACAGTAATTTTGACGAAATTATTTGTGCACTGAGGACTCTACTTCCTTTCTCTTTAACAGACGAATTTAATAGGATCAGCATCGTGGCAGAGTTTCAGGCCTTTCGGGTCTTATCATGACTTAATAACTAAACAAATTACAGTTTAACAATTTGTCAGTTGCTTCACCGAGCTTTGAAAGACTGGATTTTTCTAAAAATGAATTGCCCACATTAACGAGAGTGAAAATATGCATTCATTTTGTTAAAACATAAAAATATTGAGATGAAGTTGCTTGTAATCTTACAAGACAGAAAATTAACCTAAATAAAGGAAAATACCTGATTGACGACAAGATTAGATGAGTGCGAAGATAAATTTGATTAGTAACTGTGATTTTAAAATAAAAGTTATCATGTGTTCTTAGTATAAAGTAAATATTATTGGAAAAATGACTGTAATTCAATTCATTTCAGTTAAAATGATCAAAGTTAAGCAATTAAAAAACATACAATTTTACACTGAATGAAAAATATTTCTAAGATGGGGATGAAACAAGGACTTTTCGTGTTACAAATTTCTAGACGTTGGCTGACCATGAGACTTGGAGAAATCAAGCTTTCGTAACATAAGGGATAAATTTCAAGTCAAAAATCGTTATTCACAACTGTTATTTCTGGATGACAGTTACCTAAGTACGGAGATAACTGATACTGAAGACTTGGCATGCACCTAAGTATGATAATTATTTTATACACACTTTTTATCCTTCATGGCAATCAATTGGAAGTAGCAGAACACAGTGGAATTGTGGATAAGATGAGATGACAAGGAGACAAAGGGTATTTGAAATTTCATGCCAGAACATTCATTGGTAACTTTAAACTCAGGTTTTCTTTCATTGGAATATGTGATCGATCATCAGTTTAGAATTTCGATATTGATTTCAACTACAATTAGCAATTTTTTCACACTATACCAAAATAATTAGAATTTGTTATAATCCACTCGTTAAAACAACTATTGCTTGCTCTAATCTTGAAGTTAATAAAAGGAAAATCAATGGCAATTTTGGTGTGGTAAAAAAATGGTTTGGAAATCTTCGATAGCGAGCCAGGTAATGGATAGCTTTTCCTGGATTTGGTCTAGGAGGTAGTCGGATCCTCTGATTTTTTTGATCCACCTTTCTTCGGGTATCGATTATAATCCTTCTTAGGACGATAGTTAGGGTCCAGAATACGACAAACCAAAGATGCTCCTTCCAAATTAGAATTCTTGCAAAAGTAATCCATCAATTCTCTCCTTCTAAATGGTTCAAGGGTTTCATTAAAAAGAGGTAGACGGTACTTATCTAGTAACCTGTAGACGAAAGGATGGAGTATATTTCTGTCATGGTCAATGATGTAATTGGGGCGATTCAACAGAAGAAGTGCGGCAATTTTCCCCAATCCTGCTTTTTCAGCTTTCCGAAGCAAGTTGACGTGTTGCTCTACATCAGCTTCAACTTTGCGTCCTACAAACTTCGTGAACTCGGTGGGAAATTCATCATTCATGAACGTCGTCATCTGGCTCCTTGAGAAAGTGATGCTTTCATCCCGGATGAGTACATTAAAAGCATTTTTATGAAGTTTAATGGTCTGACTAATCCACAGACAATCATCCACAAAACTGTCAACATTTTTGCTTGTGACGTCATCGGCAAAACCAATACTTCCATCACTGTCCCGTTTAGTGATTCGCTTGAACACAGAGATTAGTTTCTGAGCAGCTTTGCGATTCTTCCAAAGAGCAGTGTCAATGTGTAGCATTCTATCTCCGGGATTATTCTTTACATCTAGAGTAGTGATATAGGTTGATTTAATACCTGCTGCTAAAGCTTCTAGACCGTCATTCTCGATTTCGTTTTCTTCAATTTTCAATTCAAGTAAATTACTGTTTTCGACACCGATTTCTTTTGCGAGAGCTTTTGCCCCGCGATCTGTTATAGCATTAGTGTTAATGTTCAGCGAAACAATCTGAGTATGCGCTAAACATCGAGCCAACACTTCTGCACCTTCGTCTTCAATTTTATTATTGCTTATATCCAGAATAGTGATTTGAGTCAATTTTAAAATTTCAGCGATGGCTGCAACACCATCTTCAATCCAATTTGAACTTAGATCAAAATAAGTAAAGTTTGTGTTTGCCAAACTGGATGCAATAGTTTGTGCACCATAGGACAAAAGCTCATTATAGTTCATTTTTAGAGACTCCAAGGCAGACTCCTTTGTTTTTGTGATAAACTGCGCTAAAGCTTCATCTCCAACTGGGTGTTTGAAGTTATTACTGATATCAATGGATTTTATTTGAGAGCCTTTGAGACAGTTACCAAGAATATCAAAATCTTCACCTTGCAGGTCATTTTCAGAGAAGTCTACTTCTGTTATTTTGGTATTTTTCACTGAATTGGCAAACTCTGTAATACTTGATTGCTGTAAATTGTTTGCGCTTAAACCCAGTTTCACTATTTTTGATTTCTTCAACGTGCGTATAAGATTTAAGCTAACTTCTTCAGAAAGATTACATTCTCCTAAATCAATGTTTTGGAGAGCAGAATTATCCCACAACTCTGGAGTAAATAACATTTCCCTGTCCTCTACTTGATTCCCTTCTAAATATAATGTTTTGATCGGTGTGTTCTTTAAATGTTCAAGGATGTTGCTAATTACATGAAAATCGTTGTAGCTCAAGTCCAACTCAATAAGTTTTGAGAAAACTAAACCAGATAAAAGAGTAATGATACCTGCATCTGTTATGTTGTTATTTCTGAGATTTAATATTTTTAAATTTGATGATTTCAACCCAAGCTGAAGAGCTTCCATTATATCATCGGAAATTTGGTTTTCACTAACATCGAGTGATGTTAAAGCAGTTTTGGGAAGGTTCGAGAATAGCGTGACTAAGGCAACTTTCGAAAGGGTGGCTTTGGAGAGGTTAAGGTGAGAAATTACAGTATCCGTCAAGACTTGGACGAAAGGAAGTCCTCCCGACCCTTGAAAAGAAATGGTGCTGAGATTTAAGTATGTTAGTTGCGACTTTCGTAAGTATGATGCCAATTCTTGTGTTTCACCATCCTCGAAATCAAAGTAGTTCTTAGAAACGTCTAAATCAATGACTCTGGTTTTCTCTAGCACCTTCATAAAAGTCAATAGATCTTGATTCGATAGATTACAAGAGGAAATGTTCAGATCCGTAATTTTTGTCTTTGTGATGATCTCAGTCAATTCTGTCATTCCATTAGACAGATCAGTGCCTTCAAGATTCAATTTTGTGATCTGAGATGAAGGGAGGACTTTTAAAACTGAATGTAAGGTGCCAACTTCAACTTCTTTTCGCTGTAAATCAAGACGATGTGATCCAGATTTTTGAATGAAGGCTGTTACAGCTTGAATCCAATCCTCAGAATCTGAGACTGTGTTTGAAGCCATTTTCTAATTTTGAGGCTTTTCCAAAATTGAAACTGTTGGTCTAATTGTTCAGATAAAAATACTTAGAAATTGAACGGCCTAACAAGAGATGTACCATGTTTTTTGCCAAATGCAAGGTGTAAACTTCTAAATTCTTAAAAGCTGAGAGTGCAAGGTCACAAATTTCATACCTTTATCAAAAGTACAGGGATGAATACAGGTTAGTTTGAAAATTCTGGAACTAAAAAGCAGATCTTCATGATACTTCACTTTAAATTACAAATATTGCCAAGATTGGGAAAGTGAGGCGAGTGTCCTGTTGTGACGACAGTTTTTGAGATTGAAACCACCATTGGTAAGCTTAATGCACTGCGACACATTCTACAATGGACACCATCCTAAAACAAAAACCATACTTCCATGAAAATTCCACTTTGGTTTTTTTCATTGAATAGGCCTTTGGAAAGTGTGTGTAAAAAATTGAGAAGGTTTGACAAATGTGTCATTCTACTCAAGCGTTTAAAAATAGTTGTTGGGGTTTTATGCCTCAAAAAAGGAAAAGAAAAAGCACAATCTGATAGAAAGAAAGAGATTTAATTCGAAGTGTTAAAATCAGGATAAAAGACAGTCAAAAAGTTAATTACTATGGCAAAATCCGATTGGATCAGATAATAGATCTGTTACCTGTGACCTTTTGGACTGGAATGAATTGATTACGAATAGAATACATTGAACATTAGGGAAGAAATCTTTTCTTACTTTCTTTGAAAAGCAGTTACCTGAACAAATAACAAATTACAAAAATAATGATACACTGATATATAACAGGTATATATCATTTATATAATACAAAATGAAAATTTAAAAAAAAAAGATCTCTTACTTTTCAAAGATTGAAAACACATCCTTCCAATAAACTGACGATAGGAGAAGTAGATTCACACATTTTAGGGTGAAGGGCCAATCATGAAATGCCGAACGCTTGTTGTTACATATGAAAGGATAGGAACCTACGTCACAAAAGCGTTTCCAGGGGAGGAAGGGGGGGTCGAAAAAACCGAAATTTAGCATAATGTATTCTACGAATAACCCCTAAATGGTTAGAAGAAATTAGAAATATCAAGAGATCATTACAGTGCATGATAGTTAAACAATAATTTTGATGAGTATCCGAGGACAAGCTCTTTACCAAACATGGTACGCATAAATCATAAAGGCTCGCACAAAAAATCTGACAAATAGTTGCTCTTGTAAACTGCACGATCTCAATCTGCATCAAGATACATACATTAGGAGGCATAAAAAAAAACATGTTCATAAGAGTAAGGAAACGAATTTTTATCTGATTTTGAAAACAACACATCATCTACAACTGATTTGGACCAAGTAACAGAAACCACCAAGTAACAGAAATGTTCCGAGTCGCATTTGGGACAAAAATTAGTTTTAAATACAACTAGCCGTAAATTCACACAAGTCAAAAATGCAAAATTGGGAAAAGTTATTTTAAATGAGAAGATTATGATTCAATTTATCCTTAATATTGAATCTAACTGAGATAAAAAACTTCAAACCTCTATTTTTCTCCATTTCAACTTGGTATGTTTCTGTCAAACATGGTCAAATTTTCTTTACATATAATCTATTTTATGTATAGGTTCAGGTATTACGTTCTTCTAGAATCAAGATTGTTCAAATTCTTTCAAACAACTTTATGGCATTCCTTTCCATGATACGATAACAAAACTTTGACTTGTACTATTGGGTAAATTAAGCTTCTTCATGCGCTAAAATTGTAAAATAAAAATAAGAAAAAACAAGTCTGGATTGCTAACAACATGAATGATTCATGAATGACTTTAATTTCCATTTTTTTTAATATTTGATTTCTACCTAAGAAGAGAGTTGACTTCAAGTGATACAATGAACAGGTTTCATTGACTTCAATATTCGGGGGAAGCAACAATATTTTGACTAAGTATTAAACCTAAAATAAGAATGTACAGCCGTTCCACCAAATATACTCTTCTTTTCTTTCTTAACCTATGTTTTATACCATTTTTTCTTCCTTGGCAACTCCTGTGTTTCGTTGTCAATTTTCCTTTTTTTGAATTTTTTAGACACGGGTTCATCTGCTGTTTTGTGATCGGAGACTAACCTCTCGAACTTCTGGTCACCTTTATCTTTACCCTCAAGTTTCTCTTGAGACTTTTTCGGTTTTCTTGTTTTATTGTACTCTCCTTTCTGCATTTGACGATTTTCAAGAAGTTGCGCCATTTGTCTCTTCTGTCTCTGAAGCTTTCTGACTTTCTTCACATTTTTTGCATGAGTTTGAGCTTGTTTTCGGACTTTATATCCACTCTTTAGGACTGTTTTACCAACAGAAGCCTGGAACCCTTGAAATTCGTTGTCTTTTGGTAATATATTTTCTGATTCACCATTTTCATTTTTTGACGAGTTAGACTTGGTTTTCTTTTCAAATTTATTTTTTTTCGTAGACTCATTTTTAAACAATGGATTATTTTTTCGGCTTTTCTCAAGACGTTTTTCCTTCGTAGCTATGGCTTGTTTGTTCTCGATAGAAAATAGAACAATAGGCCTCTTAGCTTTGGAGAAAATCTCAGGATTATTATTGATATTTCTAAGAGCTTCAAGGGCGTCTTCATGGGTTGTAAAACTAACATATCCGAACTCTCTTGAGGCAAAAGTGGCGTTTTGGTTGAATTTCTTCATGTCTTTCATTACTCTCGCCTCAGTAATGACGGCCTTTTTAGAAGAATATTGTTGGAAGAGCTTTTTCAGTTGGATATCAGTGTAATTTGGAGGTAAATTATAGATAACCAGTCTTGTTCGGGAGACAAATGTCAACATATTCTTTTTTAGTAACCGAGCTCTTACACTCTCAATACTCAGTCTCTTGTTCATGTCAGTGAGAGAAACATCTTTTGCTGCTTTGCTTCCTGCAAGAATCAAACCCTCCTTGGACAGATATAAATTCCTATTGTCATTCTTCTGACCTTCCTTGCTCTTGACAGTTCGCTTTGAGTAAATTTCATCTCGACTCAAGGCCATTGAAGCTTGCATGAGTTCACCATTGAGGACTAGGTCATCTTGTGCATTCAAAATTGCATCAACACTATCCTTGTTTTTGAACTTAACAAATGCTGTCCCACGTGAATGCTCAGTTGCTGCGTCCATGCAAACAAGGGCATAATACACTGGACCATACTTGCTCCTGATGAAGCTTTTGAGCTCCTCATTACTGACATCAAAAGGAACATTCCGCAAAAATACTGTCAGTCCTTCAGAGATGTCATTACTCTTCCTTGGCCCATCTTCATCAAATTTCTGTTTTTTCTCATGTTTGTCCTTGAGGGAAGAAGCTGTGTTATCCTCACTCTGATCATGATCATTTTCATTGTCACTACTATCACTATCGTCATCATTGCTTTGGTCATCATTACGATTGTCGGCACTATCTTCTGAGCTGTCAGTTTCTTCTTTGTCAATTGTCTGCCCATTAAGAGGAGAGGCTTTTTCAGAGCTATCTTCTTCCTCACTTTCACTCTCTGCCTCAGATTTTATGGAGGAGGTATCAAGCGTGTCATTTGCTTCATTAGAGTTTGTTTTTCTTTGTTTATTAGATGACCTGGTAGGTTCATCATCTGAAAGTACTTCTTCCTTGATTTCTATGGGTTCCGTTTTCATTTTCTCATTTCTAGAATGTTGACGTGCTGCACTTTTGGGCTCTGCCCACTTGAAATATAGAGGGCGACCTTGAAATTCTTTTCCTTCTAATTGCTTCATAGCATCTGCTGCAACTTTCTTATTTGAAAATGTGACGAAACCAGTGCCCATTTGTTTAAGTCCTTGTTTGACAATAAATAGATCTACAACTGGACCGTACTGACTAAAGTAATCCCGTAAATCATCTTCAGAAATTCTAAATGGAAGATTGGTAACAAATAGGCGGGGATCATTCCTACTTGGATTATCTATGTCGTATGAAGATTTTTTAGGACGAAAGGCACTGTCTGGTAGATCAACATCACTATTCTTGGGCTTCATATTTCCAACTTTAAAATCATGATCAACAACATTATGATAGACTGTTTTAGGAACTGCCCAGTCAACTATCATCGGTCTCCCGTGAAATGGTTTCCCACTGACATGGGCGATTGCTTTCCCTGCACTTTTAGCATTTTCAAAGTTGACGAAGCCACAGCCCACTAATTTACCGTCCGGTTTACGCAACAACTTCACCTCAGTGACAAGACCATACTGCTGAAAAAGATCAAGCAGTTCTCTTTCATTTGTCTTGAATGGAATGTTCCTCACAACCAAACGGCCTTTTTTCTCAGAGCCTGGCTTGTCTTTCTTGTTTTTGAACTTCTTTTTCTTCTTGCTCCGTTTTTCTTTCGACCCCCCATCTGCTTCAGGACGTGTTTTATCTGTTTTCGAACCACCCTTTGAATCATTCCTGGGGAAATCTCCATCCACATCATTCCGTGGAAAATCCTCAGTATCTGAATTGGACATGGTTTTGTATTATTATTTTCCCGCTTCGAATAGGTTCAAGAAGTGCGAGGATGATGGTCCAAGCTTAAGTGATAAAATTTCTACTACTAATGTATTCTATCTTACAAGTAAATTAATTTGTGAAAAAGAGTAATCCAGAGAACTTTCCAAGGACTCACATTTTGAGTGTCGCCAAATCAGGAGGGAATTTTTTGGCTTGACAGGCTGGAATTCGCAATTGGCTGATGTATTTGAATCAATTACTGAGGCAGAACTCTGGAAAAAATTCAATAAAATAAATACGATCAATTAAATGAAATTAATTAGAGGCAATTGCTCCATTAAAGCTGAATAGGATTAGTCAGAGACAAGTTGAAAAAAATGGTGAATATGTATTCTTCCTTCAGAGAGACTAGAGAGAGAGCATAGCAGATTAGACATTTTTGTTTAGTCTTTGCACCTGTTTTCGGACATGTTTTAATGATCTGTTTTTGAATCTTCCTTTGAATCGTTCTTAGGAAAGTCTTCATTTAAACCATTTCATGAAAAATCCTCAGCATCTAAATTGAACATCGCTCTGTATCATCCATAGAGAACAATAGAGTCGCAATGTACTGGAGCGCAGATGAAGTCAACCCTTCACCGATGTATTATTAGCCTCTTGATCCCTGGAAGTGGGAACCATGAGGCACTTTTTAATGTGGCAGCTGGGGGCAAGTCGTGGGACCCGGGTAGACTGGCCATGGGGGTGGGGGAGGCGATTGCCTCCTAAAAATTTGCCACAGAGGTCCCGAAGGGGCCCCCGCAGGGAATTCTTTTCGAGTAATCGTTTTCTTCCCTGTAATGTTGTAATTTTCCAATGCTTATCAGTCACTAAAAGGCCCCAAAATCCTTGAAAATTTGTCTCTAAGTGACATGAAAGGTCGCCTGAGGCTTAGGTGATGAAGGGGCCCCCGAGGAATCCTAAGAATGGGTTATTTTGAATTTCAAATACTCAAGAATTTGACTCCAATAATACTTAAAATTGCATTTAAAAAGTGTGAAATTTTCAACATTTTCCAGGGGAGGACCCTTGGACCCTCTTAGAAAGGCCCCCAAATCTAGGGCATCTCCTAACTTTTCGACTACAGTCCGCCCCTGCTAAGAGTGATATATGGGATTTATCACTTTAAATCTATAATTATTTTCGCAAATTTCAGCAAATTATGTTGACCAAAGTCATGAAAAATTAAAATATGTAAGAAATTACTGACTAGAATAAAATAAATTTTATGCCTGCATTTTCTGAGCAAGGCCATGCTAGAACCCTGCGCAAACAGCATCGCTACTTAGTTGCTGCACTCCTGTCTCAAGAACACTGGACAAAACGGCCTCAAAAAGTAAATTAATCCAGGCTCAAGAACATTGCAACTCTATTGTACTCTATGGTTTGCTCCCATTGCTTCGCCCACTTGGAATATCTAGATGCAAAAATTATAGGGACGATGGTCCAACCTCAAATTGTAGAATTTCTACCAAGCACTGGTGGGTCCCAACTTAAAAGTAAAATAATTTGTGAAAAAGAGTAATCCAGAAAAATTTGCAAGGACTTACATTTTTAGTGTCACCGGGATAGAAAATCAGGAGTGAATCTCTTGGCTTCACCGACTGGAATTCGCAATTTTTCGATGTCTAAGTATCAAGGACTGGAGTAGAACCATACGTCAATGAGTAGAACCCTAGGGAAATAAAATAAGCACAATAAAATTGAATGAAATTGATTAGAGGCAAACGTTCCATTGAATCTACGTGGAAATGGCCAGAAACGAGTAAAAAATGATGAATGTGTAAGTATCTTTCCTTTAGAGAAAGCATGGCCCATTCGTCATTCAAGTAATAGGAAACATGGATTCGAAAGAAATCCTAGATGAGTTCAAGCGTAAATTATGAAAGATCTTCAATAACACTTACAATGGAAACAACAGGAAATTTTGAGAACTTAAATAAAATTGTATAAGCTCGAAAAAACTGAAAATTCAATAATGCAGTACAGGACAGGCCACACGTTGTGCAATTTTTGTAAACAAAGACCTCATGGTTCATTTCATAGGTTATGTTTGTTGTGTTATGTTTTGCGAATTTGCGAACTTATCACCTTTCCGCATCTTCTTTGATGCTTCTTTGCCGGTCGTTCGTACCTTATTATTCTATGTTCGTACTATTTCTAAAATTTTACCATTTCCACAGCATCAAATCATTAATTCTCAAGGTGAAGGCGTGATGAGTAAGTCAGCTTTCCATCTAAACTTTATTCCATCTAAGCTAGTTATTATTTTATGTTCGAACTCTTGGGCCCTGTGCCTGTGCCCCGTCTTCACAGAACATCTCCATGAGATTTTTTACAGGGATAGGTCTAACTTGCGAAGTCACGACAAATTTTGACTAACTGAAACTAAGTAATCGCAGTACCAAGAAGGGTCCTTGGAGAGATCCGAGACTTACTGCGAGAGGAAGGAGAGGTGAAAGCAAATTGTCTGATAGTAGTTTTGTCGTGCACTCAGTTATTTATTTGTTTAATTATTACAGTCTAGAAATGCGCTAACTTATTTGGCGTGGATTCTAATCAGGTAGAGTTGGGCAGAGCAATCGTATGTTGAGACTAGTGTCAAGCACCGTTTATGTCGTCACTCATCAGTGGTGCCCTTTGACTGCATGTATTAATGTGTCGAGTGGTGCTGATTCAGAGCTTATCAGAGATCGACATTTGTCTCGAGAAGGAAGAGGATGACTCTGCTCCAGGAAATGGTTGCTATTTATTACATAAACCCAAGTAGCAGTGATCGCGATTAATAGCGATTTTATTGGTTGATTATCGCGACTATATCAGTGGCAATTCATTGCAATATCATCGAATAAGAAATTGCGATTTATGGCGATTAAATCGTTATGCATTGTAATTTTTTGTTTAATAAAATCGCGATCAATTTTGGTTGATAAAATCGCCACATATTGCGAGTTTTGTTTCGATAATATTGCGATACATTGCTGGGCGATGAAACCGCGATTTTATTGCAAAAATATCGAGAATAATCGCTCAGATGTTGATGATCCTAGGTTAGGTATGCAACAATATATTGCTATTCTTGGGTTCTATATGCGTTGAGAATTGCTACTTGGGAATATTGATGTATCTGAATTTTATATTTTTTGTTTCAGTCACCGCAAACATGGAAACTTAAAGAGACTCTTTGTCAATGGACAGCTATCTGGCTACTCTACTTGATTCTTTAAAAAGATCTCACTCAGTTTAACAGCCTCAAAATGCGGTGAGAAAAATTTTTCACTTTAGTCCCTAGACAATCTAGCCTATTGTTTTTTTTGTTTTTGTACCTCAAGCTTGTACTAAAATTACGAGGTTTGTTCCTAAAGTAAGTTCCATGGTCTTGTCTCTTCAAAACTTTTAACAACAAATGATTGCAATTGATAGAAAATGTATCTGTCACACTGTTAGGTATCCAGCGAGCTCAAGAAGTTGATAATTGGCCGAGCGGTGTATATTTCATAAGCTTATCGTATGCAGGAGATCACAAGAAACATCAAACTAAAAAATCTGTAAATTCAACCAGCAGCAAATTTCTTTGTATTTTCATGGTCCTTGGTTCTTCAATTTCAATGGTCCAAAACAAAGCCAGTGAAAATAATTTCAGAGGCCTAGAGCAATCTGTACTCAAGTCAATCTAGAGACTGTTGTAATCAAACAAATAAATTGAAAGTTTAATTTTTTTTCTACTAATTAGTCAGAATTACTAATCCCTTCCCCTTGATAATGTGTTTTTGATTCTAGGCTGAACGTCGATGGATTGATTGTCTATTTTCCTTACGAATATATTTACCCAGAGCAGTATGCCTACATGGTTGAACTCAAAAAAACCCTTGATGCAAAGGTAATTTTCAACTAAAACACATTTAATATGACCCATAAATGTTTAGAATAATAATTTCATTTAGTCCTTAGTGACCACAGAAGCTGGGAAATTTAAGGTATAAAATTGTAAATAACATGACTGAAGCGAAAATAACATCAAATGTGTTAAATCAAAATAACTAACTCAAACTCACAAATGAAACTTTGTGACTGCAAGCAGTAAGCGTGTAACAGAGAAATTTTTGAGTCGTAAACAAATTTAATTTGTGAGTCAGAATTTATCCTTTTGATTCTACATGTGTTATGTTTTTTACTCAGTCCATATCGACGGTGTAAGTCCGCAATCACATATCTCGTTTGCAGTGTCTGAAAATTTTTGGCTCTATGTTATTTTTTTAAAGGAGAACAAATTGACATCATTCCTTGAAGGTTCAAAAATCACGGCAGATTAAAAGAATTGCCATGGAGTAGTTTTCCGTTAAAAAAATAAAGTATGACAGGAAGTCTGGGAAGTCGCAAACCGAGTTATGTGATTGCCGACTTACACCACCGATATATTACATTCTGTGACTACGATGCCTACGATAAAGACAGTAAACTTATCAACAAGGTTTTCTAGAGGAACATTTGTTGCGTTGTCTTTGAGGAAGTTCCTGAAATTTTCCCTAAAAGTTTCCAGAAGAATTGTCATTTAAACAATTTTTGGACATTTTTTTTTACAGTTTCTCTCTACCTTTCTGCGGCTTTAAATAATTTATCAGCTTTTATTGAAAATATTAATACGAAGCATGAAGCATTCAAAGAAATGTCAGAATATATCATGGCAAATGTACATATTGTTTTCTTTACAATCAACATAACAACGGTGAAAGTTGGCAATCACATAACTTGGTTTGCGACGTCGCAGACTTCCTTCATACTTTATTTTTTAAACGGAAAACTACTCAACGGTAATTCTTTAAAACTTCCGTGATTTTTCTTCTATGTGCGAGGAAAATTCTGCAAAAACTTCAAGGAATCATGTCCATTTGTTCTCCTTTAAAAAAATGACATAGTTGTGGAGATTTTCAGACACCGCAAACAAGTTATGTGATTGCCGACTTGCACTGTCGATAATCCTTCAAAAATTCTAAAATACTTAATTGAAGTGATGATATTTTACCCAAGTTGCTTCAAAAAGGAAATATTTTATTTTTACCTCGATTGTTTCAGGGCCATTGCTTGTTGGAGATGCCTTCAGGTACTGGAAAGACGACGTCACTCTTGTCTCTAATTTTAGCATACATGCACGCATTTCCTTCTCAAGTCACTAAACTCATTTACTGCTCACGTACGGTACCGGAGATTGAGAAAGTTATAGAAGAATTGCGTAGACTTTTAAGGTACTATGAAACGGAGGGTGAACAAATCAATATTTTGGGTCTAGTCCAGAGTGCCCGAAAAAATCTTTGTATTCACCCAAAGGTGAGTTGGTTTTTACATTTTTAGAAGTTTTTAATACAAAGCCTAATGTAGCTGAAAAATTGTGTTTAAAGCACGGATTTACTAATATTCAATTCCCAACTCCAGTGTTAAATGTGTGACTCAGTTTTATTAAAATTGCAAGCTATCTCTATAATTTTGACTCTGTAAGCTCAGGTACCCACATCAATGGTGAAAGTGCAGAAATTCGTATCTTGGTTTGCAGAGTTGCAGACTTCCTATCATACTTCTGCAACAACTATTACTTCATACTACACCAAAAACTACTGAATGTCATTTCTTGAAAATCTTTGGTGGTTTTTCTTCTTTTTGTGAAGAATATTCTGTGAAAATTTCAAGCCATAATTTGATCTTCTTGTTAAACATCAAATAGAAGTGCAGATTTGGAAACACTGCAACATAGATACGCATTTATGCAGTTTTACGCTGTTATATAGTGTGCAGAAGGAGATAATCTTGTGGACAGTTCATTATTATTTACCAGTAAGTGTTACGTATTCTCAAGATAAACTTTAAATGTCCTATGGTAACTTATTAAAAACTTGAAAACAAGCATATAAAGTTATCCATCTTCTGAGTCAAGTCACAATTCTCTATAGAAAATCCAAGATCTCAATTGGTTAAGTATCCCATGCACAGCTTATCTTTGCATTTGAATTTCATTATTCAAATGTAAATGTATAAATGTATATTCATTTTCTCCAGGTAAGTAAAGAAAGTGATGGATGGATTGTGGATGGAAGATGCCATAGTTTGACAGCCAGTCATGTTCGCGAAAGACATCGCAATGATGATCAAGTTCCTGTATGTGATTTTTTTGAGAAGTTCGATGCCTGTGGCAAAGAGATTCGGCTTCCTGTAGATGTATACAGTCTAGAAGATTTAAAAAAGTTCGGCAAGGAACATGGAATTTGTCCCTACTATCTGGCCAGATACACGGTAAGCTATCCTTATTTTTTTTGTCTCCTTCAAAATAGTGTCAATTCTATCCAAAAATATACAATGTAATAAAACCAGATACCTAAATCAATAAAACTCACCCTCTGATTGTAATGTTGATACTTGTAAACCGTAATGAAAAAAAGTGCCTAAGGTTCTTGGAAAACCCTGTGATGGTGAAACTTACTAAAATTAGCTCGGTATACAAAAATTCAAGGTGATCCCAGGTTTTTTGTTGAGCAGATTGTTTAAAGCAGAAGACATGAAGAACATTATTTTCCCTCTTTTGAATTGAACTTTTAAAGCACCCTAGAGTTTTCAAATTACAACTTTGTATATGCCCATGTTGACGAAAACGGTGCTGAAAAGTGAAGTTTTTGGCATTTTTCCTTATGTTTCTTTTAGTGGTGTACAACTGTCACTATGTGTCTGTGTGGATGCTGAGTTGCCCATTTTTATAATCAGAAGAAATTGGATTCTGTTCATCCGTCTTATCTTCCTGGCCAGCAAATAAATAATAGCTTTCCTTGATTACAAAATAGATTTTGCATCATTTCCTCTAGATAATTTGTGTGAAAATGCCGACAAATTTCCTTTTCGGCGTTGTTTTTCTTCTAATTGGCATGTAAGAAGTTTGATTTTAAAAGCTCATCAAGCATAGGAGGTTGCAAAGGACATTGTATCCAATAGTAATGAAAAACAGAGCCATGGAGGGATCTTTTTAATTTTTCTCTCACATTATGTATAAAATTTTGAAAAACAAATGATGATTATGATATTTCAAACTTACGTGATCCATTGTCAATTAATATGCTTTATTTTCTCATTAAAACACATACTTATCATGAAAAACTTTGTGTATCCGACAATGCGTGTACAATGCTAGTCCTCCATTATATTGCAGTATCTTCTGGAAAATTACTTATATTTCAATAAATTTCTCATAGTTCTCTTTACCCTAATTGCTTTCCAACATCTTATTTGTTTTTTGCATTTTCCAGATCACATATGCCAATGTTGTTGTATACAGTTATCACTATTTGCTAGATCCCAAAATTGCCAACGTAGTCTCTAAAGAATTAGCAAGGTCGTCTGTTGTTGTGTTTGATGAAGCTCATAATATAGGTATGTGTATGTTTCTCACATAATTTGATGTTGATTCATGACCGACTGTATAGTCATATAAAGTTAAGTCCTCTTCAGAGCACCAATGTAGAAATTATGGGTCACAATTTATAGTCCTCTAGTCATCGCTTAACGGGTTGAGCATTTTTGTGGAGCATGTCTTGGAGAAGAATTCAATGGGTAATTTTCCACAATTTTTTCTGTAGAACATTGAAGAATATTCTGTAAAAACATCAGTAAAATGCATGCATTTGCTTTCCATATAATGAATGAAATAATTACAGAGATTCTAAAACACTGCTCAAAAAATTCCCCTCTCTCACCCAGCGCCTCAATTATATACAAGGATAATGTTCTTAGAGCCTTATTATATATTTCCTCTCAATCAATGAAATTAAAGTAGGTGTATCTTCTTAAAGCCCAGTTTTCCTTACTTCTTTGCAGTCACTTGTTCGATAGCTGAAGTTTCATTGAAGCATTCTATAAATTTATTTAACTGTTATTAGTCACAAACTTCAATTGTTTCCATTTTCAAATCGGAGCATATCCTGTGATTGTGAGCCTATACAAATAATTTGATTACTTAATATGACCAAATAATTCATTTTAGTGCACTTTTAATGAAGAATTTTCTCAAAGTAATTAAATATCAACTTTATGTTTCATTTTCAGATAATGTCTGCATCGAATCTCTTAGCGTCAGGCTAAACAGAAAAAGTGTTGAAAAAGCAACCAAGAGTATTGAAGTTCTAGAAAATTCTGTAAAAAAGTAAGTTGAACTTAAAGAAGAAAATTATTTCTGAAACAATTCAAAATCTCTAGCAAGTGAACCGTCACACTAATTAATTCCTAGCTTTGAGATCTTTCTCAGTCAATATTATTCTGAATTTTGAAACTACTGCCTTGAGAAACTTGAATTACCACAGAAGGAGTACTCTAACCTCATCCCAAATTTTAGGAGTTGTTTGGCCGCAAGCGCTCAATTTTTAAAAGCCACAGTGAATTTTGAATACTCAGCATGAAATATTGTAAGGAGCTAGGACACCACAGAAATTAGAGTTGCGCTAATTTTCTAGGTGCTGTGTTCGGTTATTGCCTTATAGTTTCATATATAGTTGCTCAGGTCTGCCTAATGGATGCATTTTACAAATAGTGCCCAGTTAAGTTGTCAGATTATTGAAGGCATGATCTTAAATTAGGTGTTCAATGCAGGAATAACCATACGCATTAACGAAGAATTCTGAAGCCTTATCAGCACTGCATTCATCTTTGCTAAATTATATTTGAAAATTTTCAGAATGAAAGAAGTAGATGCCAAAAAGTTGAAAGAGGAATACCAGCGGTTAGTTGAAGGACTGAGAGATGCAAATGCTGCGCGGGAAATGAATGATATTCTCTCAAATCCTGTATTACCAAATGAAGTACTCAAAGGTAAGATACAACCCACACTTCTTATGTAATGGTTTTTGATGGAAGTGATCAGTACAAATAGCACTTAAATTTGGAATGTCTCGGAAGGTTTTGCCAGTCATCCTTGCCCTAACTTTCAAGACATCAAGACTGGTGGGGGAGAGTCTAGTCTAATCAAGTCAAAAAAACCTGGAAAGGATTTTCTGCCTGGAACTAAAAAAAATGACCTCTTCAGCGCAAATCTAGCCTCTTTTGCTTTCAAAGAAAATCAACTTTCAATGAGTATGGATTAGAGGACATTTTATTGCTCCAAAATTACTTTTCATGTTTTATATTCAAATCACAAATCATGCAACATTATTCCTCTGTTTGTTTTCCATGAAAATAAATTAGAAGTGGACAATTTGACATGCTATAATGAATCTACTTGTTTCCAGTGCTTAGCTGTGAATTTGCTTTTTGAAGACCTGAAGAACAAATGAATTGTGGATTTTTGTTTAAATGAAGATAAATAAACTGAAATTACTCATTGGAAGGTTATATAAAAATTTTCATTTTGCTTATTCCAGAGGTTGTCCCAGGAAGCATCCGTACGGCTGAGCACTTCGTTGGTTTTCTCAAGAGATTCGTTGAGTACATCAAAACTCGCCTTAGAGTTCAGTACGTTGTCCAAGAGTCCCCAGCCAGTTTTCTGAAAGATGTTTTTCAAAAAGTGTGTATCGAGCGGAAACCTCTGCGATTCTGCGCCGAGAGACTAGCCTCACTCTTGCGCACTCTTGAAATTTCCAATATCACAGATTTCAGTGCTTTAACAAGGATAACTCAGCTCGCAACATTGGTCGCAACGTACACTAAAGGGTTCACCATTATCGTTGAGCCATTTGACGATAAAACTCCAACGGTCTCAAATCCAATCCTTCACTTTACATGTCTCGATTGTTCCATTGCCATTAAACCAGTATTTGAGCGGTTTCAGAGTGTTGTCATTACGTCTGGAACTTTGTCACCTTTGGATATGTACCCAAAAATTTTAGATTTTCACCCTGTGGTCTTGACATCATTCACCATGACCCTGGCTCGGCCCTGTCTCCTGCCAATGGTAAGATTATTTTGCTTGCTCGTTTTAAATTCCAGTGTTGATAAGACCTAAAATTTCACCTGTCCCTCCTTTGAGATTTTTTCTCCTCAAGAGAACTGCATTCAAGACAAGTAGACTAGGTTATGAATTATGTATTTGAAGGTTTTCACTCGATAATTCTCAGGTTTTCAATAATTCTTCTCTCAATCGTGCTCAATTAATTTGATGCTATCCTCTTACGTTGCTGGAAATAACTCAAACCGCTCAACAGTTCTTTTTGCAAGCACAATTAAATAATTAAGTTGAAGGTCTGTTGAAAATTATGAAATCATACTTCAGAAAAATAATCTACTAAATCTACTATCTATCTACTAAAAAAATTGATGCATGTCTTTTTATCTTGTATGGTCCAAACAACCTGGTATCATAAAATTACCTGTGTCATGCTGAAGAAAACAACATTTAAGTTGGCTCTTAAATTATGTCATAAAAAGTGGCATGATGCAATTTTCCAAGCTAAATTGAGGCAGGAGTATAATCTGCTCTTCAATATTTTCAAAGGCACACCAATCGACTGCAACAGCTGCTGTAGGAGTCATTAAAATAATACATGCACTAATTTCATGTAGCACATAATGTTTTGTATTCTTTCCTTACTCTTTCTTTATTTTTTATGCAATACTTACTAATCGATCTTTTTTCTGTGTGAGAACTATTTTTTACTAACTTTTTAGATCATTTCTTTCAATTATTTTCTCTTGGCCGTTTTGTTGTAGATTGTCTCAAAGGGCAGTGATCAAGTTGCAATATCTACCAGGTATGAAACTCGTGAAGATATTTCTGTTGTTCGAAACTACGGTCAGCTACTGGTTGAGATGGCGTCAATCGTTCCTGATGGGGTTGTTTGCTTTTTCACCTCATATTTGTATCTTGAATCAGTCGTAGCCAACTGGTACGATCAAGGTGTTATCGATAACATACTACGAAAAAAATTACTCTTTATCGAAACACAAGATGCAGCTGAGACCAGTTTAGCACTTTACAATTACATGCAGGTTTGTATGATCAAATGTCTACTATTTCATCAACTAGAATTTCAGAGTTGAGACAAAAGTAAATAAATTGACCTAATTTTTATAGATATTCGTATTTCTCTCAAAGATCATAATACTTTATATTTTTCTGCAAGTCTAATGCCTCAATTGAAACAGTCATTTCCAAATTGACCGAACTCAAGTTTTTCTCAGGGTGGAATTTTTTGTGGAAAAGTAATCTATGGGATTAGATACACCATACTACTAAATATAACTACTTATTCACAGGTGTAACAGCGGTAGGTTGTAAATTACGTAATGTATGTGCTGATTAACTTTGAATTAGCGGAAGATAAAATATGTTAAAAAGTCAGAACAACTTTGATGGACTGTTAAAAGTTTGGAAGAAAAAACAAAATTTTTCCTTGACAAATGTAGCAAAATGAATGATGAAGGGTTTTTTTCCTACACTTAGTTTTCAGATTTTTTAAAGGAATATTGTTAAATCTCATATAGAGCTAATTTTTGGAGTCAAAAGCTTTGTCCATCAGTCTTTTTTTTTTTATAATTAAATAACTTTTACCAAAATAATATCCATCCATAGACCATTATTATCTTCATTAAGGCTTTTCATTCTTGGAAATATTTAAAATATCCAAGCCAGGTTGTTTTTTAAATAAACAACTTTTTTTTACCAAGAACCATACATATTAAATCATTCAGTTTCTCCTGCTAGTTTTCAAAATCTTACATCAAAGGAGGTTTTCTATTGTTTTGTCACTGTCTACGATGTCTCTATTGTTTGAGAGTGCGTAATGGTTTTTCATGATAAATTTTCCTTTCGCCGCAGGCCTGTGATAATGGACGAGGAGCAGTGTTGCTATCTGTTGCCAGAGGCAGAGTTTCTGAGGGTATCGATTTTGATCACCAATACGGACGAGCTGTTCTTATGTTTGGCATCCCATACATGTATACCCAGTCTAGAATTTTGCGAGCACGCTTAGAGTACCTTCGAGACCAATTCCAGGTTTGTGCATCAAGGGAATTTATATTTGACGTAAGGCAAAATCAAACAGATCAAAATTATGGAAAAAGTAAAGGGAAGATATGGATATCGACCGTGTAAGGCGGCAATCACATATCTTGTTTGCGGTGTTTGGAAATTGCTGTTCCTATTTTATTTATTTAAGGAAGAACAAATTGATATCATTTCCTGAAGTTTTCCCAAAATTTTCCTCTCATAGAAAAGATAATTCATGGCAGTTTTCAAGAACAGCAGTTGAGTAGTTTTCCATGTAAAAAATAAAGTATGATACCGCGCTAAGAAACACAGTTAACAATCTTGCAGGTTCATTTTTACCAACAGAATCAGTCGAAAAATTCAACTTTAATCCCTCTTCATTAACATCTGTCAACTATTTTCAATATTTTTCTAATATCCATTTTTTCTGTCTTACCAAAAGCTCATTTTTCAATTTCAAACCCTTTTCACTCTCTATCATTCAGTACATCTCTATTACTTTTATTACTAGACTTGCAACTGATAGCTACATAGATTATAGCCAGCCAATCATGCATAGACTTGTTGTCTCGCCAACTGTGACGTCAGCAAGTCTAAATAAGCGTGCGCTGCCCCAAAATCTAGGTCCTTTACCATCTTAGACGCGTGTGTCTATACATTACGCCTCTTCAGCCCTTCAGGCGAATCTTCAGAGTCATCTAGTGAAAGTGCATCATTGTGTGGAAACTTGACGAACTTTGCAATTCTTTTCCAAATTCATTCAATTCTATATTTATGCAACATTTCTCTCATATTTCGGATCAATGTAGTGATAAACTTTATTTGAAACTTTATGTTTTTCATTCTCAACCTACCGCTCGCAGTTCGTTTGGACTCTTAATCCGGACATGATGTAAAATCCATGTTCGACTCACATATGTTACACGTCACCGAAACTCGCTCTTAATTCGGACTTGTTCGATGCATATACGTTACAACACCATTACAAAAAACGTAACATTACTTGTGACTTTGTGCTAGTATTTTAATCATTACTCTGAATCTTGGTTTTTTCATTCTAGCATCATTATTTTTTTCAGATCAGAGAAAATGATTTCCTGACTTTTGATGCAATGCGACATGCTGCTCAATGTGTTGGTCGTTGCATTCGTGGAAAACTAGATTACGGAATTATGGTTTTTGCTGACAAGGTATGTGATAAATAATTATTCTCAATGTGATGAATGAATTTTGCTTCATCTCGGACTTCGTTCACCTGAGTTATGGCAGGTATCATTGGAAACTATCAGTCTTCCAAAATCTTTGGTAGCCTTGGTAGATCCTTGACTGTCTTTGCTGTATATCAGACTGAAAATTGAAGCAATTAAGGTTAATGTTTAGTCCTTTTCCAAAATGATGAAATGTAGAAATTTTGAGCATAATACGAACTTTAGAAAGAAGTGATGGTATTCTTTGTTAGTCTAAGGCCAGATAAAATTCTTTGAACTAGCTTGAAAACTGAAAATTTTCATTGGATAAATTTTGCATTTAAGGAGATCCTGTTTCATATCTCTCTTGTTCGATTATTTCAAGTGAATTTTCTTTTCTTTTCCAGCGGTTCTCAAGATCAGATAAACGAAGCAAGTTGCCCAAATGGATCCAAGAATATCTTACAGATTCATACTGTAATTTATCTACTGAAGAAGGAGTTCAGGTATGTTCTCTAAGTATCAAAGCTGGATCCTCTGAAAGGTTGCAACTAATATGTCAGTTAAATCATTTTTTCTTATTGCATCATTCGAAAGTAATATGTGACTTAAGTTACAGTTGATTATCCAATTTTTCCATTTTTTCTAAAGAGAATTTTGCGAGTAGCTCGGCAACTTCAGCCAGTGCCATTCAAGGGAGCAGGAATAACTTCCAAGTGTCTTTTTAGATTATTCGAGTCTCCAGAAGGGGAATGCTCCTCCAATGTTGAAAAAAATTCAGCTATGTTGTAATTTAGAGGAAATTGAAATTACCGTAAAATAAAGTTAATAAATTTGTTTTTATTCCCCTATAATGCCTTATGTTGTTTATTTACTATTTTTGTAGATTGCAAAACGATGGTTAAGGCAGATGGCTCAACCTTTCCCAAGAGAGGAGCAATTAGGGGTTTCTTTGATGACTTTTGATCAAGTTGAAAAGGAATATAAAAAAAACAACCCGGAACCTCAAGAGCAGGATGAACCGATGATTATTGGTTGAAAATCAACTGCAGGTAACTGTTAATATTTTTCCTCATTAATGCAGTAAATATTTGAAAGATTTAGACCACAGACTAAATTGTTCTTATCTAATGGTTCATGTAAAAATCCTGTTCAAATTCTTTCTCGGGAGAATTGACTTCAAGTTTCTCAGTTTCAGATTTAGAATTCATTGATATTTTTCTTTGTCAAGTATATGTATCATTTTGAAAAATTTTATTATTTTTTCCCCCTTTAAATTCTAAAGAAGATTAGTTTTTAGTAATAAATAGTAGAGGAGGAAACAATTGTCTGTCCAAATTATGTACAAAGTTAGTATTTTAGGCTCAACAATTGAACCATTTCAATTTATTTCTCCTCGACCCTTTTTTGTTTCAATTTGTCCCCCTTAACTCATTCCTCTTCAACCTTCTTTGATTTTAACTACACACATAGGTAAGATGAGCCAGAAATATTAGTTTTTTACTGCAAAATCTAGTCCATCTGTGGCACAGTCAAACCTCACTAAGTCAGAATGCATCGGGACAAATGGTTCATTCCGCCTTTGTGGGGTTTCCAACTTAAGCTAGCTCTGACTTACAATTAGTGAGGTTTGACTGTACGAACTTAATTTTTTTCTTTCTTTTCATTTAAATTTTCTGATTATCTATCATTTTGTTTTTCTTGGGTACTATTGAAAACAATGAATTTCACAATTGACAAAACAATTTATTAAAAGTATCTATGATTGTATTTGTGGTAATTACAGTTCTCATGAATCTGTAAAGTTAAAATATAAAAAATAACAACTAGAAAAAAGAAAGTAGCTTGTGCAGAAATTTTTGCTGCTTTTCTTCTAATTAGATCGAATTGCTTATAGGCTTCACTGTCAAGAGCTGCTCAGAACCAGTGCGTCATTTTAATTCCTCCTGTGGAGTCGAGTGGAGTTTCCATTGTACTCGCTTGTCTCACGAGCCTGGCCCTGCGGCTTAGTGGATCTCTGAGTGGATCCCTCACTGAACCTCTCACGGAACCTCGGAGCGATCCTCGCAGAGGATCTGATTCTTGGTGTGGTAAAGTTGGCAACATTTCGACTACGTCCCTCTCTCGAAGATCCTCATAAGATCCAGCATGTGAGTCCGGCCTAAGGCACACAGAGTATTTGTTATCTTTTGGGGTCTTTATATGTTGATCATTGTTTCATGTTTCATTTTTAATTTTGGCAAATTTTTTTTGTAGTGTCATCTCATGTCCGATGACCAGTTGGATCAATGTGGTTATTACTAAGCGCCATAAAAGACAATAAATATATGTGTAATCTGATGTGAGCTATCTTGATCACCATCCATCGTCATTTCGATTATTCGGTTCATTCTATTCGAAAAAAATCAATAACACTGTTTAAACGGCCAATTATAGTCATAGAAAATCATATACCTTGAAATTGAAGACTCTAATTTGGTTTACAGTATAATTAAAATTAGGATAGCTGATATAAGGAAGTTCTATTAGAAACAAGGAAAATGTACTACCATGGTAGCAAAGTAATTTAATGTCAAAACCATGAATGAATAATGGGTAATTTACAAGAGATGGATGAATCGTGGAACGTTAGCTATAACACCACACACAGCTGAAAGGGCGCCGAGGCGAAAGAGATGAAGGGCCATCCAACACACTCGATCGTTTCTTAGGGGGGGGGGGGGGAAGCTCCACCAGTAGAGGTATAAAAGTTATTGGGGGAAAAGGTGAGGAGCCTTCCGCTGCTCCTCAGAACGAAGCGAGGTAGGGCACTACGACGAAACGAACTAAGCGTTGCTACTAGGATTTCTACAGACACTTTTATTTAAAACTTTTGACGAAATCCTCGATTCCAGACTTTAATTAATAACAAAAAATAAAATACACTCTCAGACCTACACGCGGCTCTCCCAGGCCGATCGCGGCCTGGCCAGGACTGCTGGTGAGCTATGACAAGACTGATTTCAGAGATTTTCTGAAAATTGCGAGAAGCGTCGCTTTAGCTTCCCTTCTTCCCCAAGGCCCAATCAGGGCCTTGCACGGGACTCCAGTCTATTTTTCCCAGAAATCTACAAAAATTTTAGGTGTGAAAGGGGTTCTTAGATACTGTCACAGTTTACTCCAAAGTAAACTAAAAAAATACTTTAGACAATGTTGAAAATTCGAAAATTTAAGAGTTGTAACATGATTTTATTGACTTTGACGAAGGTTAAAAACATAACTTTAATTAGCAGCAATACACCGTTGATGCATTAATTTAGTGTAATTAGGTACTTTCTTTTTTTTCTCCAACAGGAGGTCGTAAGCCTCCAATAACACATTTGAAAACCATTCGGCACAATCCAGTGCATCTTCATGACACTTTATTGGGAACTTCTTGAAACGATAAGCCAGAATCTTATCATGAATTTGCTGATTTCTGTACTTACACACTCTATTCATTATCTTTACCAATTCATTGTTAGTTAATTTTTAAGACCTGCGCTTGCTCCACAATGAATTTGATAGGTTCTTCATCTGTGAAAGTATGCAAAGCCTTCAACCATTTCTCTCCTTGATTTTCCAAGTCGTCGAAAAAATTCCTGTATGTGTTGTCAAATCGTTTTATAATAGTCCCTGCTTGGACAATGCAAACATCCTTAGCTTTGTCCTTCTCAAGATTATCGTTTTTTCGTTTGGCTCCATACGTTGCGTTCATTTGTTTCTCGAGTTGATGGTCTTTCGAGTTGATGGAATGATTAGAGTGGAGAAGATAACAAAAGTAAATTTAGTTAAGGACATGGCTCGAAGGCTCTTACTTTTACTATTCATTTTCATCATGTATTTTAATTGCGCTGTGACGTACCTCATCTTGTTTCGATGAATTTGGAAATTCATTTGTGAAAATCACATCTCTTGATCTGTAAACTTTCCTTGTTTCTGGGTCAAGTATTCTGTAACTGTTCGCGTTATAACCAATAAAGATACCCTTTTCACTTCGTTTATCAAGTTTCCGTAATGGACCTAAAACTTTAGTGTAAACAACACAACCAAAAATTCTAAGATTTGATAAATCTGGCTTTCGGCCATACCAAAGTTCAGCTGGTTTTCTGTTCACAGTTTTGGATGGACATCGGTTTAATAAGTAGGCCGCTGTTAGAACAGCATGGCCCCACATTTCTCTGTTTAGACCACGAGTACTTCTTGGAAGAATTTTTCTTTCTTATCAAGTTCTGCTTTGAGGAATCTGTTTTCAATTTCTAGACGGATAACGTCTTCTGAAATCCCACCATCCTGTGCCAAAACCCCGGGTATAGGGTTTTGGACAAGAAACTCAGAGCACCGTTTCTAACCGCAATGCTTGTTTTTCCCATGCAGGCAGAAACCCAGGCTCTGCGTCGTAGCAATATGGTTTTATAGGTGGTTGAGTTTACTCAGTGACCCTTCCCCAACTTTTCAGTGGATTCTACTGCTCGTATCTATTACAAGCGTAAGGTTGGCAGGGAGGAGGAAATCAAAATAAGTTTAATTGTAACGGATAACACTAAGTACTAAAACATTCAATGCGACTGTACGTGGGAAAAGGAATCTCAATACTAAGAAGCATAAAGATGAGATGTTAATACTGTTGCTTTGAAGAATATTTACCTTAATTTTTTTTTTTTTTTTTTTTTTTTTTTTTTTTTTTTTTACGAAAACGACGAAAATTTACAATCTCAACTGGAGTTGAAATGTTTTAATGTTTGCAATCTTGAATAGTTTGATACCAGGAAAAGTGTGTAAAAGTTTTCATTTGCAATGGTCGGGGCTTAAAGTTGTCGGACTGTATGAACTCCATTGGCTTGAAAATTAACTAAACCACTCACAATTTGACTCGCATCAAGTAGAAAGGAACTAAGCCACATCGATCATTGATAAATTTCATTAGACGTTTTACTTTTTATAGGAGAACGGTTGCGCAGATTCTTTTGGAAATTTCAAGGGATGCCCATGATGAAGTGAAGCAAATGTGCTGAAATTTTCCAAAGAATCTTCACAACCATTTTCCTGTAGAAAAGTAAATTGTTCGATAAAACTTGGCAATTGCTAATGTGACATGGTTCCTTTCTGCTTAACTCAGTCCAATTCATTCTTTGATATACTAGGGAGTAGGCACTGTTAATCTATTCTCTAGAATTATTTGTCTCTGTTCACAAAGATCTTTTCTCCCATGTACAGTCATAAATTCATACAAATTACATCTAAAATTATCACAAAAACGGCTTACTAGTAGTCTACTAAAGCTCTCTGGCTACAGTGTGCGACAAACAGAGGAAGGTGTCTTAGGAATCAATGAGTTCGTCCTCAGAGATCTACAGGAGTGTCTGTTCGAAAAATCTGAAAACCGCATACTTTTTGGGCACACAAGTCATGCATTCGGCCCATGTCCAGTCTTTTCCAAACTCCTCGCCCTCCTCAATCGTCTGCGGTAGACGGTGATGTAGAGTTTCCGGCAATCGCAAAGCTGTGAGTCCACCCAAAACCGAAACCACTCCCATGATGATGAGAGGCATTTTTAAGTTCTCTTGACCCTGCATAACAGAGTGTCACAAAAAAAATTTTATGTTTTATTGAAAAATTTTCATTGGAGTTAATAGCCTTGTGCAGCTTTAATTAATTATTCATCTCTTTCTCTGGAATTTTCACAAAAAACCTATCCTATTTCTATCCGGCATTAACAATCAACCATTAACTGGAAATTACACCACTAATTTTGGGGTCATAATATTTCCGATGGTGAACCTATCATGAGGTGACTACTGAATGGTTTACGCAGAGTTCTTTTTAGGGGATGAGAGGATCGAAACCATGCTCTGCTACCAGCGAGGGTGTGATAACGGTATCATACTCAGAACTGAGAGTAATGAGTAGAAGGCAAATTTTATCGGACTCATCAATTTTGGTTCTAATTTCTTCTAGTTCCCTATGTATTTCATCAAATTTCATGAGGTGGTCCTCTAATGTGTCGGAGGATCGACGTTTCAACGTTAGTAATTTGTGCCAGAGAGTCAATTTTGAAAATGCGCCGTTCCTGACAAAGACAGCTTTTAACGCTTCTAACATTTTCTTAGCTGTTTTGGAGTCCTTGATTATGTCCAAGTGTTTGTCTTTGATGCCCTGTATGATGATAGCTTTGGCCTTAGCATCTTATATCGAAATCTTTCTTACTTTTAGCGACAGCGTCTGCTTCTGGGTTGTTGTCTACTACATCGAGAAATTGTTCTCTTTCCAAGATTGAGCGTATTCTAAATTGCCAATTGTTGAAATTGGTGCCGGAGAACACTGGCACGTTGATTAATTTCACGTTATCATTCATAATTATTGATTGCAATAATTCATAAGATGTGCTTTTTGGAGGAAAAGTCCTGGCAGAACTACGTTCAGGTTAGACTTCATACACCGGCATAAAATTGCACATTTTAACTCGTAAACTCGCGAACACTATTATTTGGAATGCAAAACTGGGCCCCATAACCTTTTAGAGGATGAGGTTTTTGGTAGAGAACTAGAGAAACGATAACTTCGGAGACATTAGGAATACTTTATTCTTGTATCAGATACACGAGACAACGAGAACAGGCTACTTGCTTGAAGCAGTTGAAAGAAGTAGGAAGGAGATAAAAGAGATGGAGACTCTAATAGTGAGAGAAGTGAATGGCCGACAGATGGTGCTCTAATATATGTGTGACAGTTCTGAATCGCCCCTCATTGGAATTTTCCTCTTAAAATAATTAGATGTAGTCTATTTCTATGTTTACATAATTTTTTGGGTGTCTGCAACCAACAAAATTTGAACCTTATCTAAAATCTTTCCAAACTTACAAGCACCTACCAAGTAGTTGATGAATGGTATAATAATCAGTCCAAGACCAGCAATGTATGCTGAAGCACCAATCCCTAGGCCACGAATTGATGTAGGATACAACTCTCCGGCAAATGGGTAAATGATCAAAAAAGATGCTGAAATCGTGAATTTTGAGAAGAGGAACATAATTAATATTGACTCCGCATCACCTGGAACAAAGACGTTTGTTTTCATGATACTAGTTTTCAGTGAGAAAACCGCACTCATTCAAATTCACCGGAGTATAATGGATACTGAATTCCCGGGAGAAATGCAAAGAATTACATCTGTCTAAAAGTTTGAAATTCTAATCTGCCTTTCAGAGTAAGAGATAATTCTAACCAGTCTTTCTTTAATGTAAGCAAGTTTTTATTGCTTAACCTGAGAGTTTTTAAAGATCCGATTGCACAGTATTTTTTATTATTTTTATCTGGTATGGGAAATAGTATAAAAATAGATTTAAAAGTGAGAGAGCACCCCGGCGAAAGATGTCATCTGGCAGCATCTCCCATTTAAACACTTGTATTTCAGCGGATTAAATCATTTTGTCATATCTTCTCCAACAATTGTTCAATTTATGAACCAAGGGTAATCTCGTGTTCAGCTTTCTCAGTAGTTTCCATTCAAACGCAAAATTTATCAAATTTCAGACACCTGCAAATTCTCCATTCGATTAATGGGGTTGCATTAGCTCAACGATTTATACACTTCTGAACTAAATTTATTTGTATGAAAGTAGGGTGGAAATTACAGAGTCAAGAAACTGAATTGTCAGATCATATATGAGACTTACTTTCTGGCAGCAAAACAGTGCCTATACAGCTAAAACCGCTGAGAACCATGCTCATGGCAAGTGGCCACCTTCGACCCCATCTGTCCATTATGATCCAGCAGACAATATAACTGGGGATCTCCACAAAACAGGAGAGCAGAAAGCTGATGTATTGGTTATGCCCCACAGCTGGTCCATAATAACTCAGTCCCACGTAAACAGTTTCTGCTGCAAACCTTCAAAAAAGGAAAATAGTCCGTATAATGAAAACTTATTTTATCGGCTCCTCCAATTGGATTTTGAAATTTACCTTGTATAAAACTGGTTTTTAGATTAACGATAATCAAAACAAATGGAAAAATAAATAAACATGAAAGATACCCACTGTCATCTCTAACATTCGTAGAATCGTCACATTTATTTGAGAACTTACCAATTGAGAGTTATGAGCAACGTTTTCAGCCGCATATTGGGTGTACGACACAATGATGATAGCCCAGGACCTGTCTGCAGTCTTCGCTCTTCGCTCCGCGTCCTCACCAGCATCATCCTTTGCTACCAACAATGAAAATGATAATAATCAAGTGAACTGCATGTAGTAAACATTTCTCTGTGTCCTGTATTCTCTCAGATATGCAACGCTAATCTTTTCGAAACTTTCCAGTTTTAAGCTATTTTTCTACTTAGTTATTTTGTCTCAATGCAATTTCTATTACATTTTCTCTAAGCTAGTTTGTTCGAAATGTGCCTTTAATTTTAAGTGTAGTTCTCATGTGAAGTGTATGCTTCCATAATTTTAGCCTCTTGTTTATCTTGAAGGCAAGTAACATTTTCAAATAACCAAATTTTAAGTTTAAAAATTCCTTAAAATCCTGCAGCTTTCAAAAGTTGTAACTTGCTTCTGCCAAGGGTAAAATTGAGCTCGTGAGGTCAATTTTTTGCTAAGTATGGTTCAAAATTGCCAACGTTTTAATTTTTTCTAACATGCCGTTTATCTTTCTTATTTTTTAGAGGCTCCAATTTTGCGCTGACGAATTTGGGCCTTGTTGAATCGTTTCTCATTATATATTCATACATGTGTTTGCACTTGAACAAAAATGAAAGAGGGGGAGAAAGTCAAGGGTTGTAATGTTCCTAATAGATATGGCCAATTTATGGAACGTATTTCGTCTGTTACTTACTTACTTTTAACTTTAATTTAAAAGCTTCTGGCATCTCTTTCTTATTCACCCTTGCTAGTGTCTCTAATATTTTTGAGGCCTCCTCAAGTCTTCCTTTGGCCAATAGCCATCTTGGTGATTCTGGCAGCACCCTGAAAGAATAACGATGTAACATGGAATTATTTAGAATGTAAAAAATAGATTGTAAAAGAATCACTGAAAAAATAATTTTGTATTTTTTGGTTTATTTTACGTATTTTTATTTTTCAAAAATTTTTTGAATAAAATAAAATTAAACATTGATCTAAGGAAACTGCAAATTGGATTTTGCAAAATTTGGGAATGACTTCATAAATATGGACGTATTCCTGTTAAACGGAACTAAGCGCCAAATTAAGCTCCTATTGAGGATTAGCGCCCGGATAGCGCATTCTGTCAGACGGAACCAAGCGCCATGGAAAAGCATTGCAAGTATAGGATGGAACGAGCATCGCGTTCGGCAGCACCCGCCAATCCAAGCCCCCCTCTCCCTTCCGCCCCCTATGGCGCTTAGTTCTGTTTGATAGAAATATGTCCATATCGTGTGAAATGAGGATGGTTGCTCGGTGTGTAATAAGATGGTATTTCATCAGCGTAGACGCTTCAGCCTTTTTATCTGTTCTATTTTTTTGTTTGTCAAAAAAAATGAATCAGTCATCTATTATACTTTTTCAGTATTAGTCATTTCAGGGACTGTACAGTTTTTGTAAATACTTGACCTGAAACTTATGAATATTAATGACTTTGATTTTGTACAATTTTGTTTATAAAATGTTGTTTTTGACGTCATAAAACTATGATTTATCCCTTCAAAATCAAAACTCACCACCAGTAAAGAAAGTATAAGAAGAATGGAAGAGATGTTGCATATGCAAGCTGTACCCAGTCACGAATGAAGTATGCAACACCTGCCAAAAGCGTCAGTCCAAGAGTGTAAAATGAGCATGTCAAAACCGTGACAAAGGAACGGTAGTTAGGACCAACCAACTCTAATGCTGAAACCATAATGAAGATTAGATAGCCAGCCTTAGAATCATTTCCTTGCTAATTAAAGATCCATTCACTAATTCATGAAATAGTGAAACACAGATGCACAAATCTGGGTTCAAAAAAAAAAAAGAAAATCCTACCACAAGACCCAAATGCCTCCTAAACCTAGGAATGATTTATGATCTAATTAGAAAACTGGAAGCGCTTTTCCTCAGACAGGATTATTTTTCGTCAAAGCATTCTTTGCTGAAATTATGATGCATAATCAGATATTTTTTTTATCAAAATTTTTTCGAAAAAGATTGGGTGCTTTCATTGAAACTATGAAATCAAATAAAATCCAAGACTGTTAATAACTTAAGACCTAACAAGAAAAAAAAAGCTTTGCACTTACAAATAATGAAAGGTATCTGATAGACTGCAGGTATGGTGAGTCCAACAATAACTCGATAAGCCGCCCACTGCCAAAAATTGACGGCCGTCGCCGTCAAAACACTTCCCAATAGTAGTGTTGCCAGGCATAAGAAGAAAGATAATTTTCTACCTAATCTGAAACCAAGTGTACCATGTTTTTTAAATGAAGGTGATTTTTGTAGAGTAAATATAAGAAATTAAGAAAAGACTATAGTATAAAAAAACCCTATCCTAAAGTTGACAAGGTGTACATATATTTTGAAAGAAAAAAGTTGTTCAAGAAAGGTTTTTTACTTTCTGTGGAATAAGGGATCTCATGCTTTCAAGGTCTATGAAATCATACTCACCGTTAATTCAAACTAGTAAACAGAATTCATAAGGTTTGGAAACATCGTTTTAACCAATTTAAAACAATGAGATTAGCATTTCTGGAACTTTATTTCTGCTTCAAGCAAAGAGAGAAACCAAAATATTTAATAAGCTCGCTTAATTGTGCTAGTCGAGTTTATAAGTCAATACTTACCTATCATTAACTACACCAAATAAATAAACTCCAACTGGCCCTCCAATATTGAGCGCAACCAATCCATAGGTGGGATATATATCATGATCACATACTAAATCAAACTGCAACACAATTTGAATACAATTTAAGTGGCACACATACCAAAGAAACATTTAATGTACAGGGTTGCCGGCGATCTGTAGAATTAGGGAAAGTCAGGGAATTTCCGATGACCGGAAGAAGTCATGGAAAGTTAAGGAATTCGTGAAAAAGTCATGGAATTTCTGACACATCTACTAATCACTAAAGCATATCAATCTATATCTTCAACTAATAATCAGTGCGTTTGCACTAATTTTTACAAAATATCAATTACTTTGTCATAAGTTTTCGTAATAATCAGTTCGTCGAGTAAAACCGATTTTTTTTATTCGTGTAGCCGAACTTCTTTCCTCCGTTTTTTAACCTCATTAGTTCGGTTCAACGAGTTTAAAGTTGGGTTTGACAAATTGGATAGTTGGTATGACATGAAACACTATGTTCTTTTTTAATTCGTGAATATGCAATTTTATCTTCTTGGAAGTTAAAATATTTGCAGCACGTGTTTCGCCCCATTCAACTTTTCTACTCATACGTTTAAGTCTCCGAGTCAGTCGGAAAGAGACTCTCCTTCATTTTGTGGAAACGCAATTTTACCTACTTGCGTGTAACACGCGTTTCGCCCCATTCAATTTTTCTACCCTTGCGTTAAAGTCTCCTAGTAAGCCAAAAAGAGATTCTCCTTCATTTTGTGGGTACGCAATTTTACGTACCTCGATGTATCACGCGATTCGCCCCATTCAACTTTTCCACTCTTGCATTAAAGTCTCCGAGTAAGCCGAAAAGAGATTCTGGTTCATTTTGTATAATCATGCAATTAATTGTGCTCACTCACTTGGAAGTCTAAATAGTCGCACATTGCCTGATCAACTATTCCACTCTGCGTTAAAAACTCTGAACCATCGCAAAAGAGACCAGGCTTCTTTTGGATTACATTTTGCAATAAGGAACCACTATTTCTGGTTCTTCCTTAAAAGCACAAATCTGCAGAGGGAAACCATTGGTATGTCATGTTGTTTCCAAAATAGAACAGAGATGGTGGTTCTTTATTGCAAAATGCAATCCTTTTCATTGTTGCGGTTACGCGAGAAAGTTTTGTTGCTTTTATATAATTGGTCAGTTGCGCTTCATCCGAGTTTCACGTTGTATGAGCAGTACAGATATGTGTTTTTCTCTGACTGAAAAAAGCAAGGTATAAGAAACCAAGGGTGTCTCTACCGTGGCGGATGACGCCATAAACCGATTTCTTTAAAGCGCGACATCTCGGTCAACATTAAACGAAGAAAGTTGCGATTTGGACGGATCGCATTATTTTTAGCGAATCTACAAGTATCAAGCATCGAAATACGATTCTGTTACTAGCGCAACTGACCCATTGTTACCGGATCTGTGAAAAGGGACCTTCTTTGTCTTCCGGAAGAAAATTTTCGAACTTCGCGCGAAAAATGATTTCGGAAAGCGCCTGCAACACTCCAGGGATACTTCAAGCATTGCGCAATCGCTACTCGATCTCTTGTCTCACTCACGCGAATCGCGCTGGGCTCCGAGTAGGTACTTTCTGTATTCCTGTCTATTTTGTTCAATCTCCGTATCGATGGCCAAAGTGCGAAACCACGTATCTCCGTTTGCGACGTTGCCTACTTTCTGCCATACTTTATTTTTTCCTCGGAAAATTTGTCATCGTGATTTCCTGAAAACTTCCTTGACTTTTCTTCTCCGTCCGCAGAATATTCTACATAAATTTTTATCTATAAAGTAGGTTTTTTTCTCCTCGAAAAGATAAAGTAGGAGCGGGAATTTTGAGACCCCACAATGGAGACGCGTGGTTTTACACTTTGGCCCACACTTCTGGCACTTTTCATCGTGATTTCCTGGAAACTTCCTTGACTTTTCTTCTCAGTTAGTAGTATATTCTGTAAAAAAATTCAAGCTGTAAAGTCATAAAAAAAAGCGGTAATTTTGAAACACCACAATGGAGATTCGTGGTTTTACACTTTGGCCATCACTTTCGGCACTTTTCATCGTGATTTCCTGGAAACTTCCTTGAATTTTCTTCTCAGTTATTAGTATATGAGGACTTATGTAACAATAGCGGATATCGAGTTTTCACATCAAGAGAAAATCGCGTTTGAAGTTTTCGAAGCTTTGCACTTTTCCGCCCGTAGAACCGAGAGGATTCTTATAGGTAAAGATTTTCATTAAGAGCAACTCTTCCTGTAAAAAACACACGCTTTACGATCTATGTAAGTGAAAAATTGAAGAAGAAACAGTGATTTGAAAAAAAGTTGACAGCCGCTATTTTTACTGAAAACAATTTTTTATGCATTAAACAAAGTCTTCAGAAGGGTAAGGCTGGTGAAACGATTGAAATGAACCAAAAGTAAGTCAATGCTGAGTCATTCAATAAAATTGAACAAAAAATTGAACCGTTTGTAACTGTTTAAAAAAAAAACAAGGAAAAATTATAAAATCAGTTAAAAATTCAACAATTCTGGCGAGACGGTCCCGATACGTATAATTTAAGTGTCAGATACAGCCCATGGCTGGTATGCGGGCAGTTATCGCAAGTGGGTTCGAATCTCCACAGTGCCCTGCCGCGCCGGCCGGGGAGAACGGTGGATTTTCACATCCGCTATTTCTACAAATAACATAGTTTTCAGTTCATATCTCGCCGAAAAATTGCGCTGGAAGTTTGAAACTTTGCACAGACATTCTAGATGGCTCCATAATTCGAAAAAAGCGTTTGCCCTAAAAATGGCGGATGTCTACGACCGCTATTGTTACAGATAAGTCCTCATATATCCTGTAAAAAACTTAAAGCTGTAAAATCATAAAAAAGAGCGGTAATTTTGAAACATCGCAAAAAAGATACTTGGTTTCGCACTTTAGCCATCGATATTTCTCTGTAAAAAGGGGGCAGGTCACTCACGCTTATTACTATGGAAGAAATGACTTCCGTTTTGTTGTACTCCCATCCATCAAGACACGGCTCCGTCGGCCAGCTCGCGTTGGGAGCCAGGTCTTCAACATCTTGATCCAGTAACAGGTCCGTCCAGTTCACCGCGTAACGTGCACAACTGGCCGCCGTGCCATTTGCATCGATCTGAAATTCATAATCCAATCGCTTAGCTCGTAAGGCCGTGGGGTTCATGACCGAATCACGATTAAAAATTATGACATCTCTGCATCAGGCAGTTTACAAATGAGGGTCTTAGACAAGACGCATAAGTGCAATTTTTGAAAAAGATTGAGATTTTCATTAACTTAACTAAAACTAGATTTAAAGATTTTGAATTGAGTTCATAGATGATTTCACTCCAAAGTAAGATGACATCAGGCCAGATGGCAGATGGCAGTAGGTGACATCAGGCTGGTCAAAAATTGCAATAATGGAATCGCAAAATATTTATTGTATTCTCTATTTTTGGACTATGCGCAATTTTTTGCCCCGTCTTTTTTGAAAAAAAAAAAAAAAATCCTTGAAGCCCGTTTTGCGTTACTTTCCCTCTTTGTGGAGCTCAAAAGACAGGGCGCATACATGCAGTATTTGAAAAAATTGAGATATTCAAAAACTCAACTAAAACTAGCTTTAAAGTATATGAAAAATTCACAACCAAAATCCTATAACTTCAAAGATTCGAAAAGTGAGTTTGAACTTCCTTTCTGCCACAAGGCTCCATGTAATTTTGAAACTCTAAACACGTATTTCTTGAAGTAGCAAAAACTGCACTTATGCGCCTTGTCCTCCAAGCCCCTCACGTAGGACTTAAGGGTTTGCATTTATGTCTTAATCCTACTTTTCCATATTCCCCCAATTTAAATTTCGGACAATTTGGTAAAAATAATTTATTTTCTAAAGAGAAAACAGTACCTTTCCCTCCTTCCCCTCCCCTATCGAACTTCGTTTACAAATTGGACTACATTTTGCAATTACGAACTAAAATTTCTGACTCATTTCAGAAAAAAACATACGTGCCATTAGTTTTCCTCGTAGAGAGGTGTTTTTATGTCCGAGCCAGAAATTGTAGTTCCTTGTTACAAAATGCAATCAAATTCACTTTACCGCACAACGATCGTGAAATTGCGAAAATGTGTGCTTATCTCGGTTTGCGGGATCGCAGATGTCCCGTCAAACTTCATTTTATACATAAAGAACTGCTACACGTCAATTCTTGAAAATTTCGGTGATTTTTTCCCATCTGAAGACTCTGTGAGAATTTCAGGTCATGATGTTGATTTGTTCGCCTTTTAAAAAATAAAATAGGAGCTGGGATTTTGAAACTCCGCAATAGAGATACGCATTTTTCCAGTTCTTCAGGCAGCAAGTTCGGTTTCACAAATCGAATACCTAGTTGGAAAGATATAGATAAAACCGAACGTACAGTTCAATAATCGAACTTTTCTTTTCAGCGAAAGATTTTTCTCTTTCACACAAAATTCCATTGAAAGTCAGCAGTGGTAATGTTTGAGGTTCCCTGGGAATGTTTGACACTCCCTGCAATATTTACCTACTTTTTCGGTCAGATCGAAGCGCCACGATTATATTCCCTTAGGTGATTCGACGGTTGCCATTTTTTGTTTCCGAGTGCCGTGCGATATATCGCATCAATTCGTTCCATAATTTTGGCTACTCGTAATTTTTTTCGAATTTTGAGATCGCACTTCTGTTGTCATGAAACTAAAGAATTCATGTACCAAATTTGACAAAGAAATTCAATGTATTAAAGGCAGGGGGTTTTCAGTGGAAAAATATCGCATTCGAGTGCAGTTTCGATATCAGTATCGAATGCGATATGTTTCCTCTAAAAAAACCATTGAATTTCTTGTCAAATTTGGTACATGAATTCTTCAGTCTCATGACAACAGAAGTGCGATCTTAAAATTCGAAAAAAGTGACAAGTAGCCAAAATTATGGAACGAATTGATGCGATATATTGCACGTCGCTCTGACACAAAAAATGGCAACCGTCGAATCACTGTAAGGGTCGCACGTGTGAGCCCGTTCGTTACCCTTTTTCTCCCTTTTCACAGCAGGCGTGAAAACTATCCGGTCTCATTTACTTACATCACTCCGGTCGGGGATGAGTTGGAGAAACTGATAGTTTTTATATAAAACAATGGATGAGTCCAATCCAGTGCTAACCTGCCGTGCTAAGGAAGAACGCCGCACAGACCCTCAGGCATTGCCACATTTCCTTCAATAAAAACCGAATTTACCGGAAAACCGCGAATATTTACCCTCAAAATTTTCAGACATTATTGTTAGCAATTTAATCTAAAATATCAGAAAATTTCAAGCAAAAATATGCGTGACTTCCCTCAGAAATACATATTTTATCCGGTAAATTTGGCAACTCTCGAATGTTCATACGGCGTTCTTCCTTAGCACGACAGTATTAATGAGATTAATGTTGCCCTGTATTTGAGCTCACTTAAAGTGCTTCGCAGCCCCCAGCCGCCGCCGCGCCGCCTTGTCGGACTTCATGCCCAGTTGAAACGATACTTCGCCATGGTTTGTAATGGCACAGAATTGAACTACGACTACCGTTAGATTTTCGATATGTCTCAACGTTTTCTTATGGGGTCGATTCGATGTGTGGCAGAGAAGTGGCTAGGCACTTCCACGCTTTTCGATTTTTGTAACAGTTCCGAATGATTTGCAGCCACATGTATGGTGACCGTTTGTTGGATCGTGACTGTTGGGCAGCTTTCTGTGCCATGAAGCATGTCATGGGGTCAATCTACTGTTCCCAAGGGTGTCCAAATCGCCAAGAGACCTTTCCACGACGGCATGCACAAATTGTAACAGAACAGCGATGAAAGTAAAAAGATTGACCGAAGATAGGGGTCCGCCTCCGCTTAGTTTCATTTCAACCCTGATAGGGCATTCTGGCTGCCCCACACAGGTGGATCTAAGGAGGGGACATGCGCCCTCCCCCCTCTCGCTCGAAAGAAGGAGGAAGAGAGAAAAAAGAAAGGAACAGGGCCGGATTTAGGGGGTGGTCTCATATGGCGGCAAATTTTGCAATTTTTTTAAATGTAGGTATAAAAAGAATCGGATTCAGAAAAAAAATTACAAACGAGAAAAGGCGACAAAAGCTCTCATTTCCTAAGATTACAGTAATTTATAATTTTGCCGTCTTTCGGTGATACAAGAGACAGCACCTTCATTTAGTCAAGTTGAGAGAGAAACCAAACACGCATGGAGCGGCATGGCGCAGAGAGCTATGTTGACGAGGACTTGAGATGAAAAAAGAAGCCCTCGGTGCGGCTGTTGGCATGTAACACATATTAGCGCCTACAAGACTGAATGAATACTTCACGCATGGCGTCAAACACAGTGCGGTAACAGCGGGGATTTCAAAATGTTACAATCGAGATAGGTACCTTACACTGTTTTTTTTAATTTGCACCATCCCTAGTAGCGATGGCTCTTCAAAAAATTCTATCAAAAGTTGTCCAAAAAAATGTAAAAACTTGTAAATTTTAAGAGTTCGTAAATTTTAAGTTAAAAAACTCTGAAAATACTCGTTTAAGGAAAGCCTTTTGGGGAATTCTTTTAAATGAAAAAGATAGTGTTATTTTAATTAAAAGAAAACGTAAAATTTACGTGAAAAACAACAAACTTTATCCTCAAGTTTTTTAAATTTACCTTTTATACTTTTCTGTCCACCACCTTTTTTCCCTCGTTTTTTGCCCGCAGGAAGTTTATAAAAAAAAACAACACGTAAATTTTATTTAAAATTTACGTAAAAAAAATTTATTTAAAATTTTTCTTCAATTTTATGTAAAAAAAAACCCCAAAAAGAGTTTCCTTATACGAATATTTCAAGAGTTTTTTTACGTAATTTTCAAGTGGTTTTGAAGTAAATTTTCAGTTCTTTTAAAATTTACGAGTTTTTTTACAATTTTTTTCAACAGGCACTGCTACTAGGGTGTTTTTTGATGTGCACCATGGAGTTGCGTCTCCGTGAAGAAGGAATAGGGTAACTTACTTACAGCTGGAATGGCGAGGTATTTGCGTTGTTCAGCCGTGAGATTGTGGTCGGGGCCCATGAGCTGTGGGACTTTACACCAGTGTGGTGGGACGTCGGCCATGAAGAGCTGGTTGAAAGCACCGAAGCCGCAGGGGATGCAAGCCGGCAGGCAGATGAACCACAGCAACAGTTTCTGGTATCGACCAAACTCACCGATCGCCGGGAGCAGGTCATCCAAATCCATCTGATCCTGCGTCCCCGAAAATTCAGATCATTTTCACGTAAGGTATAATGCAATTTTTTTTTACCATGCACTGTAAAAAAAAAGTAGCTTGGATCTAGAATCCAGACTTTTAAAAACATTGACAAGAAAAAATACTCTTGATTCAATCGGACGTTAAGCTTAAATCAAAAGAAAATCCGCCTAAATCAAGAGGCTCGGCTCGTCGATTCAAGAAATGATCGGATTGAATCGAGATAATTTTTCTTGTCAATGTTATTACGAGTCTGGACTCTAGATCCAAGCGACTTTTGTTTCCAGTGAGGAATGTCAATGTTTTTACATCATTTGATCAAAATCTGCCGATTTGAAACGATCAATAAAACCAGCTCCACGCGTGGGAGAGGTATAGGAAATATGCACTGGACAAAAAAGGGGATGCAGCTAATTTCAATTTTTCTGTCATATGTAAAAAAGAAAAAAAAGAAGAAAAAAACTGTCGATTTTTCTACACTTGGAGTTTTTTATAATTAACATGCAATCTCTTTAATCTTTATTCCCTCGATTTGTTAGGTGATAACGAGGTAGAAACGCATAATATCTGATTTATTTCAAAATACACTTCAACCAGAGGAGCTCCTTCAATTCGGTAATAGACAATATGCACAACACTAAAACCTATTGTCGTGTATAACTGCAATTCACTGTTATCTGTGATATTTTTGAAAATAACTACGAGTATACGATTTCTGGCTTATCCGTAGAAGCACCTACCTCCATAAGAATACTATTGAAATATGAGGGACACAATTTTTATATTTTCCCCTAGTTTATGGGAATAAGGTGTGCCAATGAATCATCAAAAATGGTCAAAAACACTCGTTCCTCGACTTCGCCGAAGTCCCAAGCCCAAAGTCACTGTAGTGCTTGGGACAGTGCGCAATCGATTCTACGCCTCTACCTAGTACGTAGAATTTGACTCTCATTTCGAAATTTTTTTCCCCGTACAAAATGGAGAAAAATCGACAGGGATTATTGCATGGACTACATTTTTAAGGTCATATTTGAAAGTTCTTCGATCGGGCTGAAACCATGCTAGCCCACTTGGAAATGACCCGCCAATTCCGTTTTTCTGGTCGAAAAAGCTCCACAAGTCCGTTGGACCGTGCTACCGACGAAAAACGCACTTTTGCGACATGGTCAGAAACACTCGTTTTTGACGGTTTCTCGGCTCAGGAGGCCTCGCCGAGCCTCAGGACCATGCGCAACCTATTCAGCGCATTCAACTACATAAGATCCGACTGTAATCTCGAAATTTTTTTCCCCGTCCAAAATCGAGAAGAATGAACAGGGGTTACATGGACCAAATTTTTAGGGTCAAAATCGGAAGCTCTCCGATCGAGCCGAAACCAAGCTAGTCCACTTGGAAATGACCCGTTGAGTCCGATTTTCGGTCGAAAAAGCTCCACGAGTCCGTTGGACCGCGCTACCGACGAGAAACGCACTTTAGCAAGACGGTCAAAAACGCTCGTTTTTGAAGGTTTCTCGGCTCAGGAGGCCTCGCCGAGCCTCGGGATCTTGCGCAATCGATTCAGCGCCTTCGACTACATAGGATCCGACTGTAAACTCGAAATTTTTTTCCCCGTCCGAAATCGAGAAAAGTGGACAGGGGTTACATGAACCAAATTTTTAGGGTCAAAATCGAAAGTTCTCCGATCGAGCCGAAACTAAGCTAGTCCGCTTGGAAGTGACCCGCTGAGTCCGTCTTTCCGGTCGGAAAAGCTCCACGAGTCCGCTGTTTCGCGCCATCGGCGAAGGACGCACATTTCGTAAACTTTCACCAAACGGTCTAAAACGAGTGTTTTTGACCGTTTCTTGGCTAAGGATTTGACTTGTGTTTAAAAAAATTAAAAATCCCAATGCTTTCAAGATGGATTAGATAATGATGGAAAACAAAAATTTACTCACATTTTCGTGTACTTTTGCTTTGATGGGCGTCTGATTCGGGGATGGTTCCTGGCTCATAACAAAAAAAAATTGTAAACCGGCAAATTCGAACCGACGCGCTGAACGCCGAGTGAACCACTATCTGGCCCCGAGGCCCCGAAAACTCTCGATTTTCAAGTCACTTGGAAAATTCAAAATCCGATCGGCGAGCATTTTGCGGCGGGAACAGAGCCCTCCCGGACGACGTTGTCATGAAATCCAAATTGGCATCGCAGAAAAATCCTGAAATTTACGAAATTAACGACTGGATCCATGCAAATTTCCACTCTCGGACACGGCAGGTGGCGGCGCGGAGCGACGGAGAACTTCTGGATTGAGTTCAAGCTCCAAATGGTCGCATTCGAGAAGCCATAGATGCGCCGGAATGCGTTCTCAGCTGCCGTGCGAAGGAAAAACGTCGCAAGAGCGCCCAGACGTTGCCGAATTTCCTTCGATAGAAACCGAATTTCCTAGGAAAATTATAAATATTTTCCTTCAAATTTTTCAGACGATTTTGTTCGCAATTTTATTTAAATATCTAAAAAAATTTAAGGAAAAATGAGCGCAACTTCCCTAAAAAATCCGTGTTTTATCCGGGTGAATTTGGCAACTCTCGAGTGTTCGTACGGCGTTTCTCTTTCGCGCGGCAGTGCGGAGGAACACCGTATAAATTTTCTGGCGTTGCCAAAATTCCTTCGATGAAATACGAATTTACAGGGAAACTTGTGAATGCTTTTCTTTCAATTTTTCAGAGAGTTTCCGCCGCGATTCGATCTAGAGTATTCGACATTTTGAAAGACAAATATTCGTTTCTTTCCCTCAAAAATAAATATTTGATAGATACAAATTTGTCAACGTTGGAATGAACGTGCGGCGTTCTTCCTACGGGCGCCGGAGCGTCCTGTGAGGTTCGTGCGCGCCCATCGGTGGCGAGGCATGAATGGTCGATTTTCGATATTTCGCCGATTGAAACTGTGGGTAAAAATCGATTATTGAGGTGTTCGTTGCGAACATCCTGTCTATCGATTCTTTTCCATTGGTGGAAATGGCAGATCAATCGATATATCGCAAAGGACGCCACGCCACTGGGCTCACGTAGATAGCCGAAAACATCAAGGTGTCTACAGGTATGGAAAACCGGGAATTGTCAGAGACCAAACTGTAATCTCGATTTCTGAAAAGTTTAATTGGCCACCTCCCCCCCCCCCCCCCCCCCCCACACATCCAAAAAAACGAGTATATCATTCTCAAGATACCGAAGTCCCCCCCTCAGATACCTTATTCAGATTGTCATTCTTCTTTTGCTGCATGCGCGGAATAGGGAATTATATGTAGGCAAGGCCGGATTATGGAGTGGCCACAAGGGCCGTGGCCCATGGCGGCAAATTTAGGGGGCGGCAAATTTTGCAATTTTTTTTAAATGTAGGTATAAAAAAATCAGATTCAGAAAAAAAAATTATCAATGAGAAAAGGGGACAAAATCTCTCTTTCCTGAGAGTATAGTAAATTCTAATTTTGTCGTTAGTCGGTGATACAAGATACAGCATCTTTAATTAGTCGAGTTAAGAGAGGAACTAAACACGCAACTTGGCCTGGAGCTTAGCGCAGAGAGGAATGATGACGAGGACTTGAGATGAAAAGGACAAGCCCTCGGCGCGGCGGTTGGCATGTAACACATATTAGCGCCTACAAGACTGCATGAATACTTCACCTATTGCGCCAAACACAGTGCGGTCAGGAGCGGTTGGCGTAAAACGCATAGCGCCTACAAGACTGCAGGAATACTTCACGCACTGCGCCAAACACAGTGCGATCAGCGCGGCGCAGCGGCGGAAGTTCAAATTATTATCACACATTTATGTTTGTTCTTTCATAATTTTTTGGTTCATTTCTTATTAATGGAGGACCTTGTCCACACAGAGATACGTTTACGGAACTTAACTTTCGCGCAAAGTTCCGTGAAATTTTGCTGGTAGTGTTGACAGGGCTTTCGCAAAAAATGTATCCAACACGAGTAGGTAAACGCGTCTTATGCACCCCTCCCCCTTTGGCACGTTTAATTGATGGTTTTTATTGATGTTTCAAAACGAATGAGGAGGGGGCGGCAAAATACAGGCGGCCCATGGGCGGCAAGTAGGTAAATCCGGCCCTGCAGGTAGAACAGAAGAGGAGCTTGGAGGACAAGGTGCATTAGTGCAGTTTTCGCTATTTCAAGAAATATGTATGGATTAAAGTTTCCAAATTACACAGAGCCTTATGGCAGAAAGAATTTCAAACTCACTTTTTGATGCTTTAAAGTTAGATTTTAGTCATGAATTTTTCACAGAATATTCTTTCAAACTAGTTGAAGTTGAGTTCATGAATATCTCAACTTTTTCAAATACTGCACTTATGCACCTTGTCCTCCGAGCTCCTCAAAAGAGGAAAAGTAATCTAAAGCGGGCTTAGATTATTTAAAAAAAAAAAAACTTTGCGATTGCATTACAATTTTTAACCAGCTTGAAGCTATCATCTTACTTAGGAGTCAAATCATTTATAAAGTCAATTCGGGGCGACTTCCTTTAATTTGAGAAAGGGAATTTCATGTTATTCTTTTTTCCCTATCCATTTAAGTAAACCCTTGGTAAAAATTTAAGTGTATCTCAATTCGTTCAAAAGTTACAGGGTTGTCTTAAGACTTTCAAGTCACCCTGTATAATGTGATGTAAGAAGGTGGAATGATAAGAAATGTGGTGGTTTCAGATAAATTGCTCAGTTTTATTCAGACATAATTTTTAACATCTGATCTGGATTAAGAGTAAATTGAAAAAATCATTTCTGAAAGAAAATAAAGGGCACTCCTCAGTTGACTTGAGGTATGTAACAATAATCTCCTTACCTAATGGAGGAATCAGGCATAATTTTTGTCATGATGATGTAACTTGTGCAAAAGTTAAAAAAGAAAAACGAAAGAAAAAAAAAAGAAACTTCTTTTTAACAAGGGCCACGAGCACTTGTGGAATGGATTGTTCTAAACCTGAATTAAAGCAGTGAGAAAACTGAAATAAACAGTGCCTCATCATATGAATAAGTCAGGACCATATTCATAGTTTTTCCTTAAACAATGATTTTCCATTTGGTTTACATTGTGACTAAGCAAAGAGAAGTTCCAAGAGATCCATCACATATAACATCATGTGAAGGGAAATTTTTCCAATACCCAAGGAAAATTCAGCAGTATAACTTTGGAAATTGGTTCTTGAGAGGAATTAAAATGATTAACCACTTCAAAAAGTACAAAATAAAAAAGAAAATAAATTGCGAGTTTTGGAAATGTTAAGGTAAGTTGGCACCTACCTGAAAGTTAGTAAAAATCTTAAGATTTCCTAAGTATTATATGTTTTATATTCTTTACAGTGGCAAATGAATGTAATTCTTCGCAACGATCCATTTTCAAAATTCAGTGTTAGTTGAATTTCACTTGAGGTTGGTAAACATTATCCTTTTTATGATGATATTTTAAGGGTTTTCTTAAACCTCCCTTTATCACAATGTACACCAAAAGGGCCTCTTATGGAAAGGAACAATTAAGGAACTAAAATGAAGATGACCTTCAGTATTGGAACCTATCATGTCAAAAAAGTCAAATTTTACAAAAGAAAAAAACAAGTTCACTTAATGAACCAAGCATCAGGGTGATGCCAGGAAGATCATTTTATGTTTTTACGAGTGGGTGGAATAAGTCATGACTAATATAGAAAATTCAGCAAACTTCAGAAAGTCAGTTTTGGACATCAGGTTTCCACACAAAACAAGTGTAAAATGGTTTCTATTTTTAAAAAAGACCATTAAATATTCCTTCCTAGAAGTGTGCTTAGTGAGTCACAACCAGTTATGATAGTCTTGCTCGATTTGCATTGACATTAAAAGCGAATTCAGTTTTAAATATGCTGCGTCTTTTAATTAAACGATTTGAGGTGGTTTCTTTATTTGAAAAGCACATCCAATTTTTGGTGTTGTAGCATTTTCTTCACAAATACACTGGAGGTCTTGTGGAAGCAGAATTTTCTGATTTTTTGGACATGGTAGGTAGGTTTTAACATCAACTAAATTATATGTGGTAATTAAATTAAACAATAAAATATATAACATAATTATCGGGAAAAAATTACAATACAAATTCTTCAAAAAAGTGATGTTCTATAAAAATGCGAGTATCTACTTTCTTGATCAGGTTTCATTTGAATTTTGAAAGTTCATTTCCTATTCACCCTGGCAAATAGAAAAACTAATGGTGCAATTTTCCTTAGAAATAGACAGAAAATATTTGGATTACGTTTCAACCTGTTAGGAAACAATACCTACAGTCTCACTTGAATTTATGATAAATCTATGGTGCTGCTGAACTACTATCTTAAAGAGATGATATGAGACATCAATGTAAAACTCGGTGAGAGGGAGAGACATAATTACAATTTAGTTACTGACCATGGCACAGTTTGCATTCAAATTTTGACACTGCAATTACTATTATGACAAATATTCTCACTAAAAACTACATCATTTACTCAGATCACTCAAACGAGTTCAAATAAGACAAAATCAACACTTTTTCAATTATGAGTTCCATTCACTTTGCCTCATGAAACATAGTAAAAAAATAGTCTTCAACAACACAACTTAATTATGTAAATACTCAAATACCGACACTTTATGGTCAGACAATATAATTTTATTTTCCTAGAGGAGAGGCACTGACTGAGTAAATAAAGATAGCTGAGCGGTCACTAAGTGATGTATACGATTCTTAGGGAATTGAAAATTAGATTCACATTCGTAATTTCCAGAAATGTGCGCAGCATATTAAAATCATGATTTATCTTTTTTTTGGGCAATTTTCATGAGAAATCTTGTGTCAAGTGTGAAACAAATCTGTTAGATTTGAGTTTCAGCTAGCTTTTATTTATATTCTGGAGGTAATTGTCTCAATTATTAGTTATGATGCACCTGAGGAAAAGGAGACTTTGAATAAAAAAAATAATATTTGAGGTAACTATAAAGACACATTAGGGCGTTAATTCGAAATCATCTAAAAAGAATTGACCTTCCTAGAGCACTTCTAAGTAAGAGCTAAAAAACATGATTTCGAGAAAAACGCAGTTGTAGTTAAGAAACAATTTTACCCAGAGAATTTAGCTTTGTTACCATTGAAAACAGATTCTTGCTCATATAATGACCTCAATATTGAGTAGTGGACTTTAATAAACCTTTTTATTTAATACAATAAAAGTATAATCTTGCTGTCGTGCGAGCATTTTATACAAGTAACAGTCACCCAGCTAAGTTGAGATAGGGTCCTAGCACTGTTAACAGTTTTGACCTCCTACACTATAAACGCTTATAACAACGTTAAAATCGCTAATTATAGCTCAAGTTTTTAACTCCATGTTCTTGCATCAGAATCAAAGCCTGAAAATGAATATTTTTTAACCAATACATCGTTTTGTTGCTCTCCTTAAGTTCACTTTTCCTCAGGTGTATTGCATTTAATGACAGAAAATATTCCTGACGGAAATTTTCCCTTTGTGAATACATACTCAACGCCACGAAGTAGCTCTGTATGGAGCCAGCCAACAAGCATGCTGTGGACGAAGTAAAGAGGCCCTTGGGAAGTGAAAATGGCAGCAAAAGCATGATGAAATTCACTTACTTATTTGCTCGAACATTTCTTTATCATAGTTAATGAAATTTATATTCAGCCTCATCATAGCGATTATACTGACTATGAACTTTTCATAACTGTGGTACTTAGTAATAAAAAAGAAAAAAAAAAACTTGTAAAGTAGTTAAACAGTAGATATTTACCTATATTCTATCTTTACTGTCTCAATCAGCACCTTCATCGACATCACATTTTACTTTAATCACTAAATTAACATAGGAAACCTCACAAGCTTACCTAGTGGGCAAAATTAAAATAGCCAAAAATTCCCTCAAGTTCTCACCGAATAAGTTGACTTTCAGAGTGAGATGGAAGATCCATCACTGGCACGCTCAACAAGTTGACCAAATAACTTAGCATGAGCTCTAAAATTAAGGTTATACTGCTTGACACAGGAGCAGAATTTTTGAAAGAAAGGCAGCTTCTTACAGTGATTATGAAAACAAAGCGCTTCATGTAAACCAAACAAGTTATCGGCAAAAGTGTATGGAGCATTATGACATTGACACTAACGCTATCTGCTTGAATGCTAGAGGTGCTGTATTTACTATCACTGAAAGTTTAATGGTTATTGGAATGAGGTTGCGTTGACTTTCTACCCCTAATTGGCTTCTTGACATCTTAAGATTTTAAAATTAGAATTAATTAAGAACTTAAAAAGACTTTTGCCTATACGTAATATGGTTTGACACTAAAAAAGGCAGAGATCACACTCATTCAACACAGCCATACAGAAACATAAGCTTATAAAAAAGAGCCTTGGTTTTAAAGTAAAAGAAAAACTAGTAAAATTTTAATACCTAACAATGAGAGACTCAGTGTCTCAATTGTTTTTCTCTGGAAGGTTGGAGGGCCACCTCGTTATAACTGAGTAGAGTTTAGTAATAAACCTGTATTAAGAAGAGAGCAATTGTTTCTTAAAGTAATGTGTCCGCTGCTTTGAACAAACACGAAACTAAACGACTTTTCATGCGCCTTTAAGACAAGTTTCCTATGTACATAAGTATTGGAATGGGGAAATGTGGGATGAGAATAGGAAACAATAAAGTTCCTTGAACAATAATCAGAGTAAAAATTTTTGAGGCGAAAAAAACTAAAAAATCAATAGTAAAAAGGCTCTTTTTTCAAAGACAAGAGGTACCTACTTAAGATCTACTTAAAACTAAACATTTCTAAAACTAATCATCAGTCAAAGAAGTTCGGTGTTGAGATGATAATCTTCGAAAAACTTCACAGGTTATGCAGACATGAGAATTTAAATTGTATTTTTGATCAATATTTATGAATTTAATATCAATCAAAAGGCTTCTATAGTCCTTATTTCAATGAGCCCTTGAATTATGTTTAAACTTCAAAATATCCTTTGGATCAGTTGGCATATCTTCGAACTAATGTAAGCGCATCTTTCTTGAATTAGAAAATTACAAAAAACAAAGTATTATCCGATCATCTATCAGTCTTCACGAATAAGAAATGTACATTCTGTCTGAGAGGGCATGAAATCACCAAAATTCAATGACTATCAGCAGCTTGGATAACTTTCTGTTCGAGCAATTCTAAAATTTTTGAGAGAGAGTGCTTCTGTTTACAAGATAGCTGGTTCAGTTTTTCCTTGAACAATTTCAAAACTATCAGAAAATGGAAGAAAATAAACAAGAATTTGGACATGGTGAGAATCTAGCAATCACTACATACGAACTACATTTTGACTATTTTAAAAAATAAAGAGATTTCAAAATCATACTCACAGTTAATCAATAGGAACTCCACAATTTGATAGTAAAAAAAAAATTGAAAGGGGCAAAACTAAAATTAAAAGAATTTCAAAAAACGAAAAATTCAAATTTTTGAGTTGATGCAAAAAATTAGAGTGTGTTGATGGGTAAAGTCAAAAAATGAGTACTTATCACCTTTGCAACATTTCGAAATCTCCAATTTAAATGCACGTAAGCTTTTTGCTGCAAATAAATTTCATGTTCTTTGGTGTGCTTGATAGCGTTTTATTCTGAAAAATTATTTATTTGAATTTTTCAATAATTGGTCCTGTAACTCACAATGCTAAGTTAGACTAGAATTCAAACGTAGGCTGACAAAATGGCTTTGTTGGTATGGCATCATTGACAATCTTGTGATCAATCGGGGTGTTTAGAGAATTGATTCATTATGAACCTAAGAAGAGTACATGGTTGTGATACATCAAATGATTTAAATAGAAAAAAAAAGAAGGGAGAAATATGAAAATAAAACGAGCAGAATTTTCTGCATTGATTTAAGCGGACCACTTTCGTCCTCAGAATGCAGAATTGACTACTGACTGATGCAACTGAGTCAAGAGGAAACGTTCCAAGTTTTTTTCTAACATTCTCAAATGTGAGAACAATTTACATATTATTTTCTTCCACCCTATAATGTGCATGGAGAGGGGGGGGGGAGGAGAAGGAGGCCAACGACTAAGTCCACTTCATCAGTGAAATCCAAGAGACTTTCAAATAAGATTAGTAATAAGGAAGCGGTCATTTTCAATTTATCCATTGAAAATATGTAAAAATGTAATTGTATAAAATCTCCTGCACTATGAATAATGCTATGTCAGGCAAGTAATTGATAGGTGAAGGAGTTGCTGAAATTGTTAATAATACCCGAGAATCGAGCATATTGTGCTTGATAAAGAAATAAAACCACAGCCTCTGTCAGCCTTGCATAAGATCACCATCTTCAAAATAAGAGCTATTATCAGGCTTTCCGTAATTTCTTCATTTTTCAATTCCCTGACTTAGTTCACTTTTCCTCAGAATCAAAAATTTTCTAATTCTCTGGTCTTCAAACTAAACTTCTGTTAAATTTTTTTTCTATTGATGATACTGAATTTTGCTAAAATTTGGACAGAATTTCTACTTACAGGGATTCAAGTTATGGACTTAAAGAAAAGGGCACTCTGGAATTACAATTTGCTTTCTCTTGTACGGCACCACCTGAAATTTCTGAGCTAACGAGCCACTCAAAAAATTCCCTGAATTTGCCAGTAGATTCCCCAGATTTCTCGAGGTCACCGTACATTTCTTGAATTTATAAACTGCTGGAAACTCTAGACCTTACATGAAGATGAGATTGGATGAAAAAATGTGCGATGCCCACTGAATGCCTACTTACTTCCTCCTACTCCTCTATTTACTAAGAATAATTTAAAGAACATAAAATTTTCTTTCAATCGTAGCTGATAAAGAGGTTATATTTTTAGTTGCAATTACAGTTCCTTGAGAAATAGTCCTTGTTGGATGCATTAGTTTACTTTAAGAGCAAGGCGAAGGATGCTCCATATTGATTGTTGAATTCAAGTGCAATGGTACAATGAAGACAGTAGATCTTTGGTCACGATCTACCAGCCGCCAACTAATCTGTGATGAGCTCTCATCAAATTTTGATGGCTTGAGTTGAAAACACACATAACCTGGTGTCACTTGATTAAATCGAACCATCAAGTCTTTGATATCTGACTTTTTTCCTTCAAACATCAGCAACCTGCAGGTATTTGAGTGTGTTCTGATGTGAGCTCTGATTAGCAAACATAGCTTCATTCTGTCACAATACCTGCCGGCCGCTAGTATTTGAAAAAAGAGTGTTGTTCACAGTTTGAATGTTCTCATTTTAAAGCCATGTATCTTCCTGACAACACCTCCAAACTTCCAGGCAAATTTCACCTGTTAGAAGTGAAGCAAATTGAAATTATGTCTTCAAAATCTTACAAATTGACCAAAGAATGGTGCAGTAAATCGCAAGCCATGGTGTTATTTCCCTTCTAATAAAGCTGGTAAAGTAAAGCTGGAAATTATGAAATGTAGCGATTTGGTTACAAGACTTTGATATTTAGCCATCGATGGAAATAGTAATCAAAGCCTGGGTCCTTAGGAATGCTGAATGCGCTAGGCTTTTGAGCAGAGGTCTTTGAAAGACACTCTTGAGTGATACCTTTTTAATACCTTTATCAAAACGGTTCAATATCTTAATATCAAAACTCGAGGTTTGATATTAAATTTGGAGTATTTTGAGAGTTAAATGGGAAATTTTAATTAAGTATCATTAGGAATAGTGAGACAAGAATCAAAGAAACTGAGTGCACGGTATCAACTGATTTTGAGGCAAAAATCCCTGACTCTTCCAGGTTACTAAAAAAAACATACATAAATCAAGCTCAAGTAAAGATATATGTAGCTAGAGTTGGAAATTAATTCATGGAAGAAGTAGAAAAGTGAGAAATAATGAACACACTGTCGTTCGTTCCCATCAATTCTTGACATACATAATTCACTTCACTCAAAATTCTGAAAACGACTCAACTTCTTGCATTCAGATTTGGCGCTGGATCAATATTTCATTCATTGGACCTTCTGAACATGGTGAAAAGCCTTCATCAATTCTTTCAAGAAAAAATATTGTCATTCCTTTTGGAGGGTCAGTTATTGGAACTCGATCGACAGCTCACAAAACAACATTTATCAGAAAAATAGGGGGAAAAAACTGTTGGAGCTCTTTAGATCAAGGTTCATTGGATGTATTCACACTAAAGAAGCCTATTCACACAAGAAATGTATTAGAAGTTGGACCTCTGTTGCAAAGATACATAAAAACTGATGGAGAGGCAACTGAGTTTTGATCTTCATCCACCTGACCATTTACTAACACTTTTATATGTACTGAAAACTGGACTTACAAAGAGGGGAAAAAAATTGTAAAATAGCTGATTTAAAAAAAAGTTACTAGTGCAGTAAATTTTAGAAGTTCACTGATAATTAGTTTCATCTTTTACTTTAACATTTAAGTCATTGGTAGTATTACTAATTTTAGGTTAGGTTTGATACTTTCAGGGCAGTAAAAACTGAACCTTTTCTTTGAACCAATGTAAAAAGAAGGGATGTTGAGGACAGGTTCAATAACAACGCCGGGTTCTACTTTGAATAATAAAGATTTCTTTTTCAGTTTTAGGGAACAGACAAACTAATTCATGAGGAACAGTCATTCATACATACAAAAGTAGAAAAAAAAAAACGAAAGAATTAAGTCCTAGATAAAACTTATACAGAGAAGGCTTCATACACACTAGCATCACAGAGACATACATTCAGCTTAAATGACTGAGGTCAAGCGCGTCTTATATATTTGCTGCTTGAAATTACGAGAAAGATAAGCGGAAAGAAAAAGCTTTCGCTCAAATTACCATGTTACTTTAAAAAAAATAGAACATTAATCTATGATTGACAAAAAATTGATTTTGGTCACCGGTAGTTAGGTTTATTTTCTTGGAGAAAACTGAAAAATTAATAGTAACGTTAACTAGTGAACAAGAGACAGTGAAGCTGAGATTCCAAAGAAATAAGCTTAATAGTGAAACAAGCAGGAGCTGATATAGCGAATTTTTTTTACAACCCCTTTGTTGTAAGAAATCGAATAAAAAAGACAAAATTTCAAGATGACCCTAAGAGAAAAAATTTTGGTTTATAGGTTATAGAACTGAGAGTTAGGTTTGTCTATAAAACACAGATGCCTGAGTACGGTTTCTTGCAGTTCAATAGAAACTTGCCAATTTAACAAGTTAGGCAAATTCTTGGAACAGGGGCATGAGAAAGGAAATTGAAAAGAACATTTGCGCCTTTTAGGACAAGCCTAAAAGTCAATATTTAACAGAGAAAGTTGACAACTAAAACATTACCGGACAGACTAGGAAACAAAGGGGCTGAGAATCTAATGAAAGCTTAATAACAGGTGACAGTCCATCTGATGAATTCACATCTAACTGATAAGAAGAATTGATCAGACAAATTACTATGGAACTCATGACAGTAAATGAGAAATAATTTTGGAATTGAATTCATCAGTTTTTTTCCACTAGAATACACGGTGGGAGAGAAATTTTATTAGAGTGCTAACACTTCAGCACCCAGGAGCAAATTTTTAGTTAAATTCAAACGGACAAGTAAAATAAAACATTAAACCAAAAGGAGGGAATGCAATTTAATATTAGTTATTCTGATAAAAATGGGAGTTTTTAGATAAAAGACCGGATGATAATACCATGTTCAATTTGAGAAAAATCAGACACAGGAGAAGGTTACAAGACTTCTAATGCGTTCAAAATATTCAAAAATTGTTGAATAAGAGTAGAGCTATGTTATCTATTTGCACAGCTTCTCGCTGGTTACTTCTCTCATACAATGCAAATCTGCTTTGAGGATAAGTGTAAAATTAAACCTACAGCAGTTTCGAGAACGCCTCTCAGTGCTGAGTTCCAAGTTGAGCGATTTGTTTTCCTTTCAAGCAGGAACTACTAACAAATCAACAAAATTTGATAATTTAACGTAAATTGGTAACCAAACAGTAACAGGGCGTGTTGAAGGCGAAAACTAAAAGATTAAAGAGTAGGCTAAGCGTTGATCGACGCCGCAACACAATACTATGATACGTAGGTCGCAACAAATATACACAACTCGTCACAGACTCAGTACAGTACGTGAAAATTCTCACTAAACTTAAATCACAGGAGCACACGTCACAGAGAAATTTCTTCATCACACACTTTCGTTCGTACCTGACACAACACGCTCACCCATCTGCTACATGTCGCATCTCCCACATCGCGCACTGTGCCCAGTTTTCAATTATACAGGGGTGTTGATTAATGAACGCGTGGAATGGTACGCTGGCTCCCATCTGCAAAAAAAAACGAGACAAGCATTGATAAACTGACAACTAGAGAGAAAAAATTAGTAATATGTAGTTGGTTGCCAACATTTTTAATGCGCTGCTTTCTTCTTGACGGGAGGAAAAAATTCACAATAATTGCAGGCGTATGCAATGATCAACCTTGAAATGCAGTAATCTGACTATTGACTTTATCCAGGGGAACGCAAGATTTATAGTTGCATATAATTTTTAATTTGTTGATTTCCAAAGGCAAGATATTCTACTAAAAACTAGTTAGAGAGCACATGCACGATAACTCTTGTTTCTTTGCAACTTCGTACCTTCTCACCTTAGAAAAAATACTCTTGCATGGCAGGATTTTGGATTTTGAATTTTCAGACTCCAAAAATTTCCAAATTCCCCATCTTCCTCAGACTTTCAGATAGAACTTCCACCTAGATTTCTTTTCATTTCAATTACATTTATTTTTGCTAAACTTGAAACCGCAGTTCCGCTTCTAAAGATTTAAAGTCATGGAGAAAAAGCAATCAAAAGTTCTTTGGGTACTCTTGAATGGTAACGGCTGAAGTTACTGAACGGTCACGCTACTTGCAAGACTCCCTGATTCTCCAGAGGACCACTGTGTACCCTGGTCTACCGATCAGAAGTTTTAACTGGAGTTATAGAAATTGTTTTTATACTTGATGAGAATGAAAATTATTTAGGAAAAGAGAACCTTGGTCGACAAAACCTTGATATTGTTACTGAAACATAGAATTGCAGGGTGGTCTACGAAAGTTATAGGACAAACTGTGTCAAATTGAACCGGAGTGCTAAAGGTTTGAAATTTGCACTTAATTACAGTTTTAATAATAAGCTGTTAACATTTCAGTCTTGACCAAGAAACAAAATAGTTGCATTAAAATACGAAAATACACCCTTTGTTGGCACAAAAATGAATTAGCCAACTTGAAACTCGTCCCTCAGAAAAATGGAGATTCATCTGATAAAATCTCGAAAACCTATTTTCCCCCTAATAAGACAGAAATTGTTCTACTGAAACTTTGCTAGAGGATCAGGGTCCCTTTTTCTGTGAGTGGTCACAAATTTTCTTTCTTTCTAGAGCTGGAAAAAAAAATCGACTGAAAGAATTTAAGTTGAAATAGCTATTGCTTTATAACCTGAAAATATTTAAAAAAAAAAGAAAAAAAAAAAAAAAAAAAGTGAAAATAAAAAATTACTGTGAAACTCAACTAATTGTGAGTCAGAATGCATTGGGACCAAGGGTTCATGCCGACTTAGCAGGGTTTCCAAGTTAAAATGGACTATATGTTATTCTCTTCCCCAATTTTGATATCGGGCCAAATCTTGTAAGTACGTACTTCATTTCTGAATTCTTGGTGCCAACACATCTGCCACTCATGACTGTTGCTAGCACGACAGAATAAAATGCGCTATGGGTTCAGAAACGACACTAACTCAATTTTTAAATTGATCAGCTGTGAACAGTGCAACAAGTTGGAAAAGTTGGGCAGCACTTCCAAGCTCACATAAATTGTTCCTACAAAGAATAGCTTGTAAGTAAAGTAAGTATCTTGGTAAATTTGATTTATTTTATCCTTTTCTTGTCATAATTCAATAAATCCAATCGTGTGCTGTTTTAGTATGAAACGCTGTCTCGTAGGTTAGTTGTCGTGTCACATACGACAACAATTTCAGATACTTATTGCGCTCTTTCATCTCAGTTTTATTGCCAAACAGATGTTTCCAGCTGTTCCAGCAAGATTGATACATTCGTCAAATAAAACTTATTCTAATTTTAACAATTCTCTTCGATCATATCCTGACACATACTTTAATACTTAACAACAGAAAAACAAGCATCAAACTTACCAGCTGCTGTTAACTTGCGTTTTGAGGGTTTTCAGTTGTTTCGTAGCCCAGGCGGCCATGGTTTTAGTCTTGCGCTGGGACTTACGACCTTGTGCCAACATTTCATTGATGGGTTCTACATCTAGTAAAGGTAAAACTTTAGGGCCGAATGTTGAACACAAGTCTCTGCAATGAGAAAAAAGAGAAACAGTTAATGTTTGCAAGTTGCAAGTGTGATGAAAATTTGGTTAAAATGGCTGAATTCCAGAGGATTTAAACTTTCAATACAACCAAAATGGTTTACCTTTGCCCTAACATGAGAGGCTATCAAATTAGAAATATGCACAGTGTCCTCGTATAAAAAGTATGCTTGAGGTGTAATTCAAACGAAAGTGGTTTTTGGTCAATCATTGACAAAATCACATTTTAAAAGAGTGAACAGTTACTTCGTAGGGAAAACTGTGACTTCCATCATCCATCCAAGAAAGGCAAATGAAATGGTACTTATCATTCTTTATTCAAAGAGATGAGTTTAATCATAGGAAGTTGATGCATTACTGTTTTTTCTAATGAAACAAAAAGTTTCGAGTATTGCGAAAAGTCGATCGAACACCCACGAGGAAAATAACTATCACAGGTAAACTGATCATTGACAGAGGGAAACGGCGGCTTCCATCATCCATCCAAGAAAGGCAAATGAAAATGGTGCTTATCATTTTACACTCAAATTGATTGTTTTAATCATAGGAAGCCGATACGTTTTATGAAAAATTGGTTGAAGACTTCAGAAGAAAATAACTAACATATCCAACTGCTCAGTTACGGAGGGAAACGTAGGCTTCCATCATCCATCCAAGAAAGGCAAATGAAAATGGTGCTTATCATTTTACATTCAAATTGATTGGTTTAATCATAAGAAGCCTATATGTATTACGAAAAATTAGTTGAATACTTCAGAGGAAAATAACAATCATAAACTAACTGCTCATTTATATGGGAAAACGGAGGCTTCCATCATCCATCCAAGAAAGGCAAATGAGAACGGTGCTCATCATATTTTGTTCAAAGACATTGGTTTAATCATAGGAAGTAAATGAGAGTTCCTTTTTAAAAAAAACTTTCACAGTATTAATTAAGATAAATTAGAGAAAGACAAATGTTTTCTTGTAAAATGCGTTCTAAAAGAATCGTGAAAAATTAAAAGAAGATCCTACTGAAATGATAAAAAAACAAAAGTATTTACCCAATGAGACCTGCGGCTGCTGAGGTATTTGAGTCAGAGCGCTCTTGATCTTGCGCTACCATAGTAATGAAAGAGGCTATGTAAGGAACGTGGGCTTCGAGTGCAACTAAGTCCGCGTTTTCTTCGTAAGGGCCTGTGGATTCTCCTTTCAAGCCTTGAATGATACCAGTGTAAGTTTCTAGGACATTTTCTCTGAGTTCATTCAGATATTCTAACATGTCATAGTTATTCTGTGAAAAATATAAGAATTTATTAGCTGTCATGAATGTTAAGGTAACTGATGAAAATGGTCTTCAAAAATGACCCTGACTCTTTCGAAGAATTTTGGGGATAAAATAAAACTGATAACCACTTATGAGTGCAGCTGTGCACATATTCGTCTATTGTATTTTTCATTACAATATCAATCTGTTACTTACACAAGTTTCCAAAATTCCTTTTTTCCCCAATTCTCTGACTTTTCCTGCTCTTCTCTGACTTTTCTGGTTTTCCTTAATTTCCTCAACTTTTAAACTTTCTACTTAGATTTTTTTCCTTTTAATTTGACTGACTTGTACTAGACTTTGGATGAAATTTCCACTTGTAGAAATTAAAATTGTGGAGACCCTGATTTTCCTCACGAATTTCTTGACTATTACAGGTCATCATAAATTCTTTATCAACGGCATAGGTCTGCAATCACATATCTTGTTTGAGGTATCTGAAAATCTTCCCCTCTATGTTATTTTCTTAAAGGAGAGCAACTCGACATCATTCTTTGAAGTTTTGGTAGAATTTTTTTCCCATAGAGAAGAAAAATCACGGCAGTTTTAAAGAATTGCCGTTCAGTGGTTTTCTGTTTAAAAACTAAAGTATGCCAGGAAGTCTGCGACATCATAAACCAAGTTATGTGACTGCCGACTTACACCTTTGTTTTCCTTCCAGGTTCGCCAGATCCCTCGATGTATAATCGACGAATGATTAAATCATTTCCTTAATTGAACAGAGTTACGCTGAAAACGGTTACAGCTACATTGCAGGGTTCTAAAATCTCATTTTCTATTAAAATGTTTAGGGAGGAAACCGACTAACATCATCAATTTGTGGAAATAACCCTCGTAGGGGCAAGAATAATTGCGACAATTTTCAAAATGGGATGTGGGTTGGTTTCTCGCCAAAACATGAAAAAAAGGGATGAAATTTTGAAACACAGCAATGCAGATGACTCTTTTGCTTAAATCTTTTCAATTGCTTAAAAACTGTACGTTGGATTCATAAGTATCCAAAAAAGTAGAAACAATTACTACAGAAGTAGTTTCTTTGTCATTCTGAAAATCTGCCTCTCGGCAATATACTCTTTTTTGAATACTATTCAGTTGCGAGTGAAAGTTCGGATGTGATTTTCAAGGCACAGGGCAGAAATGGTTAGATCAAAAATACAGCCGCGATGGGCAAGTTTACAGTCAGTTCAGGTCACTTACCCTATCTACTTCTACTTGTGTCGCATGGATTAATGTTTGAAGGACAACATCTAAATATTTCCTGAAGTGCGGACCAATACCGATGGCAATGTCTCCAAATACGGCTAAAATTTGTGGCTTTATTGATCGATCAACAGTCGTATCCTGCAGATGGAGAAACAAAAAAAGTTAAGAACAGATGTTGAGAACTCATACATGGATCAGTTTTCAATCTTCATTTTGTGCTCCAGGCAACTTTGAAATCATGAGTCATTTTTTCAAAAAGCTTCGATTTTATTCTCTGTATTGTAGCAAACCATTCCTAATTTTTGGGTTTCCAACAAAATGTTATTTGACACTTTGGTTCTTTGTGACTTCAATACTTCAATGCATTATTGTTTTGATCCCTATTTTATTACACATTAAATTCCACTGCCTTACTAGTATTTCGTTACGATAGCAAGTACAAGATACGGTTGATAAGAGTCTCCTGAAAGAAATTAAAATACTCACACTTAAATTTTCTAATAGAAGAGTCATCATTTCATCACAATACGGCAGAATTTTGATCTTCAGTGCTCGGCAGATGTCACTAACCAGCCCAACAGCAGCACCACAAACCTGAAATAAATAATCCATTAGGGCAAGGTTGCAGGTAAAATTACACACGATATAGGAACCTTCCAACAAAAATAAAAAGTCCCTGATGATTCATCACGAGTCTAGACAAAATAAATTTGCCTAACGGCATGAGAAATTGTCTAGAGTTGACAATGGACCACTTAACAAGGTCTGAACTAAAACAAGACACATTAATTTTTTCAAAATCTTACATCAAGAGCGATTCACTTGATGCTGGAAGTTTTCATGTGGTTAATTACTTCCTTTCATGAACACAAAAATTTCAAAATGGACAGGATTTAAGATTTCTTTGTGTTCAACAATATAATAATGCAAAAATACCATGAGAAAGTAATATATTACCATCATAAGTAAGTTTTGGGTTGGTCACATTACTCATAAAAACATTGATGAGAACAAGATCTATAGTGAAAACCACGAAATATGACACTCATCGATGTCCAGTTCACTGGCAGCTTAGAGCTGTCGCTTTAAGTCGATGGGTTGAATATGTTAGGTTGCACAATTCGGAATAATAGGAATACTTACTTCATGTTCAGCATGGTTCTTCAATCCTAGACATAAGTACGGTTTGAATGCATCCATATACTTCAAGAAGCCTTCTCCAAGCATCTCTACCAATGTTGACACTGCCATCAAAGCATCTTGTTGAACTCCGCCAGACTCGTGAGTACTCGTTGAGAATATTTGCAACAATGTGGTCATGACAGAATCGCTAATCTGGGGTACATCTTCAGCAGTCATTTTCCTCAAAGTGGCCTGGAAATAAAAAAGAAACTCACTTTAGCAGGAGGACAGACATTAGCGTTTAGGTATGGATCTTTGCATAGGAGTTATGCAAGTTTAGGGTTTCCGAAATTTAATTCCCTGGCATCAAGCTTTTCCAATTCCTTGACCTCTGAACAAAATCTCCTCTTTGACTTTCTTGCTTTAATAATTACACTGACTTCCGCTGAATCCATGGCGGCTAACAGAAATTTTATTTGAACTTGTCCTCTAGATGTCCTGCACATTTTTAGCTCTGAACTCGTTTACAATGCCTAAAATGAGTAAATCAATGAAGTTGGAAGGGTGACTTTTCATAATAAACCTCCTTTGACTCGGTAACAAGCGAGGATCTCACATAAAGTTAATTTTTCTGTTGCTCATGGTGGTCCCACCAGTTCAAACAGGTCGTTACAGTCCCAGATGATCGTTACTCCCGAATGAGATTAATCGGTCGATGACAGACCATAAATAATCCCAAGTTAAAGAAAATAAGTGGGTAAGTGACATGAATCAAGAATCACCGTAGAATAATTTGATTATCCAATTTTATTCAGTTCCCGCCCTATCTTTAAATTTCAATCTTGTCCCGATTTCTCCGCCAATCGGAGAGGTGGTCTCATTTTGTTCTTCTAGCGCTCCATTTTTACGTCATTGGGTTAGATTGCAAAGAAAATCATCCAAAAAATTTGGATAAGGATTACTCACTGGTAACCCAGAAAATTCGAATTGTATCATGGCAGTGTCTAGAGGCTCATGCAGCACGCAGTTTTGTTTATTAAAATACAAAATATTATGGTGGTAATGATTTTCCACACAAATCTTAAACAAAATCAACTGCATCGAAAAAAAAAGTTGTTGAAGTAACATCCCGGATGATAAAAATCTGTGCGACATCTCTTGAATGCTGATATGAACGCTACGGTTGTTGATTCAACATAGCTAGGATGTTACTTTAACATCCAGATTATTCATGACAACATTCAAGAGTTGTCGCGCAGATTTTTAACATGCGGGATGTTACTACAGCAACATTTTTTTTTCGGTGTGAGTTAAAATGAGGCTTCAGATTAATTAAAGGAGATGCACCTTAAACATAGATGCTTACCTGCAAAGATGCACAAAGTAAGGACTCCAGATCATTGTATTGAGCCTTGTTCTGTTTGTTTTGGATACTCATTTGGAGGACCGTGTTGAGACGTTCTAAGAAGATTATCATAGTGCGCTGAACAGTTGCATAACAGTCTTTTGGCGAGCTCTTGATCATTTCCATTAAAGCTTCGTATGCTGCTGAACGTAGATTTGACTGAAATGAAAACAAAGATTAAGCAGGTTTAGAGAGGATTCTTGCAAATATTCGCGTAATTATATGTTAACTACTTTTGTCCCTTTCATAATGACACATACATTTGTTGTAAACGTACATTAGAAGTTTTGGGGCGAAATTAAAATGTCAGAAAAAATTAGAGTTAAGAAACATACAGTACTTCTATTAATAGCTTGTTTTCTGTAACTTCACTTCCAAAATTTCTAAAACCACCTAGGACAGAAAAAAAAATTATTTTCCTCGTTTGAAAACTTCTTTGTATTGGTTTATGCTGAGGGTAAAATTTTCCAGCTTATTTTTTCTCTTCTTTTCAGCTTTGAAGACACCCTCCTCCAAATCATACAACAGAATTACCATAATTAATTCATCTTTATAATTCCTGACCTATTTTTTTGCTTTTCCCTGACTCAAAAATTGTCCTATTTCCTACCTTTCTCTGACCTTTGAACAAAGTTTCCACCTATTTATTTTTTTCTAAAAATCCGTTGACTTTCGCTAAACTTTGGAAAAATTTTCCTTGTTGAGAGATCTAACTGACTTCTAAATGATCAGAGGATAAACAGTTGGAAGGTCGGTGATATGTCCCAGTGATTAGTAGGTGTGTTAGAAATTCCCTGACTTATCCTGGTTGCCTTAAATTCCCAGACCGTCGGCAACCCTATGCAGTCAAAAATGCGAAAAAAAAATTAGGAGGGTGTTACCTGTGATCCGTCTGATCTATCTGTGGTAGCCAGCAGCTGCTCAACAATAAAGTTGAAGAACTGAGACAAACAGTACGTATCCGGGGTTTCGCCCTCCGGCAGATTGGCGGTGGCCGCTTCGTAACTGGCTTCAGCAAGGCCTGTGAACGCCCAACAGACATTAGCGGCAACGCGGGCTTCTGCCTCCAAGCCACTGACAAGAGCTTTCAGCAGCGGCTTGAGATAATCTTCACTGATCGCCACATCTGGAATGATGTCACAGATTCTACCGATGGTCCACGCTGTTGTGTCACGAACAGGGATACTGTTATCGTACATGCGCTCAATGAGAACAGGCATCACCATTTCAACTAATGGCTTCAATGATTCAGCGCTCAATCCACCGAGGATTGATCCTGTAAAGCAGAGTAAAAAAAGATCAATCAAGGTACGCTCATAAGAAATTAGTCCGATCTTTCCCCATAATTTATTAAAAATGATAGAATTAAGTTAAAAATGGTCGATGCTCGTAGTATTACAACACCAAAATTGTAAAGATAATTAAAAAGAATATTGTTCGGCAGTTGCATGCTAGCAAACAAAGGTGACTCAAAAATTTTTCCTTGACATTTTCCCGTTCTCCTAGTATTCCATGACTGTGACAACCCTCTTGCAAGACATTCAGTTTCAACTTTTGGGGCCTTGATATCTGAGTATCACGCAAAACATCTATATTGTTCCACCTACATGCCTCTTTCAAGATTGTCAGACTTAACATGATTTGAATGTGATGATATCATGATAACTATGATACCTCGACTGATGAAATTCATCGGTAGAGGGATATGAAAAACTGGGCATAGAATGAGCCACAACCTAATGGAGATAAGCAGACAAATAGTTAAAATTTATTGTAGAAAAGAGGAGGTTTTGCATGGGCGCTTCAAAACAACTTACCAAAAGCTAAAATGGCAGCTTCCCTGTAACGCCAGCTGTTATTTTTAATATTATCTTTAACAAAAGGTAGTACATGAGGAACCACATCGTCTCCGCAACAAGTTGCCAATAACATTAAACACACTCCAGCAGATTTACAAGGATTCCAGTCATCTTCATCATCTATCTCTTCCTGCAGATCAGAAAATAATAACATTACATCAATTCATTAGCTAGAAAGGACTTGAGTAAGAAAACAAAGGTATCGCATGCATAGAATGGGTCAGTTTGCGACAGATAAAATTTTTTTCCCAGGCGCAAGCATAGATAATTCTTTCAATATTTTGAACATAAACATATAGTTTTTTTAGTCCTTTTGATGATCTTCAGTACTTAGAAATGAGAGAAATAATGAGACCTTTGGTATTCAGCCATGAAAAACAATGTTGATCTCAGTTGTGAGCAACAAAAAAGAAATTCTGAGGAATTCAAATTGGAAAAGTGGAAAGTAGGAATGATAAAAAAAATGAATTAGGCTCAACCGAAACACAAATAATTGAACCACCGGACCTTGATTGAGTGGAGAAAGCTGAGAAATTGCATACCCCCCAGGCTACTTTTAAAGGCCATGACGAAAATCCTGAAAACCTATACTTTTCCACAAAACGTTCATGCAATTTCTGTGCTTCAGTACCGAACTTAAAGAACTTGTGTTAATCCAGAGTGTCAGTGCTTTTTTTATTCAGTAGACACATTGCAATTGGTCATTGAATCTGGTCTTTTCCACTCAATATTCAGAGAGTACAAAGTGATTTTATGTGTACTTTTGGAACCAAAATGCTGGAAAAAACCGTTTTTAGGAAGTCCAAAAACTCAGAGGCATTTGTATTGCATTGATTGGAGGGTCAAAAGAAGTGAACCATTGGCAAAGCCAAGCATGAACACACCCAACTTCGTTCATTGATAATTTTAAGTTGTAGATTTTAGATTTTGGGATAGCTATTTCGATCATCAGATTGCCAAATCTAGGATCTATCGCCAAAACCTAAAATCTACAATCATCGTGATCGGGGGAAAAACAAAGGTAAAATTATCAAAAAAACTACAATACATCCCGATAAAAAGAGCCTCAACTTCAAATTACACATAACTTTCTCGATTTGAAAATGAATACTGAGCTACTGTACACAGAGGAAAAAAATTAAGAGCTTGTTTGACACAAGTAGAAATGGTGCTATTATTCGACTTCAGAAATTAAATTTTCTCTGGGACGTTGGAAAAAGAAAAAATAGAAAAAAGTGTTCACTGAAAGGAGACACGAGTACATACTTGTTTAGTGAGTTTAGTCAATAGGACTGGAATAAGGAATTGCAGAGCTCCTTTGGCGTAGAACCTTGATGTCCTCTGTGGTGGCCTGCCAGCCTCCAATGCATCGTTTTCTTCTATGGCTAGATCTACTTCTTCATCACTTACATTGGACCAGAATTCAATGCCTTGCAACGCTACTTCGTCCGTTTCCGATTTCATTGCTTCCAATGTAATCTGCAAAGAAAAAAATGTGGCTTTTTAGTAATCTGAGAGTCAATTTGATGCATTTTTGATGAAAAATAAACATGGTAATTTGCGATTTCATCCGAACACTAAATCTCAACGTACAATATAAGGAGAGATGTCGTTCATCTTCTTTTTATAGGGGCCATGGCCGATTTATTTGGAGTATTTGACACAACAGTGCCTGTGGGTTTGGAACTCCTTAGTATACAACTTACAATTAGTATAAGTATATTGGTGCAACTAGAACTTAATACATGTGTCTTAACAATTGCTCGTTTTTCAACAAATTCTGTTCATCAGGATGAATAAAATAGCCCGGCATAGTTTTTAGAGAACAGACTTACCGGGAATAAAGCTTGCCCCATGTACGGTTCCATATATTGATAGTACAAAGACATAATTTTCACCAGGCACTGTAAAGCTGCCACTCGAACTTGGGTATCGGGAGACTGTGTTGCCTCACAGACCACTTCCATAATGTAATTTCTTTCAGACTGAAATAGATAGAAGAGAAGATAAATAAATAACTAATGGATGTTAAAAGTGAGAGGCATTTCAAATGACTTGAATGATGTTAATCTTTGTTAGGTGAACCCTGCTACAAACGAGGTGTACGAAGTTCATGTTCAGGATAACCAAGAGCTGTTCTACAGTTCTACAGTCCTGACTAAATTTCTCCTTGCCTGATGATTAAATTCTTAACTGAGAGAAAACAGTTTAAAATTAGGACTTCGAGAGAAGAGGGGCATATAAAGTGAGGGGTTCAAAGTTTCTTGATCAATGCATGGCTGAAGCTTCCATGACTTTCTTAACCTAAAATACATGTGTAGACAGAAACTAGTTTTGCTTGGTCTGTTGGCTGACCCTTGGGGATCTTGATACTGAGTCGAAACCTAAAAAGCAATTTTCTTGAGATAAATTACTTTGATTGAATGATCCTCTTGAGGTTGATTCTTTTCAACAAATTAGGAGTCAGCCAAACAAAAGCTGGGAAAGTCAATTTTGCTTTACACGCACGATGATTTGGCTACCACATGTTTGCAATCTATTATCTAAAATTTCAAAATCTCTCCTGAGGACAGCAACATTCTGAAAATTAGAAATGATTTAAAAATTCAAAACTGATCATGAAAATTATAAAACTTCTTGAGTCCTGGAAAAAGTTGCCAATTTAAATCTACCAACCTAAAATTTAATATATTTAAAAAGATATCTGTAATCTAAGAGATTTAATTTCAAATTACGGCTAAAATATTCCTTGATTCTTCACTTTTCTGTGCACTTTTAAAATCGAGCAAAGACTCATTGAAATGATCATTAGTATTCACTTTCTGGAGGGAAAAAACGTTATTTTGCGTCCTTGCTCCGATGACTTACCTCTTTGTCAAAGTTGGCGCGAGTGAATTCTAAGGAGTTCAACAGGGCAGTTGTGGCAGCAAGCCTGACATGATTGCTGGCTTCTGTGTTTCTCATACCGTGAACTATGGCTGTCAGGATGTGATTTGATTGTGAAGTTAAAATTTCATGATCCTGAAAGAGAAATATTCTCAATTTTAAAAAGATATATGTAGACCTTGTTAAGATCGCAGACTCATTTTCCAGTACTGCTTTTGTCCTGCGGGCCAATTATTGAAATTTTAAGGCAGCATAATAAGACACTGGAATGTGATATATTGTATGGTTACGATTGGGATATGCCTAGTCTTGTCATACCAGCAAAGTTTTCATTATCAGGCTGTAGCATTTCATTCTGTTGAGATATTGGACCATATGGCGCAGTGCATTCATTTCCTTGAGTCAAACAATAAAAATGCAGAAAACATCTAGAAACAGTGCTGAGATGTAGCAGCTTTAGGTGAGGTTCTTTATTGGAGTAGAAGTGAAATAATCTTCAATATTTCTTAATTATCTAGGTTTTCAATTGAGCTGTAAGTAAACTAACCGATCACAACCACACCCTTGCAGCTCACTGGGCACACTAAAAACATAACTTGGATGATATTTGACTTACAATATCTTGACAAATGTAACCAATTGTTTCCAGGGTAGCTTCACGGACCATTTCTGTTGAATTGGGGTCAAGGACATTGTTCACTAAAATTTGAATAAGTTCCGGCCATTTTCCTTGAGGAAGTTCTACGACTGCTACATATGCAACACATTGTGCTGCGGAGCTAGGGCGGGAATTTTCAGTTCCAAGCGCAGTTAAAATCTGGAAAAGATGATAAAATGCAATTAGTGGCAAATTTTCAGTAAGAGGATAGAAATCAGTATACTACAGTAAAACCTCGCTAAGTCGGTTTCCGGATAAGCCGGTAACCCGCTTTAGTCGGTAGAATCGCCCGGTCCCGTTTATCACCCATATAACACAATGCTAAATAAGTCTCGGTATCTCGGTTTGGTCAGATTCTGAACCCGCTTAACTCGGTGAAATTTTTCCATCTCGACCTGTTTTTCTTCGATCGTCACCCGAGATCAAGCGTAGGTAGTGTTTCCGTGCGCGGTGCGGGTCGGGTCAAGTTACGCCACGAAGGGTGAGCGAATCTCCGAGAAAGCGCAGCGCAGTGCGAGAGACGACATCAGCTCCCCCTCTCCTCCTCCCTCCGATCCCCACTCAGCCCGCTCGTATCGGCACGCGCCCCTCTTCCCCTACCATCTTGCATTGCCGTTCCCCGCTCCCCCGAGGAGTTTTTCGAGGATTTTAGCGAGTATTGTTTACGTTGCATTTTCAGTGCAACGACCCGCCACTCAGCGGGCGGCCGCGGCGCATCACCGCGCGGCACCCCAACAAACGACTAACCCGATGACTTCATGATGCCCTGACACTTACAACACGCAATTTCAAGTGCATCTCATGAAATTTTACTATTTAGTACCATTTTCTTCGATCAAATGGCTCTCCTAAACACTCCTACAAGTCACTCTACACGCACGTTTGCGTTTGTCCAATTTAGGGCGCGAAATTTGAAAAAGCGCGGCAGGAAAAGTGGCAGTCCACGTAAGTCGGTAACCCGCTTAACTCGGTAAATTTCCTCGGTCCCGATGAAAACCGACTTAGCGAGGTTTTACTGTACAATAACCCAAAGTTGCAATTGGACTTGGTACCAATCATAAATAGTGCATACCCTATAGTCTAGCTGCCCTATGCTCCCCATAAAAAAAAAAAAAAAAAAAAAAAAAAAAAATAATTTAGGAGATTTTATTAAAGGCTGCTTCAATTGATAAATCAATGTTAATCGTTTATTCAACATTATAATCCAGGTGATGCGGAAAATTTTATTATTTACTCTGCAATAACCTATTTTAGGGGTCATTAGTTTCTATTCTGGAGGAGGCAGAGTTAATGCAAAACAAGCTACAACACTTCTACGGCGAGATGAGAGAGCTCTTTCTAGATTCTTTGATTTCTTAGAAATGCTAAAATGAAGACATCATTGCAATCTAGACATGGTTAAACTCAAAGTTTAACTTATTTTTATCGGGCTGCATTATGTTGATGAAATTACCTTTCTCCCGATCACTTTTTATCCGGTTCTCAGACGATAGCTATTTCGATGTTAATCATCATCATCAGGTCACTTCGACTTCGACTTCGGTAAACACTAACAGTCACATCTTATATTGTTAAAATTTACTAAATTTTAGTAAATTTTAACAATATAAGATGTGACTGTTAGTGTTTACCGAAGTCGAAGTGACCCTATGATGATGATTAACATCGAAATAGCTATCGTCTGAGAACCGGATAAAAAGTGATCGGGAGAAAGGTAATTTCATCAACATGGTTAAACTCATTAACAGGGTGTCTAGTATTTATTAATATTGAAAAATCCTGATATTTTCCTGATATTCTTCTGATATTTTTATAATATTACAGGGATTCTCTCATTTCACTTGATTAAGCCGAGTGCCTGGTCAGAAAATTTCTGTGCACCTGCTCTTTACAAAAATAATGCCAGAGCTGTTGAGGATTCAAAATGCAGGGAGTTATAAAACACGAGGGTGCTGGGTCAAATTTTAAAAGAGAATTGTGACTTACATTATTCTTTATGTATGCCCGGATTTCATCAGGAAAGGCTAGCCACCTTTGTTGGAATCTGAATTTGACAGCAGGGTCTTTGGATGTAAGGTTATTTTTGAGCTGTAAACCAGCTGCAGTTCGGACGACAGCATTATTACCAGCATGATGTAGGATGTCTGATAATGTTCTCATAAACTCCACCTAGAGTTTAAAATATAAAAAAAAATGTTAAAATACTTAGTCCAATGGTGACAAATTTGACAGATTTTTATGGCATAATATCACGGAACGGAAGAAAACTTCAAGCAAAAAGTTGAATTGGAAGGCTCGATTAATAGTCAGTATTGGAATTTGAAGAATTAATGGATGCAGGTTTAATGACCAACTTCCAAATTGCTATTGTATCTGCTAAACTAAACTGAACACTAAATTTTTAACTTGTTAGTCCAAGATTGAAAATACATCTCAGATTTAGATTTCATTTATTAATAAAGAAAAAACATGATACAGAAATTAAGTTAAAGCACTACAATTAAACTTGCCAAGAGGTCTAGCCATGTGCGGCAGAAGTAGTAAAGCATAAACTATTTATAACAGAAACAAAAGAGATCATAGTTAGCTATGGGTAGCTTCCTTACATTGGATCAAATTTCATTCCTTCCAGATTTTCTTGAAAGACACCAAGCGCAAAAAACCATGAAATTGTCATAACTGTCACAGCATGATTTCTTCTATCTACCGTAAGATGATAGAATTTTTATTGCAACACCTGGTAGCTTAATGAACTTGCAAGAAATTCTTGAAATTTGTATTGAATTTCATTCAGCAAAAGTTTCAATAAAATACAATATTTAACAATTCAATTCATACATTTCAATAGGCTGAACTCTTATGAGTCATTAAACCCTTCTTTTCATTAAAAAAGAACATCAATACTTACAAATTAATTAAATTATACTTACAATATTAGTCTGCGCTGCCTGATCGATGAAGTTTTGCGCAGCTTCCAACTCATTTTTATCTGAAAAATAAAGGAAAAAATAAATTCATGAGGGGCTTATGGTAGAATAGAAGCAAAATTTAATGTCTATCAACACAACCTGATTTATTTTTCCTTGCATTAGTATGAATCGTCTGCTCATCAATGAATTAATTTTCACTTTACTATCATCTAGGTGAGTGTCCCATTATTGGTGTTAAGATGCATTGAGGATACTAAAAAATTTCTCTACATGCCTTTGGCTGGTGTATTTTCACTTATGAAATAGTTTAAAACTGTAAGTATAATAGTGTCATACAGTGCAAAGAGGAACTCACTGTAGAGAAATCATAGAGCAGTATAAATATAATCATTAATACATAAACACCTACTTATATTGTATTTCTGGTGATGCTGGATGGGTTCCAGAGAATTGCTGCTTAGGTACTATAGGTTAATTCATCGCAGCCCTAACCCCCCCCCCCCAATATAATTGTACGTCATGATTCATGTGGTCCTATAGTGGACTTCAAGGGTTGTAAATTTCAGGCTGATTATTGACACGTCAACTTGAGAACTGCTTCCGCGATATACTTTTCAGGAAAGGGGGATAGCATGGCTAATCTATCTAGATACTTTTTCTGACTCAATATGGGCAGACAAAGCGTTACAATGAAGAAAAAGCGCTATCACAGGCTTTTGAGAGTGATATTCCTTGCTATCTTACAGCTTTGAAACTTGTAGACAAGCAGTATAATAGGGCTTGTAATAGTAGACACAGTAGCATGCACCATACTTAAATGCAAATATTTAGAAAAATGAACAGGGCCATTTGGAGGTGTATTCAAGTTTGGAAAATCAGCAAAAGAGAAGGTAACTTCTGACACTATAACAGGCAGAATTGGTCAGGAACGTTCAACAACTTATGACAAGGGAGCAAGATGGCCGTTTTGACATCTCCTAATGTTTAAGTGATCAGGGATGTGATTACAATCAAGGATCTTAACTGTTAAGAATAATCAATGAAACAATTAAAAAGGATTGGAGTATGTGAATTGGAGTGTGTCAAATTTCAAGGGGAAAGGGAATAAACTGCAAGAAGAGTAAAACCTAACCTAACAAACTGAGAGGATATTGTGCTAATCAGCAATTTAGACAGCAATGAAGATGAGTGAACACATGGTTCCGATACTTAGAAAAGCCAAAAATAATGTGACAAGGAAGAGAGGAACAGAACCTAGGAATCCAATACAAGACAATAACCGTGGAATGGTTAAGAATGTTTGTCTTTTACCAAGGGGTGAAACTACGTTCGCAGCTCTGTAACGGCAGGAACACACAACAAACAGATTTCATGGAACTAAGATGGACCAGGATAAGACTTCTTAAGACATGCATTTAATATATGCTGCTGATAAAGTCTAGGATCAAGCATCAAGACAGTCGCCACGAGATGAGGCCATTATGCAGCTCTCGGCTGTCAAACGCACATTGCAGGATGACATCTGACCATGTTACTGAGGCTCTCAATACTGAAAACCAAAGTTACTCTGAAGATAGGAGATCTACAAATTTACAATATACGAAAAGGCTTTAGTTTTGCAGGGCAATTAATAATGGTAAGATATCATTCAATGGGTATCTCTGCGACCATGCTTGGAGTTAGCTCTGTTCAAGGTTATGGACCTGGGCATCGTACAGACGACTAAAGATAGCAATAGTTCCCAAGGATAAGACCTGCAAAGCAGATACGGAATTACAGGAAATCCTATTCTTCGATGGGCTCCGTTTTGCAACGAACTGATGTGTCCAACGTGAAGATAAAGGGAAGCCTGTCTGAAGGATGGACGAAATCCGATGACACATTTAGAACTTACCGGATGAGACAGTCTTCTGAAGAATTTGGGCAAGTGCGGTAGCTTCTGGATTCATTTTGATGATCATTTAAACGACTAAAATAATAAGATTAATACACTTAAAAATGCAAACGGCCACAAAAACGAACACCGGCAATCGCCATTAACGCGGAGGCTCCGAACAAAAAACCCACGATTTCGACATTAGATGAAAAACGACCACGAGATAAATTCATCCGCGCGCATTTTAATTTGAATTTTTTTTCCTTATCAGGAATTTTGAGACTACAAATCTCTAAAATTTTTACTGAAAGTATTCAATTTATCCGTGAAATTTCTCAAATAATGCGATTAAAGTCACATCAAATAATTTCGTAACGTCTTCAATGCGCACTACTTTACTACGTGACAAAAGGTATTACGTTACTTCTTGCGCGCCAACTTTCGATTCCACCCGCGCTGCTTCACGCGGCAAGAAAGGTGAAATGTTTTTAGAATAGGTTGTAGGTGTATGTACCTATGGGTGTACCTTATTGTCAGACGCAGACGGAAGTACGTAGGTATTGAGTTTTTTCAACATGAAAAAAAGACGGGTTTTCACTCAGAATTTCCGATTTATTGCAATAGGATCGCAGAGGGAGGAAGAAAATTTTAGCTTTTCACTTGTCTGCATATGACTAACATTTATGAATGTAGGTATCGTAGAATGCGGCAATCAAGCACGCAATTATACGATCTCGGGGGTAAGTATGTGATGTGGTATCACGCGGAAATGAAGGAAAATCTTAGCGTTCCGTTTGTCTCTACTCAAATCAATGACATTTATGAATGTAGGCATTCTGCTCGCACCGTTGGATGCGGAATCAATCTGTTCATCTGTTCGAACTTGCGATAGGTATGTGATGTGGTATCATACTGATATGAAGGAAATTCCTGGCTTTTTGCCTGTCTAAAAATACTGACGTTTGTGAAAATAGGAATCGCTAAATGTGGGAATCAAGCGCATAACTATTCGAACTCCGATGTATGTATGTGATGTGGTATCATGCGGCAATGAAGGAAAATCTTAGATTTTCACTTATCTCATATTAAATCAATATTTCCATTTGATACAATTATGGGGTGATTCTTTGTACATGAGTGCTTTATTTGCCTTCGTCAGAAACGAAGTAAGTGCCGGTTACACACAGTAACCGGTTAGTCACATTACGTTTGGGATTTTGGATCCTGGATGAAATGATAATTATTTTATGGTTCTTGCCTTAAGGGTCAACCACGAATTGAGGAACTTTAAGTCTCTTTTGGAGTTTTGGAATCGTTTTTTTCCCCTTTAAGCAGAGCTCCTTGATGTGGCGGAATGGTGAATTTACGAAAACACGCGCCCAAGATAGTTAGCATAGTAAATAGTGACACGAGCTCCACAACGCAAATGAATGTGCTAATTTTTCTATTTTCACTATGAATTATTACTTTTCTTTTTTAAGTCCAGCTCTAAAGGACAAGACGATAGAATTTCATCGGAATAAGAGACATACGAGTTTATAAAATTGCTACTAAATTCATCAAGCAAGAAAGGAAAAAAATCAGTTTATTTGTGGTCCAAGCACATTGAGTAACATTTTTACAAAATGTATTCATAACGGACAGGAACATTATTCTAGATCGGATCGGCCCGAATTTTTTTTATTATTTGTCTTTTTCTTTGTTCGTTCGTTGCGTGTTTTAATTCTAAAAAAGCAACAACATACAACAAACAGCGAGTACCTATGTATATTATTGGTTACTTGCCGTACGATTTATTCCTATATCTAATTGTAAGTCTTTTATTTTGGCTATTTTTTCTTGTTTAATTTGCTGATTCGTCACCTTTGTATCCACTCTCAAGAAAGCTATCAGACCGAGAATACTGAAACCCATCAATAAAACAAGTTGGGAGTGTAACCCGATCATTGTGCTGTAGAAGAAACAAGCTGCAGAAGCGGCGAACTGAAAAAGAAATGAATAAAAAGTAAGTGGGTAAATTAGGAAATATTTAAATTGGAAAATAGAATATAAATACTGTGTTCAGTAAATGAAAAAAACTGTGGGAAAATTTGTGGCTAAAGTTTTTTTCAACCTTCTTTTTTGGGTAATGTAAGGGATATTCCAGAAAAAACCCTTATCTCCGATGCTTTCTCTTAAAAGTTTTTCGCACTTTTTACCAGTAATAGGTTTTCATAAGTTTTTTGATTTTTATGATATAAAAAGTTGCGAAACGATGGGAAAATGAAAACCCAACTCAGTTTTCCAAATGTGTTTTTTTATTATTATTTTTCATTTATTCACTTAATATTCACATTAAGGTACAACGCGCCAGTAATGTTATTAGTTTTGTAATTTTCTAATTCTTTGTCACAGCATTATAAAAGACGTCCCAGGTCTTGGCAACAAGAATGAAGCCTCAGTTTCAAACATACATCAGAAATTCACCGAAAAGATAACATATGCTGGCATAGCATTCTAAATGTCAAAATTGTGCCTGGTACTGTCTAAAAAATACTGCAGATGCCTTATCGCGATCAATTTTACATTCCGAGGATGTAAAATTAACGGTATCGGGTATAGGTAGCAGGATCAGAATTATCGACATCCAAAATGCTGTGTGAATATACCATTTTTTTTCCGGTGGGCATTCTCCTTTCATCGGAACTAAGTTAGTGGCGTGGCGTGCTTCGTGATAAATCGATCGATCCGCCATTTAAACCTATGGAATAGGATCGATAGACATGGTGTTCGCAACGAACACCTTGATAATCGATTCTTTGCCGTAGATTCAAATAAGGAAATATTGATAATCGATCATTCACGTCTGCCACTGAACTGACAAGAGACTCAAAATATCATAGCAACCCACCTCCACAAAACATGATACGGCGGACACAGCCTCCGATTCTTCGTGGTACATTTCGTACAATAGAGACGCAATGTATGTGTGAATGCATATGTTACCGACGCTTAGGAGGGCGCTGCTCATCATGGCCACGGGAACGCTGAAGTTAAAATTAAAAACAACAATTCAAAAATAAGAAGGGATCGCCTGCGCGAGGTAGACAATTTTATACAAATCGACGGTGTAAGTCGGCAATCACATAACTCGTTTGCGGTGTCTGAAATCTCCGCCTCTATAATATTTTTTTAAAGGAGAACAAATTGACATCACTTCTTGCAGTTTTTGCAGAATTTTCCTCACATAGAGAAGAAAAATCACGACAGTTTTAAAGAATTGTCGTTGAGTAGTTTTCCGTTTAAAAAATAAAGTATGATAGGAAGTCTGCGACGTTGCAAACCGAGTTATGTGATTGCCGACTTACACTGTTGATATGTGGCTGACATAGGAAAAGAGGACTTGGAGTGCGAAAATACAGAATTTGAGATAAGTACACCTCTTTTTAGAGACACCCTAAAATTTTACAAATTTGAGTTAAAATTCAAGTTTCCCGTCAAGAAATGCCATCTGGTACCGAGTTTCACAAAAATCGATCGCATAGAAGCATTATAGGAGCCGCACATTGTTGGATGAGTGGGACTCTACACAGGAGTAAACGATACCGGTCAGGTTACGTACGTTAAAGCGCCTTCATTTTCGTCTGATACTGTGCAATACTTCCGTGGTGGAATAGTTGCTCAGAGCGCCTTTTACGGTATCGCCTCGACTTAATGGCAGAACTTCACGACTACCACTCCGCCGTGCTAAGGAAGAACGCCGTAAATCCATCAAGATTTTCCCTCGTTTTTTGGAATTTTACACTTTATGACATAAAAACTGTTCAACCCACACACTTCAATTTTTCAAGTTGAGTTCTTGATAGTATTTGCGAAAGAATTATGTAAAAACATTGTCTCATGGTACGCAAGTTTTTTTGCTATGATACGTTGTTTCCACACTGGTAAAAATTGGCAAAAAAATGGTAAAATCTGTGTTCCAAAATACCATAGACCTACAACCGGCTGTAAGATTTCCAATAGCTTCTATAGCCGGCAACACAATTTCTTATAGCCTTTTATAACCAATGGCGATAAAGCAACAGCCTGGCGATAAAGTGTATGCTAAACGTTACTAATTACGGATGCTAGGACTTGGTGAGTTTTTGGACTACCGCTCTCTTTTTGGGCCGCAGTATCTTGAATTATTTTGCGAGGAAAGCTCCGCGTACTTTTGAAGGATGCCTGTCATTCCTAATATGTTGGAGCACCTGCAATTTTGTATGATACTGTGCAATACCTCTGGTGTGAAATAGTTGCTTCAGACGCCGTGGCACGCTGCGGCGCGGCGGGCGGGCAGAGAGCGCGAAACGCGCATTGGCGCCTACAAACCTAACAGGGATACTTCACGCATTGCGCAGTGCGTGACGTATCCCTGTTAGGTTTGAAGGCGCCAGTGCGTCGCCGCTCCGCTTTGTGTTAGGCTCTAATATTTAATCTCGCGGAGGCAGCGTTTTTCAACTCATGACTTTAAAATGTTTGCACACTCTGTATGGATTATTCTCATATTAATTGATGAAAAAAATATGTAAAGGAAAATATAATGTTTGTTTTGAAAATATTAAGGTGATTCCGTACAAACTTAAGGATTTACAAAGCACAAGCATTTCCACACAATTTCTTATAGCCTTTTACAGCCGATGGCGAAAAAGCAACAGCCAGGCGATAAAGTGTAAAGCCCGGTGATAGAAACTATAGCCCGGCTGTATAATTTTTTATCGCTTCGTGTAGCCCGGCCGTATGCTTTTTCACACTTTCTACAGCCAGCTATATGATTTTCTATCGCCCTCTTCAGTCGGCTATAAGAACTCCTATGGTATTTTGAAACGCAGCTCCTATCGCCAATTTTTACCAGGGCAAAAAATGTAAAATGGCGTTTACGGAGTTTTTGCGTTGCACATCAGCATTGGAATCAGACCCAGTTACAAAATTTCGAAGGTGAAAAATATATATTCATACCTCAATTCGCGACGTTGAGATTCTCACTGCCTATTTCTTGTGGGTGAACCAATATGAACTTTTTAAAATCTGCCGCGATTTTTGTGAAATGATTCGGGGGAATCCGATGGGATGGGGACTGCAATCGTTCAAAAGTTAGGCTCAAACCGGAAAGCCGAAATGAATACGTACTCCCATTTTCAACAATTTCTTTCGAGCACTACCCCTGGTTGATTTATTTGCATGGAATGACCCCATGGTGAAAAACATCTTCTTCTGAGCTGGGGACTACCCAGGAGACTTAAACGCAAGGATAAAAAAGTAAACCATTTCATGACGTGACAACTCCCTATCCGTTAAGTCCAGTTGGTCATGATAGCCATGGTGAAAAATCAAGGTTTTTGATAATAAAATAATCCAAATCCTTTCCAAGGATCCGTTCATAAAATCTTTCCAAGGAACCATTCACAAAATTAGGTGCTTTATTCAAGGTTTTCTTAAGTTCTGTTTTTATTTTACCTAATAGTGATAAGTTCCGCGGATTCCCTTTAATGATATGGGGTCCGGCCCTTCATGAAAGAAGACTCTATTCAAGGAACGACTATGAAAACTGCCGTGCTGAGGAAAAACGCAGGATGAACCTTCGAGAGTTGCCAAATTTCCCTTGATAAAACATGTATTAGTGACGACACTCATGCATATTTTTCCTTGAAATTTTCAGATATTTTAGATTAAATTACGTACAAAACTGTCTAAAGATTTTGGAAAAAAATATTCAAAATTTTACCAGTAAATTCGGTTTTTAGTGAAGGAAATCTGGCAGCGTCTAAAGGCTCATACGGCGTTTTTCCTTAGCACGGCAGAATACGGCCCTAAAGTTTGGTAATTTTAAATGGCATCTGCATCAGTATATCATTTATTTGGAGGCAAGAAGAAACATCCACGGACATTTTTCATAGCAGAAAACGTCGCAATGATATTTTGACGAGAAAAATGAGACCATCTCAGAAACTTTAAAGTATCACATCATGGCGCATTTGGAAAATATCTCAAGAAAACTAAATGTTAAGACTAGGTAGAAAAAGTCTGTGTCGAATAGAGATCATGCAGTCCCTTTAGCAATCATCTAATCAAAAAATTTCTAGTTTTAGTCTTACCTATTCAAGTAGAAGCCCATGTCGAGGTTATCTCCAAACGCCGATTGGTCAGGTAGATTAAGAAGAGAGAGTATATAAGATATGTCTTGACAAACGGTTCCAATTAGCATGTTGATGCTTTTTTCCCATCTGCATGGCATAAATTTGAAAAATACTTGTGGAAAGACGCCTGGAAATAAATGAACAAACAAGACTTGCAATCATACGGTACACTGAAAGTAATTTGTAATTGTGAAATTATCATGCATTCATTATGGATGTACTCAGTTTTATGTTTTTCGTATAATTTGTTCCCCTTATGTGAGTGGATTTTTTCGAGGAATCTCCACAATGTGGCTCTCGGATCGAAATCACTATCTATGGCTCCATAGAAAGCACTATAAATAGGTGATCTCTTAGATAGGCGCTCTATAGTAGGCGCTATGCGTTTCACGCTGACCGCACCGTTTTTGACGTAATGCGTGAAGTATTCATGCAGTCTTGTAGGCGCTGATATGTGTTACATGTCAACCGCCGCACCAAGGGCTTCTCCTTTTCATCTCAAGTCCTCGTCATTATTGCTCTATGCGCCACGTTGCCCCATGCCAAATGGCGTGTTTGGTTTCTCTCTTAACACGACTAATTAAAAGTGCTGTCTCTTGTATCACCGGAAGACGACAAAATTAGAAATTAATATACACTCAGGCAATGAGAGATTTTTTCACCTTTTCTCGTTTGTATTTTTTGTTCTTGATCCGATTTTATATTATACCTAAATTTAAAAAAATTGCAAAATTTGCCGCCATGGGCCATGGGATGCGGCCCATGTGGTCAGTCCCTTAATCTGGCCCGGATGAAGTTGGCTCAAAGTGGCAATTATTATAATTAAAACTACAGATTATTTTTATTTTCATTATTATTTCGAACAGTGGTAATTTTATTGTTGTGCCATGCAAAAGTTTTCTCCATGTTTGTTAGCAGTACTGAGCAGAATAAGAAAAGATAAATCATTGATAGTTTACGAACCAAGGATAGTCCCAACTCCGCTGTAGACAGCTGCCAGAGGGACAAGTTCTTTGGCTTCTTGCTCTAAACTTAAAGTAAATCCAACACTTGAGTTGTAAATTGTCTCAGAAAAGGCTACCTGAAATCCTGAAAAACATTTAATCGAAAAAAGGTTAAAGTTTATATCTTTATAATAAGAGCCATGAATTCGCAAAGAATGCATAAGAGGCTTAAAATTATTCAAAGAACAATGTGTAAAACAAAAGTATATATTGAAATTTTTCAAAAATGAATACGAATATATTCAAAAGGACTATGTCAGGTTCATCAATATCATTGTTTTTCCAAAGCAATCAAGGGCATTTCAGCACAAGGACAAAAAAGTAAACCGTATCCTGAAATTCTTCGGGTCCAATTAACGTCATACTTTCCAGTGTAAGGAGTCGGTAATTACTTTTCAGTTCTGTTGTCAGAAAGAACATTTACCAGATGCCCGGGGGTACGGTACAGTTAGTCGTTCTGCCTACAAAAGGACAATATTGTATTTAGTAAATGGGTGGTTTTTATACGAGGATTAAAAATAAACAAGTGGTAGGGAATATAACAAAATAATATGAACTATGCAAAACGATAATCCGGGTATCGGAACTTGACTGTTTTGAAAACGCCTTCAAATGGGGCGTGATACCTTATGCATTCCGGAGAGTTCAAATAGTTGTATCATTGCGCCGTAAGAATGTGACGGAAGATTAAAATGGAAATAGCCTCCATGCACGCTGGGCTTGTCGATTTTCGTTCACATTCTTGCAGTCATCAATGCATAGCTTAAGTGCGCTTCAGCTAGAAATGTATTTACCAAATGGGTGGTTTTTATACGAGGATTAAGAATAAGGAAGTGGATGGAAATGAAAACAAAATAACATGAACTATGCAAAACGATAAACGGGGTATCGGAACTTGGCTGTTTTGAAAACTCCTTCAAATGCGGCGTGATACCTTTTGCATTCCGGAGAGTTCATATAGTTGTATCATTGCGCCGCGCCGTAAGAATGTGACGGAAGATTAAAATGGAAATAGTCTCCATGCACGCTGGGCTCGTCGATTTTCGTTCATAGCTTAAGTTACTTAAGTTAAGTAACTTAAGCCCCATCTTGTTATATACCATTGAAAAGAACATTAAAAATTAAGAATTTTGGCGCAAACCGCAAATCAATATCTTAATTTTTGACCGAGTCAAAATAGGACAAAGGTCAAATTTGACCTAATTTCACCCTGCAAATTTTAAGACTAGCTATACTTGAAATCGTTGATATCTCAATTTTTCCAGAAACTGCACTGATGCACCCTTGATCCTTGTGCTTCAAGCCCCTCAAACGAGTTATCATGATATATTGCGGACAAACCTGTGTAAATGAAAACAAGAACCAAAATCACCATGTCCTTGTTGGTGAATACTTTCCAAGCCTTAAACAGCGCGTCGACGCCTTTGTTAGTCTCAAGCAGGTGCTCTCTTTTGCTTTTTTCGAATTTCGTCACGGGGGGGAGGAAAAGGAACATGATCACAGAGAGCGCTCCGATCGAGTTGAGACAGTTCAGAATCGACATTCTCGTTTCCGAATGTATTGTTGTTATCCCATTCAACTGCAGGAATGCGAGACTGTTGCCCACTGGTGTCCTGGAAATCACACCGAATTCGTTTGCATTTCAGTTCCAGGAAATATAACTACAAAGAAACGCAACGAATTTATGAAATTTTCAATTCGGGTGAGAGAATAGGGTCTAGATTTCGGTATCTCCTCGTGGCTATTTCTCTGTAACAAGGATGGAAATTCATGGGGAACCAAGAACCCGGAGCCCATACCGCCGTGCTAAGGAAGAACGCCGTATGAACATCCGAGAGTTGCAAAATTTCGTCTCAGAAAATAGGCATTTTTGAAGAAAGTTCTGAATATTTTTCCTTGAAATTTTCAGGAATTTTAGGTGAAATTGCCAACAAAATTATCTGAAAAATGGAGGAAAAATATTTACAAATTTTCCCGGAAATTCGTGAATAACCAACGGAAATGTGGCAACGCCTGCAGGTTCATACGGCGTTTTTCCTTAGCACGGCAGCATAGAACCGAAGTTTTGATGAAGCCACGCGGAGAGAAAAACATTGGTATATACAGTGCTTGGTATTTGGCAATACTTTGATGAGACATTTGTCTCATGCACTGTATTGCAACATTTTCTTTCTTCTTTCTCTCCTCTTCTTCCCTATATCTCTCTTCTAATTTTCTTTCTACTCTTTTTCGGGCGAACGAGGACACACCCCTGGAACAGCCTATGCATGTCGAAATGTATGTTGTAAGTCTGATATCTTATTGAAGTTATAAAAATACGCGACGCCGGTTCGCTTCTTGAAATTATTGTGCCCTGGCCGAAGAATAAAGAAAGATGATGAGAATATCCTCGAGTAAACTAATAAACAAATGTGCAGAAAAAGGGGGAAAATAACTTACGCAATGTGATAAAGAAAGTAAAATATTAGTGAATCTCTATTGATTGTTTTAGAGGACGAATTTTCTATTAAATAGGCTCCTTGGCCTGTCCATAACAAGCTATGAGAAATTCCCGTCAAAGCACAAATGACATAAAATGCAGCAGCGCTCTCCAGGTAAAATGACAGGCCGTAAATGCTGAAACAAATACATAAGATTTGAAACAAATTGCTTCCACGAAGATTATGTGTTAAAGTTTACCTAAGCGTCTGAGAACTGAGAAGCATTATTTTTCGAGGGTCCTATTTGAGATGGTCCACATCCTCAAGGATTGGGATGAAGTTTGTAATTACCGCGCTGATGTAGATTGTAGATGGACGTAGTAATATTTATCACCAGTTCTTCTTTTCGGACCTAGAAGGAGTTGCAACGCAGTAATCTCTGTTTTGATGTGCTTTGTTTTCAATGCACTCGTTCGTGAGTACGTTTATTTTGGTTGCATTATCAGTCTCACAATAACAGCGGAGAGGCTGTAATTGTGAGTGTTTATTCAGTATAATTTCGTGTTCCTCTTTTCTTTCTTTTTTGGTATCTCCGGTTGTAAATTCAGGTATGAGAACTGCGAAACGTTCCGGTTTTAAATTTTAAGTTTATTTTATGGCCTAGTCCTATTTTAAGATGTTGATTTTGTATAAGAGTAAAGCAACATTGGTAGCTGGAACTCTTCAATAACTTTTAATAATTAGTTAAATGTTCGGCCAAAAGTCGGCTAATACAGCCGGGGGAAGATGCTGAATCTTAGATGCAACTATTCGCGCTTATAATGGTAAACCGTATTGCATGTATTACAAATTGAAGGCGCTCTGCGAATTCCAACACCCGCAATTGTGTAAGCGGAACGTGACTTGACACCGCAAATCTTTAAAATATCTTCCTCATAAAAATACATAATGATAGAAACTCTGTTGCAGGTACCGACTGAATGATGATTCGTACACAGAAAAAAAAATTAAGTTGATTCAACATTCTGGATGTAAAAAAAGTGTGCGAGAACTCACAAAATGCTAAATTACCCTCTGTAGCAGTTTGTTTTACATCTTGACATTGCTAAAATTACTGCTGTAGGAATTAATTCAGCATTTTGTAAGTTCTCGCACACTTTTTTTACATCCACAATGTTAAATCAACTCCTTTTTTTTCAGTGTATTTTTTTTTTTTTTTCAGATAAAAATATTTATTATCCTCATCCCAAAGAGAGAGGATGCCAAAGAAAGAGCGAGGGCTTACATATATACGTATTCTCATGCCGTGTTTGAATTATTATCTACACACCCACTGCATAGAACACAATCATATTTTATCATCATTAATACATCTAATGAAATGGAAAAGAATCTTACACGCATGTCTCTCAAAAGTTACCCTTATCACCTCCTTATCTTACCAATCTGATGAGATTATATGATTGAGTCTTCACGTTTTTAACCGTGTCAACTATTTTTTGGGTATTAGGTTCGATGACATTCTTCGATAACCGATATATTTTTTTAGAGGAAATGAGGTTAGTGTATATGGGCGGTGAACGATCTTATAACTCCAAATCTCAATTGAAATAAAAAAAAACTTAGATGGTAAACCTCGTTGGACGTGCATTCTCAAAGATCGTCATCAAATTGATCCTCTCATATTTTTTCTGGAAATGACCACGATAATTTTGACGAGAATATACTTATCTAGTAATCTGAGAGTATGTATCAAAAATTAAGGGCCTGGAGCCGAAAATTTCACCTGACAGGAACTAGGAGGTTTGAGGAAGAAAAAGAAAATATTAATCTGACGATAGATTTTGAAAGGATTTACCAGTACCCCTCAAAAGTAACTTACATTTTTAAAAATAGCCACAGTCCAGAGTGCCACAACTGTTAAAAAGTTTATATCACTAAATTTGTTTAAAAAAGGATGGAAGATCCTTAAGAAAAAATTTTTATCCGTCTTTTCTTTACAAAAAAATGATAATAAAACTCCATTGTCGGTAAAAAAAAAACCTTAACTGCTACTTTTAAATCTATGCAAATATATCGACGGTGAAACTACCAAAACATGTATCTCGTTTGCGGTGTTTAAAAATCTACGCTCGCATTTTATTTTTTTGAAGTAGACCAAATCAATATCATTCCTTGAAATTTTCACAGAATTTTCTCCGCACGAAGAGGAAAAATCACAGAAATTTTCAAGACTGGACGTTGAGTAGCTTTTCATTTAAAAAATAAAGTATGACAGGAGGTCTGCGACGTCGCAAACCGAGATACGTGGTTTGGTAGTTTCACCGTCGATATATAGAATGGAGCATATAACCTGGATATTTTTGATCAAATACTCCAGATTTTTAGATCACCATGAAGAAAATAAACTTGCTGATTTTACAAATTAACATATCACTCTTCCAGAATATAGTTGTTAATCCGATGACACACTTACAGATCTCACTCAGTCTCTAAAATCTGAAGTGAGAAAAGGGGCATTTCAAGTTTGTGCCGTCTCAAGTTAAAACTGAGATTATACATTTTCCTGTAAAACAAGAAAGTAAATAAATATGTGGGTAAATTTTCAAATGTTGCATTGTGAAACTTACAAATCTCCAATGGCTCCAATAATTAAAGCATTCTTGATGCCAATGTAAGTCATCACTATCGGTGTTAGCCAAATGCTGGCGGCAAGGAACACGTAGTTAATGGCGAGACCTACGTATCCATCGCCGGCAAATACTTCGTTTTCATCATAAATACTTGTAGTCAGTATTTTCTGTAAACCAATAATTACAATTAGTAGTAGGTAAAGCCATGTCAAATTGAAGGATGAAATATTGAGCATTGTGAATGGTATTGGAAAGAAAAGTTTCCCTTGCATTTCTTCGTAAGTGCTCTTATATCAATTATACCAAAAGTCTGAGTCAGTCACTCGTAAGATGTATAAGGTGTAAGGTCTGTGAAATTCCAAAACCACGTATCTCGGTTTGATCGAAAGATCGCTAACCACTCAACGTCAATTCTTCATAACTCCCATGATTTTTCTTCTAGGCACGAAGGAATGTTGGAAAAATTTCAAAATTCAAGATACTGATTTTTTCTTCCTTAAAAAATGAAAACGAGCGAATAATCTGACATCCGAGCAGAAGACGATGATATCAGTACTAACATCTTGATCCCATTTGGTACTCTATCGACATCCGTGTTGAATATACGAATTGGACGCATTTCTGTCAAACGGAACTATGTGCATTATGACGTGAGCCCTTGCATGCATGCATTCTTATGGGTCTCAGGGCTCATGTCTTAATGCACATAGTTCCGTTTGATAGAAATACGTCCAATTATTATACGAATATCCGAATGTTGTGTACGAATAGTTGTATCAGTGCGTTACTTTCACATTATTTGAATGCGTTGCTAATGTTGACTGAGATATTAGCATGGAAAGTCCCGGCGTCTTTCACTTAAACCATTTAAGGTTCATTTTTCACTTACCTGTAAGTTCACGATGGTAGAGTTTGACGCCATCGCAACAAAAAAGCATAATCCAAGGTAGACGATATTAGCCAAATTTTTATCCCAAGTAATAAATGGACAATGGAAAGCCATTATGTATGTACAATTTTAAACGTTGCTGTAGAAATTTAATTAGACAATATTAAAGTCACCTACTCACAACCACACTGAGCACTAAATTCAAGCTAAAAATCTCAGGCATGAAACTCTGTTTCACGACGCATCGACCGCAATGCAAATAGAATCGAATGACCGCACAATTCTCAAATTCTTCAACCAAACTACTTTAAAAAAAAAATAACACTAAACCATGCGGCTTGATAAAAGCAATGAATAGTACGACAGCTTTAAGTTCTATTTTTCTATAAAGTAGTCGATAATTCACCGTAAAAAAATTATAGACAAATAGCGTTATTTATGCATGTCCGGTAATGCTATTCGGGCAAATGAACGAAGATTACAGGCGGAGTTCTTGCAAGTAGTGCAGAGGGTAACTTCTTTAGAGAAATTCACACGTGGTATCAAAAACTTAATGTATACCTGAAATGAAATGAACATTAAGTGCTCTAATTTTCGGCCTATCATATTCAGGATAAGAATCGCTCACGTGGAATATGCCTGCCGTGTTACGAAAAAGACCCGATTTTAGGACGAGCCTCGGGACATATAGGTGCTTGTGGTAACCATGCAGTGGCGTGGCGTGCTCTGCGATATATCGATTGGTATGCTTTAAAACCTATGGAAAAGGATCGACAATTAGGGTGTTCGCAGCGAACACCTTCGTAATCGATTCTTTACCTTAGGTTTAAATGGCAGAACAATCGATTTATCGCAAAGCACGCCACGCTACTGTAACCATGGCTCATACAGAAATGCACTTACGTCTTTTTTCTTTCACACGGCAGATGGAGTGGAAGAAGTCGCTCTTTTTACGAGCCCCCCCTTTTTTTTTTTTTTTTTTTTTTTTTTTTTTTTTATGAAATCTGATTTCTTCTTATCAGTTTGTTTGAACCACCCAACAGTTTTGAAACACATTTCTTTCCAACTGATAACATCCAATTGATAACAAGGCGGGCGTGATTGACTCCAAAAGGACATCATCAAGCTAGTGGGCATGTAATTCTCCCGAGCATCGCGCAGTCTAAACTCTTTCAATCTCCACTCGGGCCGTGTTCCCTCAAAATTTAAAGTGAATGTGACATTTTTAACGATTCCTTCTCTAATCCTCATATCTTCACTTTGAATCATACCGTCGAAAGTGCCTGAAAAATTAGTGCGAGAACACGCTACAGGCTGCGAACTGATGAAGGGTATCTTGGATGAAGAGGCTCCGTATATTTTACAAAACGAAACGTGGGAGTATCCAGGTGAAAAATCATCATCATTACGTTCAAATGATCATTAACGGCTTAAAAAGATTTCCCATGATCATCTGGAAAGTGTTGTTTGATTGTTCAGGTTGATTTTGTAGTTAGGGCTAGAGGGCGCAGAAGGTAAGAAAGAGGCTCGACTCAATGATAAGAATTTGAAATACATGCAGGCGCTCGCAGCACGCTCGCTGCCGGTGTATTCAACTACTAATTGTTTTCCCGTGACTGGCGGCGGGTATGTTGCTGCCAGACCATCCCCAGATAGGCAATTTATCATACATCATCCGCCCGCAACTCCTGCTTAGGCAATAGCAGGCAGTATTATGATACCCACTCGCTGCGCGCACCCAATTTTTTGCTCAGTAGCGTTGCCTGCTTTGTGACAAATGGATTTATGTGTCATTTAAACCTACACTCAAAAAAAGGTATGACTCTGAGACCCATAAAAAATGGCTCGGAGATCCATAATATCTAACCAAAGTGGCTTACTGTCTACGGTATGGCTTTCTGAGCCATACTTAATTGGTCTTGAACCTATAATCATGGCTCCATGATCCATAACTCGGCCGCCAGCAAGTCATGGCTCCATGATCCATAACTCGGCCGGCAAGTTACTCTTCCCATACTTGTTTTTTGAGTGTATGATGAAGGATCGCTAAGTAGGGTGTTTGCAACAAACATCTTAATAATCGATTCTTTACCATAGCTTCGAAATATCGATAATCGATTATCCGTGCCTCGCTAGTGTTCTTACTCACAGCAAACTTATGTTTCAGGTTTCCCCTATCCAGTCGAGCCTCTAACCTTCTGTGAGACTGACAATACAACCAAAATAAACGGAAAAGTGGACAAGTGCACTGAAAACAAAGAACATCAAGACAGAGGTTACTCGCGTGTTTCAACTTCTTGAAGGTCCGAAAGGAAAAACTAGTGATAAATTCTATTAGGCCCATCTACAACAGCCTGGTAAATACAAACTTCATTCGAATTCTTGATGATGTGGATCAGCTCAAATAGAACCCTCGGAAAATATTGCTTCTCAGAGCTAAAACTTCAGCTCCATTGAAGTCAAACCAATGATCTTTAGAGTCCTAATGCGGTGGTGTAATGCCGTTTTCTTCGCTTTCTTATACCGATGTGAAAATAATATTTTTTCAAGGTTTGTTTTTTCTGCCCGATGTATCCCTGGTAAAAATGCGTGGTGCTTAGATCAGTAGCAATCGCCTTTCGAACAGACCTTAACACTGATGTCAGTACTTTCTGGCTCTGAACTGATAGGTCAGTTTTAGGTCTATTCCAATGGCACCAATATACTTGTGAGCCTGGATTGATGTTTGGTTGAAGTAGTTACATTGCTGGGGCTGGAATGGATGGAGCGGTGTGAAACATGTGGCGAACATTGTCTGCAACACGCCTAGCGCGTCTTTTTTCATAGCGTTTCCATAGAAAATATAGTCCTGCAAGGATGATGAGGCTTATAACGCCGAATTGCAAATGATCATATATCGAAGAGGAAAACGATGGATTTTACCCCGTGTTTATTATTGCTATTTTTTCGTCTGGCCCTATTATGCCCATTTCTGATATCTCTACAACAATAGCTGAACTGTCCGTAAGGTTGATTTGCGTAGTTGGTTGTGATGGGGCTTCCGAAAACGCAGCACAGGCAGGACTGAGGGGGTGGTCCCAACACCACAGGGTAGTGAACCAACTTCTATCCAGTTTGTGGCTTACTGGGTGAGACTTCAGGACCACTGGAAAAATTTCGGGTTGTGGCGGATGACGTATTAGAAAACCCGCAAAGTGTCGAGGAAGAAGGAACAGAATGAAACTGGTGTACGCGGGCTTCGTTTATTTCGTTGTCAGAACGCGCGGAGATATGGTTTTCGTACACACCATTTGGTTGCTTTCATTTTTTGCTTTTTATTTAGACTTAAGGAAACTAAGAAGTGAGTACAACAGAAAACTCATGTTTATTAAAAATTTCAGTTACATTTTTTGACAAAAAAGGCAAATGTGGGAGCGAAATCAATTTTACCCAGTCAATTCTCCTTTCAGGCTTCACATAGGCTTCATGTCCTTTAATTTCTTTCTTGCACATTGCTCTTTAAAATGCTCTGTCAATGAGGGGGAAAATTTTTCAACTAAAAATTTTTTACTCATGTGGATCGTCTCAGGTAAAAATTGATAATCTGAAAGTCGGACAATTCGCTGCGCCAGATTTGAAACAAACTTTTTCTTATAAGCATCTGGTTGCACGATTTCACGGTTGTTGCGGTGTAGCAACGTAGTAAAATGTAAATATGGTACCAAAAGCTGATTCCATCGTGCCGGTACCGTAACTATTTGTCCGTTAAAAAGTTGTTCATAAAACTCAATCGTCGCAGAAAAAACCCTAACTGTTAATTCTAGATATGCAAATATAGAATGGAGCGTATAACCTGGAGATTATTAATCAAGTATTCCCAATGTTGTATAAGTATACTCATGAACCCCCAATGGCTCGAATGATGAGAGCTTTTTGTATCCCTACGTAAACCATGATCAAAGGTGTTAACCAAATACTGTCGGCGAGAAACACGTAGCTAATTGCGAGCGCTACGTTATCATAACCACCAATGTCTTCGTGTTCAGCCGTCAGTACTTCCTGTATGGCAATTCTTACATGTAATAGTAGGTAAAGTGTGGTCAAATTGAAAAATGAAAAATTGTGCTTTGTAAATGGTATTGAAAATGAATGTTTCCCACGCATCATTTCTTACAAAGTGTCCTCGCAAATCCCCAATGGCTCCAATGATTAGAGCATTTTTTATCCCAACGTAGTTATAAAAAATAGAGTTAACACCTTGTAGTCCTCTATATAATCAATAAAGGAAAAAAAAGAAGAAGAAAAAAAAGGTAAAGCGTGGTTAAATTGAAAAATGAAAAATTGTGTCATGTAAATGGTATTGAAAATTAAAGTTTCCCGCGCATCTCTTCTTACGAAGTATACTCACAAATCCCCAATGGCTCCAATGATTAGGGCATTTTCTATCCCTTTGTAAGTCATTACTATGGCTGTCAACCAAATACTGCCGAAGAGAAACGCGTAGTTAATGGCGAGACCTACGTTATCATAACCACCAAAGTCTTCGTGTTCAGCCGTCAGTACTTCCTGCGTGGCAATACTTACAAGTAGTAGTAGGTTAAGCGTGGTCAAATTGAAAAATGAAAAATAGTGTTTTGTGAATGGTATTGAAAATTAAAGTTTTCCGCGCATCTCTTAATACGGAGTATACTCACAAATCCCCAATGGCTCCAATGATTAGAGCATTTTTTATCCCAATAAGTCATCATTGTGACTGTCAACCAAATACTGCCGAAGAGAAACGCGTAGTTGATGGCGAGACCTACGTATCCATCGCCGGCAAAGTCCTCGTTGTCATCGTACATACTTGCAGTCAGTATTTTCTGTAAGGCATTTACTGAGGGGTTTGGAGGACATGGCTCATAAGTGCATGTTATTGCTATTTCGAGAAATACGTGTTCGAAGTTTTGAAATTGTACGGCGATCCTTATGATGGAAAGAGAGTTCAAAATGACTTTTTGATACTTCAAAATTGGACTTTGGGTGCAATTTTTTTTTTTACATAATATGCATTTTGACTAGTTTTACTTGAAATCATTAATATCATTATATTTTCAAAAACTGCACTTATACGCCCTGTCCTCCTAGCCGCTCAATTATAATTCGTAGTAGTCATGTCAAATTGAATGATGGAAAATTGTGTTTTGTAAACGGTACCTATTGAAAATTAAAGTTTCCCACGTATCTCTAAGAAATAGTCTTTATTTCAAGTATCCCAATATTCTAAGTCAATTATTAATTAGATGTGTAAGGTGTATGGTCTGTAAAACTCCCAAACCACGTATGTCGGTTTGCAACGTTGCAAATTTCCTTTCATACTTCAGAGCTATAATTAATTGTAAGATCGAATATTACTCAACGCCAATGGGCCTGTTGCAAAATTTTGCTAGAGCAAAAATAAGAGTTGTTTCTTGTAGATAATGCCTCAAAAATCACGATGAGCGCATCGGCAAAGTCTGAAATGCACTCATAACTTCACAATCTGCGTTAGAAAGTTGCGTTTTTTTAAGCTTCCCGCTTCAAAAACGATACTACGGCACAGGTGAACATTTTGTTAGAGGAGTCGCTCCATCGTCGGCGATATTCATCATGGCCGACGCTTGCGCGCAGTTCCGCGCGTAATTCGAGGAGAGTTCAAGGTCAATCAATTCGGGCGTGGAAAATATGTACGTTAACACGCCGATTGTTATCTGGTCTAATCCAGTTCAGGTGTTATCTCATCCCATCACACGTGTTTTGGCGGATTGGCGTCGGCCATGATGAGTATTGCCGACGATGGAACGACTCCTCTTACAAAATGTTCACCTGTGCCGTAGTATCGTTTTTGAAGCGGGAAGCTCAAAAAACCCCAAATTTCTTACGCAGACTGTGAAGTTATGAGTGCATTTCAGACTTTGCCGATGCGCTCATCGTGATTTTTGAGGCATCATCTATAAGAAACAACTCTTATTTTTGCTCTAGCAAAAGTTTGCAACAGACCCATTGGACTAAATTTTGCAATTAGGAATTATAACTTCCGGCCCGGTTTAAAAATAACGTATGTGCCGTTATTTCCCCTATGCACATAAGTGTTATTTCAGATGAGCCAGAATTTATTGCTCCAAATTAAAAATGCAGTCCAATAACTCCCGTGGTTTTTTTCCTATGCGCGAAGGTATGTCGAAAACATTTCATGAATCCAGATGTTGATTTTTCCTTCTTAAAAAAGTGAAAAAGGGACAAAGATTTTAAAACACCGTCAACAATTGTTCGATCAGTGGCGGCTCGGAATGGGACCTTTGACCCAAGAACATCCCCCAAGTTTCAAATCTTTAGCTCAATTAGGTAAAAAGTTAGAGGGGGTGGAGGGAACTTTTGGATCACCCTGTATATTAGCGCCTACAAGACCACATGAATACTTCACGCATTGCGTTAAAAGCAGTGCGCTCAGCAGCGGCCGGCGTGAAACGCGTAACGCCTACAAGACTGCAGGAATACTTCACGCATTGCGCCAAACACAGTGCGGTCAGCGCGGCGCGGCGGCGGAATAAAAATTATTAAACTACATTTAGGTTTGTTCTTCCATAATTTGGTCGTTCATTTCTCATAAATGAAAGGCCTTGTCCACACAGAGATAGGTTTACGGAATTTAACTTTCGCGCAAAGTTCCGTGAGGTTTTATTAGTAGTATTGACAGGGCTTTCGCAAAAAATATGTCCAACATTGAGTTCACGCGTCCACGTGAGTGGAATTGCATCCACAAGATTTTGAGAGATTTGTTTTCCCCTTGTTGTTTTAATTTATTTTCCGAATAATTAAAAACTATTTGAGGGACGCCATGAAGCAAGACCGTCTCAGCAATTCGGCGATACTCGCAACAGAAAAAATGCTGCTTGATCTGGAAGCGTGCGTGGAATCATTCGCAAGAAAGAAAGAACAGGCGAGTAAATCTCTTTCGAAACTATCGAGGTATGCTGAGAAAATTCTTACTTTTTTGACTGTCTATATTGGCTTCTCTCTCTCTCCCTCTATTTCTCTTTTTCTTTCTGAGAGAACCTTTTCAAGGCTAATTTTTTTTGAACCCTCGCTTTAAGTCACAAATTTTACCAATATTTTCGGCGATTTCGCTCTCAACCTCTGAAAGTGAAATGAGTTTGCTGCAAACTTTGTTCTAAACGTTAATTATTCGAGGGAGTATGTTAGTCAAAGTTCTAGCGATAATGTTGCGATTTTCATGCGATAATCTAATGGCATTAACTAGCAAAAATAGCTTAAAATTGCATTTTAGATGGGCTAAATTTTCAAAATTTTCCGGGGGAGGCCCCTCCCCTGCACTCACGAATCATAAGTCCACGCGCCGCAACACTGTGCTTGATTATCCTAAGGTACGTGGTCTGGTAGTTTCACTATCGATTTGCATTTAGGTAAATGCCTAATAACTGAGGAGCTTGGAAGAAAAGGCGCATAAGTGCAGTTTTTGAAAAAATTGAGATATCAACGATTTCAAGTATGGCTAGTCCTTGAATATATTTAGTGCAAAATTTACTCGTAAATTTCAATTTTTAAGCGTGAAAAAGTCACTATGAACTTTCTTTCCACCGTAAGGATCATTGTAATTTTGCAAATTCAAACACGTATTTCTCGAGATAGCAAAAACTGCCCTTATGCGTCTTGTCCTCCAAGCCCTTCAACTGTAAACTTGATTGAAAAAAATCAGAATCTTACGTGACGTCTCATCAGTTCTTGATCAGAGTAATCGTAATACTACGATTTATAGTAATCGGCGGAGAGAACCCGTCAAAAAAGTGCCCTTTATTAAGGAATACGGAGATTTCAAATACATCTCGAGCGAAATGTGAAATTTCTTGATGATTCTCGTTTTGATCATCACTTTGAAACATCATCCCGTTAAAAGGGAACTTCCTACAGAAGCATATTTTCGTTGATGATCGGTCGAACCAAAATGGGTGGATCAAGCTGTTTCGTATTTGGTTTTGACGAAAGGGAAACCCTTTGAAAAGGAGAAACCCCTCGGCGCGACGCAGTGGTCGGCATGTAACATACATATATTAGCGCCTACAAGACCACATGAATACCTCACGCATTGCGTTAAAAGCAGTGCGCTCAGCAGCGGTCGGCGTGAAACGCATAGCGCCTACAAGACTGTAGGAATACTTCACACATTGCGCCAAACACAGTGCGGTCAGCGCGGCGCGGCGGCGGAATAAAAATTATTAAACCACATTTATGTTTGTTCTTCCATAATTTTGTCGTTCATTTTCTGTAAATGGAAGGCCTTGTCCACACAGAGATAGGTTTACGGAATTTAACTTTCGCGCAAAGTTCCGTCAACTTTTGCTAGGAGTTGACATTGCTATTGCGAAAAATGTTTCCAACACGAGTACACGAGTCTTATGCACCCCTCCCCCTCCGGCACGTTCACTTGATGGTTTTTATTGATGTTTTAAGACGGATGAGAAAGGGCCGGAAAAATACAGGCGGCCCATGGGCGGAAAGTAGGTAAATCCAGTCCTGCCGACCAGCATTAATTTCGAAAGTCTAACCTCAAATTTTTACCAATCCGATTATGATCTCGCCGCCATTATCGCGGCATTTTGGCTAGACTGATCAACAACAAAAATACGCTTGAGACTGCAAGTAATTGTGATGGGTATCACGGATGAAGAAGCTTCGTATTTTACGAAAAAAAAAACGTGAATATATCTCGGTAAAAAACATCATCATTACGTTAAAATGATCATCTGGGACTTAACAAGATTTCCAATGATCATCACGACAGTGTTGTCTGATTGTATTTCTTTAAGTGGTATTCACATGTCAGAATTACCGAGTTTCCCGATGAAGAAATTGTGACGGGTCGTATCCATTTCCGGCAACACCGCATTTTTGATCATTGATGATCTTTTAGCTCCTATAGACGACAGAGGGAAAATGAACAAGGCACTCTTCAAAGTATGTTTTTATTGATTAAGCAAATATCAACTCACCATATATCACAACAAATTCATGACAGTTATGAAGTCATTATTTTTTAACTAAACAATAAAGGTGGTATGAACTTGTTAGAATTACATTCCTGAGAGAAAAATGACTTTTTACCTCTATTAACAAGTCTCAATGGAGCATTTTCTTAGGAGAGAGCGTTGAATGCGCAATCTGAATACTGAAATGTTAGTATCACAAAAGACATTGTACCCTCCCACCGTGCTGAAATTTGTTTGCACTTTGCAGCAGTGAAAAGTTTCATGAGAATAAACTAGTGAAGCTCGAAGCTGAACTCAAAGAAAGTAGTGAGCGGTAGCCAGATTTTTACTTTGATTTTCATTGAGACATTTCTAAACCGTGGAATAACAAAGAAACTTGCTGGTGCCTGCATACGTTGCACAATGCACACATTCTCTTCTTGATCATGACAGTGCCATTTTCTGTAAATATATTGTACCAGATGCATCGATCGATCGATCATAATTACTTTCATTAAAGTACCTACATAAATTTAGACCGGTGGGGGTGATCAGTGCCGGATTTAGGGGGAGGGAGACGGGGTAATCACCCTAGGGCCCTCACTATGAGATAATTTGAATTTTTGGACTACAGAGAGAACTTTACAAGGGTTGCGCACATAAATAAGTACTAATTTTTCTTTTTTAATTTAATTTTCAAGTTCTAAGGAAGAACTCAGGCTAGAATCATTCACCGCAAGACACCCAAAATCAAAAAAATTCACGTTAGGGGAGCCCTTAAAATGTATCCACAATCGATTACAATTTTAAAAAAGCAACAAATGGACAAAAATTTACTCACTACGGGTTTCAATACCTTGGGCGTCATTCTTAGCCACAACTGAGGATGGCGCCAAATGTGTCTCAAGTTTTACGTATAGTGGAAGTGAGAAAATTTTCGTCGAATTTTTTATTTTCTAAGATTTTTATCGTTGACTTGCGCTCACCATTCACGTGTACTAAGCTCTAAAATTGAGTCTATTTCCAAAAACTTCCGTTAGAGAACCCTCCAAGCCCCCTTAGAGGAGGCATTCCGTGTCTCTTTACTTCTAGGTGGGTGGAGCCAGGATAAGTGGATTGCATTTTGCAAACAGGAACCAAAAGCATTCCAATGTCGCTTAGATTGTGCAACTTTTTTTACCTTGAAAATATAAATTGATCATCTAAACAAGTATTATCTTCACTCCTAACAAACTATAAATTCAAGACGAAATTTACCCTTGCACATCAAATGTTTTGCACGATTTCAGTAGTTTCATTGTAAAGAATGTAAATATTGCCTAATCTTAGCAACGTTGAAATGCTCTTGGTCCCTTTTTGCAAAATGCAATCCAGGTATCATTTCCCAATGAAGGGCGGGCTCCTCTAGAAAGCAATTTGACCCTTTGTTGCATGAGTTGGACGTAGTTCTACCAAAGAGACCTATGTGGAAGTGAGAAATATGGGGTGTGCTCGTTAGTCTCTGGCCGTAAGAGTGAATGAGAATAATAAAGCGTCAGTGACGTCAGCGGCAATGATGACGCCCGCGAGCGAGGGGGAGATGGTCGTCGGGGCGCTTTAACTCATGAGCCCTGTCCACAACGCTTTCTTGCCATGCCCGCGGCTCATGAGTTCCTCACTCAGTTGCACATAGGTCTGTTTGATAGAATGCATTATCCCGCTTTTCCAATTCTTCAAAAGGAACCACGCCCACTTTTACATTGCTTCTTATGCAGATTTCTAGAGCACACCCCACATTTCTCACCGCCACATAGGTCTCTTTGGTAGAAATACGTCCAGTTAATCGTTGATTTTTGAGAGAAAATCTACATTGTACAGTATTTTTTCGACAATAAATTCAGTTGGAATCGATTTTTGTAGTTATTTTTTAACAGGAGAGCAGACTTACAATGCTCCCCAAAAATCATTTCTTGCTTTGATTCAATTTAATACTCCAGCGTAGAAATAATGCTGAACACCGTTGCTTTCTTGCAACGCTATGCAATAAAGGGTTAACTCCACCTATGCCTTGGAAGAGGGGGGGGGGGGCACCACCCTAAATCCGGCATAGGGGTGATACTCGACGGCACTATTTAGTCGGCTCTCCGGAGAATCCTGACCAGGGGCCCAGGGACATTACTGTAGGAGAAGATAGGGGCCGTTATGGGCTCCACGTCTTTGTATTGGAAGTTGGAGACGACGCCTTTGAACTTGAGAGGCGCTGCTTTCTGGCCGTTGACGTTGTACTCCTGGAGCTTCTGGGCGATCTCGGACTCCGGTTGAGGCGCGGTGAAGTATTCGACTTTCTGGAGCTTTCCGTTCGGACTCAGGATGTAGTAGACCCCCACGTCGATGACCTCCTGTCTCTGGCTAGGGGAAGTGTTGTTTGGGGTCACGATATCCACCTCCTGTAAACAAGATATGCAACCTGTGATTAAATTGTATTTTCTTCTTATCGATCAAATGAAAAAAATCAACCTCAAACCCTAGCCCCCCAAATTTTAGCGAACCCCAAAATCGTTTGACGTGCATAAGGAGACTACATATAGATATGGTGTTCTGTGCAAATTTTGAATGAAATCGAACAGATAGATTCTGAGATATCGTTGTACACAGATTTGGGGGACGCCGGACGGACGGACACACATTTTTTCAAGTATGGTTATTTTGACTCCTGGGGCCTTAAAACGTCTAGAAATGATGAAATTTCCACCCTCTCCCTCCTTGCAGGATGGCTATACTTCCTCTACCCTAGGGGAGCGAGAAAGTAAAAATAAGAGTACGCATTGCGTAGTAAAGTTTTGTTGTTTCTACAGATTTGGGTGTTTTCTTGGACATTTGGAAACCACCTATTGCGACAAAAAAATAAAACAAAAAACAAAAAACAACAACAACAACATAGTAAAAATGCGTGACCACCAGATCTTCCCGCGCTTTTTTCATCGAAGCAGACATCCACCATGACGACCGCTTTTTCATTTCAAATGTAAAAATAAGATGGGAAATCAAAGCCGTGTAATTTTTTCGAATTCGGTAATTTTTTTGGCAATAAGATCAAGACTGACTTCTCAAAGGATTTGGCGTTTCTTTTGATGATGATGTGCGGGACAACCAAAACGCCTTCTGTTTCTGCTATATGCAACACGGCTACCCTCTAAGCATGAATCGTATATGATCAAGGTGTTATCATCCAATCTCGTTGAATAATCTACTGGTTAGAGCTGGTTTATTTATATTATGGTATTCAATGTTTTGTTTTGTCTGTAAGTAGAACTCTTCCATTTCTTCTTGTCTCTTCTCTGTGCGGAGACTAATGCATTGTAATTTTAAAAATCAAATGATATCCTTTAAGAAAAATCTGCAATGACGTAAACTAATTATAAAACTTTCTTAGTCTCACCGTCGATTTATACAGTTAAAAGGTGCAAGCAATGGCACGGGTATTCTCCACCGTGGCAACTTGGAGCTAAAGTCCGGTGCAGATACAACAATCCGGCCTATTTTTGCTTGTTGATTATTAAAGTGGTACATTAAATGGATTGCATTTCACAAAAAGGAACCAGGATCATTCCAATGTCCCTAAGATTGTGCATTTTTCTTTACCCTGCAAAGCTAAACTGATCACCTATACAAATTCTATCTTTGCTTTCAATAAATTATGAATTCAAGTGGAAATGTCCTTGCAAACATGATTTTTTTCATTATTTCAGTAATTTTGTTGCAAAGAATGTATGTTGCACAATCCTGGCGACATTGGAACGCTCTTGGTTCCTTTTTGCAAAATGCAATCCAAATATAATTGAGAAGTGAAATCGTAAATTTTAAAAGCCAGCCCATGGTCGACTTAAAGTGCTCATAACATTGAACCGAGAGAAAAAACCAATTGAAAAAATCTAAAATTTAGCGCCTGGTCAGCAATAATATTTAGAAACTGATTGCATTGGACGCACGGGTCGTAAGACAGTATGTTGGAGTTTTTTGCCAACGTGCGTTAAAAAAGTTGATAATCCCAAAACAGAGGGAAAAAGCTCATATGAGCACAATTTTTCCTCAAAGATATATGTTGTTTGGTGCAACACTAATGTATGGACGTAACTAGTGTTGCATCAAACAGCATATCGACGGTGAAACTACCAAACCACGTATCTCGGTTTGCGACGTCGCAGACTTCCTGTCATGCTTTATTTTTTAAATGAAAAACTACTCAACGTCCAGTCTTGAAAATTTCTGTGATTTTTCCTCTTCGTGCGGAAAAAATTCTGTGAAAATTTCAAGGAAATGATATTGATTTGGTCTACTTCAAAAAAATAAAACGCGAGCGTAGATTTTTAAACACCGCAAACGAGATACGTGGTTTGGTAGTTTCACCGTCGATATCTCTTTGAGGTAAAATTGTGTTCATATGAGCTTTTTCCCTCTGTATTGAGATTATCAACTTTTTTAACGCACGTTGGCGAAAAACTCCAACATACAATAATATTTACTTTCGATCACACGAAAAAAATTTACGTTGGACGTAATTTAATGTGAAATCGATGCCCTCAAAAAGTATCATAATCGATTAATTGCTGTGTGCGGACCCAGTGGATAAAGTCGGCCTTAGCCCGAGCTTTTATGATCGTGAGCTACGCTCAGATGACGCCCCGATTTTGATCGGAAAAAAAAGGCCGAAACTGCGCTCTCGCAACGGCCGGTCCCTGAACACAAAGCCAAGAGATGATAAAAGCGGATGACGCGTCAAAGAGTATAAAAACGACTAAATTAAACCGGAGCCCGAGACGGATCAAGATTAATTGAAAACGAGGGTCGATCAACTAATGGGTGTATTTATGATAGAAACCTCTCATTAATCGTCGATTACGAGCAGTGCACTTTATCGTTGCCACATGCGTCGTAAATGCAATATTTAAAGTTAGTCCAGGCGCCTGGTAAGTCTACCTGGAATTTTGGGTACACAGCGATTTTTTTGGCCTACTTTATGTTTTTTGGGTCGCTGAATCCGAATCTGAAGTTTCCGCACGCGTATCTGGTGAGCATTTTCCGCTATTTTGAAAAAATGGCCTAAAAAGGCCTTTTTTTGCGGTTTTTTTGATGTAGCGGCTACGGATGAGGAAAAGTCCCGGATTTAGCTAATGTTTTGAATAGCTGACATAATTTGGAAGAAAATGGTTAGGTTATGTTGCATATGTTAGGTTTGCTTAAAAATTGAGGAAGATACAGCATCGTGAACATCGCGCCTATTCACGTTTTCGCGGCGCACCCGTCAACGCGCGATCCGGCTCGCCGCGGTCAGCCAAGTTCCGAAGCGTTCTAAAGTTCCGAAATCCGAGGTTCCTCAATTTTTGAGCAAACTTAGCATATTTATATACCATTTTCTTCCAAATTTTGTCAGCTATTCAAAACATTAGCTAAATCCGGGACTTTTCCTCATCCGTAGCCGCTATATCAAAAAAACCGCAAAAAAAGGCCTTTTTAGGCCATTTTTTCAAAATAGCGGAAAATGCTCACCAGATACGCGTGCGGAAACTTCAGATTCGGATTCAGCGACCCAAAAAACATGAAGTAAGCCAAAAAAATCGCTGTGTACCCAAAATTCCAGGTAGCCTCATTTTTAGCTACCAGGCGCCTGGACTAAGTGTCATAGGTCAACTGAACCATCCAAAGCGTTATTAATACAAGTAGTTTTCCCTTGATATTTTCTTCTTCGTCTGCTCCTCATTTTATTCTTAAAAATAAGGGACCTTCACACACATTTTGTGGACACTCATAAGACGGAATTAGAACGTTTTTCTTGGTTTTGTAACACTTTGTTGGGTGACATGATGAATTTGGTCGCACTCCATTTGTTTTTGTTTTGGAACCCGAGCTTTATGTAGAATTTTCTTCTTTTATACAATGGCCATTTCGGACTCATTTCAGGTACATATTAATGCTAACGAATATTTTTCGCTCGTCAAATGATGTAAAAAATTAAAATAAATAAAAAACAATATCGCGGTATCGGTTTCGCGTGGTGCTGGTTTTTTATTTACATCGTTTGACGAGGGAAAAACATTCGTGAACATTAATATGTACTTGAAGATGGCGATTATTAAGTCCGAAATGGCCATCGTGTAAAAGAGGAAAATTCTACACATAGCTCAGCTACATATAGCTACCGATCCAAAATTTTCCCTCCCCTTTCTGATCTCAATACCATACTTCCAAAGTTTTTTCATGAAATCCCTCTCTTTTTCAAACGAATAAATCTCCAAATTTAATGTACCCTTCCCTCGTCCTACCTTTTAATTTTGTGTACTACCCTTTTGTGACCCCTACTTTTTAAATTTTTCAAATTCTTTACTACACCATTTTGATCTACCTCTAAGGTGTTAATGGCTCAGATGTTGAAAGCACCAAAGAAACGTATCCACCGACCACCCATACGATTTCCTTCTCCCTTGCTGCACATTTTCGTCTTTTCATGCAAAATTCCTAAATGTCAACGACTATGGCAACAGTGGCTCATATCTATGTCTTTTGGCTGCAGGAGCCTAGCTAAGAGCTGTTGATTGATTTAAGCGATTTGCGCGACCCCTGTCGCTATTAGTGCGAAACACGATACTACGGTCACGTTCTCTAAGCTTCGTGTGAATTACTCAGGTTGATACCACTATATACGAAACTATCCTACGGAGTTCTATAGTGCCGCGACGAAACCCTGCATTTCCAACAAATTTCGTGAAAGCCCCTTGTTGCACGGAAGAGCCCCCACTGAGACGCAGGCCGGCACGCTTGACCGGAGTGGCGAGGCGTTAATGATCGATTATAGACATTTCCCCATTTGAAGCTGTGGTGAAAAATCGATTATTAAGGTGTTCGTCGCGAACACCCTGTTTATCGATCCTTTTCCATAGGTTTAAACGGCATATCAATTGATTTATCGCAAAGCACGCCACGACACTGCTTGACCGCTTTATCCGGCTCGCTGGCGCACAGTGGATCGAGTCAATTAGATAGGTCGGACATGAAATTTTTTACTTAAACTGCTAATTTTTATATTTATTTCGTCACATTTCAAAAAGTGGTGCCTCCTGAAGAAAATTTCACGAGGAAACCAATGGAGCCACTTTCAGAACCTCAAACTTTTGTATAAACGGAGTTATAAGCGTTTAGAGTCTTTAAATTTTGTCTGACCAAATTTGTCCAAAATAGGAGATATTAACTCGATTCACTGTGTGGCGGATCGTTATGTCCATTCCAGCATACAAACCAACCGCGCCGAATCAGAAATAAGGGCACAATGCACAACATTGCAAAGATCGAATTATTGGCTATCGTGAGTTATTTGCGAAATTTCAACAAGTACTGTTTCATATGGTAAAACCAGAAATTCCTGCCGTTTGCAAGATTTCCACCGAGACAAAAG